ATCTCTCTTGCTCTAGTCTCTCTCTTGCTCTAGTCTATCTCTCTCTCTCTCTGATCTCTCTTGCTCTAGTCTCTCTCTCTCTCTCTCTGATCTCTCTTGCTCTATTCTCTCTCTCTCTCTCTGATCTCACTTGCTCTAGTCTCTCTCTCTCTCTCTCTGATCTCTCTTGCTCTAGTCTCTCTCTCTCTGATCTCTCTTGCTCTAGTCTCTCTCTCTTGTCTCTCTTTCTCTCTCTCTGATCTCTCTTGCTCTAGTCTCTCTGATCTCTCTTGCTCTAGTCTCTCTCTCTCTCTCTCTGATCTCTCTTGCTCTAGTCTCTCTCTCTTGTCTCTCTGATCTCTCTTGCTCTAGTCTCTCTCTCTCTCTCTCTCTCTGATCTCTCTTGCTCTAGTCTCTCTCTCTCTCTCTCTCTGATCTCTCTTGCTCTAGTCTCTCTCTCTTGTCTCTCTGATCTCTCTTGCTCTAGTCTCTCTCTCTCTGATATCTCTTGCTCTAGTCTCTCTCTCTTGTCTCTCTGATCTCTCTTGCTCTAGTCTCTCTCTCTCTCTCTCTGATCTCTCTTGCTCTAGTCTCTCTCTCTTGTCTCTCTGATCTCTCTTGCTCTAGTCTCTCTCTCTCTCTCTCTGATCTCTCTTGCTCTAGTCTCTCTCTCTCTCTCTCTCTCTCTGATCTCTCTTGCTCTAGTCTCTTTCTCTTGTCTCTCTCTCTCTCTCTCTGATCTCTCTTGCTCTAGTCTCTTTCTCTTGTCTCTCTGATCTCTCTTGCTCTAGTCTCTCTCTCTCTCTCTCTGATCTCTCTTGCTCTAGTCTCTCTCTCTTGTCTCTCTGATCTCTCTTGCTCTAGTCTCTCTCTCTCTCTCTCTGATCTCTCTTGCTCTAGTCTCTCTCTCTCTCTCTCTCTCTCTCTGATCTCTCTTGCTCTAGTCTCTCTCTCTCTCTCTCTCTGATCTCTCTTGCTCTAGTCTCTCTCTCTTGTCTCTCTGATCTCTCTTGCTCTAGTCTCTCTCTCTCTGATCTCTCTTGCTCTAGTCTCTCTCTCTTGTCTCTCTTTCTCTCTCTCTGATCTCTCTTGCTCTAGTCTCTCTGATCTCTCTTGCTCTAGTCCCTCTCTTGCTCTAGTCTCTGATCTCTCTTGCTCTAGTCTCTCTCTCTCTCTCTGATCTCTCTTGCTCTAGTCTCTCTCTCTCTCTTTGATCTCTCTTGCTCTAGTCTCTCTCTCTCTCTCTGATCTCTCTTGCTCTAGTCTCTCTCTCTCTCTCTGATCTCTCTTGCTCTAGTCTCTCTCTCTCTCTATGATCTCTCTTGCTCTAGTCTCTCTCTTGCTCTAGTCTCTCTCTCTCTCTCTCTGATCTCTCTTGCTCTAGTCTCTCTCTTGCTCTAGTCTCTGATCTCTCTTGCTGCGGCTGTAAAGTGCCAAACTGCTGTTGTGTCCTTAGGCAAGACACTTCACCCACATTGCCTAGACTGAGTCTTGGGTGTGTGTGTGAATGGTTGGTGGTGGTGGGAGGGGCTGATGGCACAGACTGGTTGCCTCGCTTCTGTCAGTGTGCCGCAGGGCAGCTGTGGCTACAGTAGTAGTTTATCACCACTGTGTTTAGAGAGAAAGAGTAAGGGGCTGTAAAGCGTCTTTGAGAGTCCAATAAAGCGCTGTATAAAACTGATGCATTATTATTATTGTACAGGCCTAAATCACAGCAGTATTGTCTCGGAGGACGCAAACACAGATCAGAGAATCAAACCGTTCAAACACAAGAAATAAAACAGAAAGCACAAAGGTCCAAAAGGAGCAGATGACCCATGTCCATAAGTGCTGATAAATGTCCATGAATGTTGCGTGTCCTGGATCAGAACCTCTGTCCTTTTTGTTAGACCTCAGAAGACTTCTTTCTGCTCACAGGTTTTGTTTGGATTGGCACCATGTGTCCTGCTCACATGGTTTACGACCCCTACAAACCCATTGTTACACGTGTGGCTATGTTATTGGATTCTGTTTTGACTTTTTTATTTATTTTGTATTTCTGTCTATTTCATTTTAATAAAAAAAAAAAAGTGTGTTTACTTTCTTGACAACACATGTTTAACTATTTGTACTCAGTTTGGGAGGGGGGGGGACGTTGGGCGGGCATGTCTGTCTTCCACCATGAATGACCTCACAAGACTCTAACAGACCGTCCTGCATCGGCAAAGTGAAAACTCTGAACCCAGAGGGAAAAGTGAGAAACCTCGGGGAGGCCCACATTGAGAGAGGGATCCACTCCCACAGACGGACAGGCTTTAGGACTCAGGCGACAATGTAAGGACCAAGGCCGTACGGTCCAGGCAGCTACAACTTGATCTAAACTACAGCCTCAGTCCTGGGTCTACAGCCTCAGTCCTGGGTCTACAGCCTCAGTCCTGGATCTACAGCCTCAGTCCTGGGTCTACAGCCTCAGTCCTGGATCTACAGCCTCAGTCCTGGATCTACAGCCTCAGTCCTGGATCTACAGCCTCAGTCCTGGGTCTACAGCCTCAGTCCTGGATCTACAGCCTCAGTCCTGGGTCTACAGCCTCAGTCCTGGGTCTACAGCCTCAGTCCTGGGTCTACAGCCTCAGTCCTGGGTCTACAGCCTCAGTCCTGGGTCTACGGCCTCAGTCCTGGATCTATGGCCTCAGTCTTGGATCTACGGCCTCAGTCCTGGATCTACGGCCTCAGTCCTGGATCTACGGCCTCAGTCCTGGATCTACAGCCTCAGTCCTGGATCTACAGCCTCAGTCCTGGATCTATGGCCTCAGTCTTGGATCTACAGCCTCAGTCCTGGATCTATGGCCTCAGTCTTGGATCTACGGCCTCAGTCCTGGATCTACGGCCTCAGTCCTGGATCTACGGCCTCAGTCCTGGATCTACAGCCTCAGTCCTGGATCTACGGCCTCAGTCCTGGATCTACGGCCTCAGTCCTGGATCTACAGCCTCAGTCCTGGATCTACAGCCTCAGTCCTGGATCTACAGCCTCAGTCCTGGATCTACAGCCTCAGTCCTGGATCTACAGCCTCAGTCCTGGATCTACGGCCTCAGTCCTGGATCTACGGCCTCAGTCCTGGATCTACGGCCTCAGTCCTGGATCTACAGCCTCAGTCCTGGATCTACGGCCTCAGTCCTGGATCTACAGCCTCAGTCCTGGATCTACGGCCTCAGTCCTGGATCTATATAGCCTGTCTGTTCGAGGGAGTGGATCCCTCTCGATATGGACCTTTCTTAGGTTTCTCACAGTTTTCCCTTGGCAGATGTTCAGGGCATGTCCCGTCAGGAGGAGACCAGGGGTAACTCTGAAGTGTGTGTGGAGAGGGAAGTCTGGAGCTCCAATAAGGAGAACAAATGTGAGACAGCCAAACAAAGGCCTAAATATATTCATACTTATCTTTTAACAGTGTTTGTTTTGGTCCAAAATCTCACTCTCATTAAATGTCATAATTGCGTTTCCAAGATTTGACGTGGTTTGTTCCTGATCCAAACTCTCACACATCTCTCTCTCTTCTCCTTCACTCCCTTCTGTCACTTATTAATTAAACTTCCTGCTGCAGTTTCCAACCTTCCCCCGCGCCAATGACACACGATGGGAGTGTGTACGTTCTCTCTGGGGCCGGCCCTTGTTTGTATTCTGTGGTGCCTCGTTTGGCGTTTGGAAAGGATAGAAAAGCCTCGGTCATCGCTCCGAACGCTGCGCTGTGATTGGCCTGTGTCGCAGAAGGACTTTGAGGATCAGAGACAGCAAGAACAAACAAGTGTTGCATAATCTAAGGTCCATCTGAAGATTCATGGATGTAAATCTGAATGGTGCACAACAGAGATGCCCTTGAGCAAGGACATTAAGAGTGTTTTTAATTATGCTTAGGCACCATGAGGATAAGACTCAGAGAAATACAACCAAAACACAGATATCAGTGACGTTGCTTGGATCTCACTGTTTTTATGGCAAGACAATGGGACCCCTGAACCTGGACTCTTTCATCTGAACCTTTGTACTGTCCACCCCGACTCGTAGGTTACACCCCCTCCCCGCCTGGGAGCTGCCTCAGACCTGGGTCTACAGGCTCAGACCTGGATCTACAGGCTCAGACCTGGATCTACAGCCTCAGTCCTGGGTCTACAGCCTCAGTCCTAGATCTCCAGCCTCAGTTCTAGATCTCCAGCCTCAGTCCTGGATCTACAGCCTCAGTCCTGGATCTACAGCCTCAGTCCTGGATCTACAGCCTCAGTCCTGGATCTACAGCCTCAGTCCTGGGTCTACAGCCTCAGTCCTGGGTCTACAGCCTCAGTCTGTACACTGTTAACCCGAAAGTTAATTGCACTCGAATGGTTTCAGCTCTAACCACTGATGGTAAATACATTTCTCTGTAAAACTCAAATCATACAAGTGTGGCAGAGAGAACTCTTTGGTTGAAGTTGAAAGGACTTAACATATATAGTGTTGCATGTGATGCACTAGAATGAATACATTTAACTTGGTCCAATCTATTTTAAGTTTATTCTAAAATATAGTTTGAGTACAAATGTGTGTAAGAGAATGAGTTTTGAGGTCAACACTCAAATAAACAAGTAAATGAGTTCACTACTACAACCTTTAAGTTGAAAGCACTTTCACTATCTTTAAGTTTTCATAGCTCCTCCCATATTTGTCCCGGCTGCACCGGAACCAGGGACATGTCTGGACAGAGTCGTTTGTTTGAATGTTTCAAGAATAAGCAGTTTATTCATGTTTTCCTCGGACTTGAACGTGTTTTTCCAGACTGTAGTCAATGGAGCGCACTCTTCCTCAAGTCAAAGGTGAGTTAAATCTTTGTATTAAGTTTTTTTTTTTCAATGTATTTTACATTATGCAGCTGCGCAAGCTAATGTAATCTCCTGAACATTGTTTTGAGTCTATTGTTTTTCTCCATTTTTAGACAAGGTTATTTTTTTGCACTTTTTATTATATATGGTAGACGGAGCGGAGCCAGTCTCTGTCACTGAAGCTTGCACACGTGTTACACCGGACTCCAGTGACATAGCGACGTTAGCGATCTGCTCCCGTTCTTTTCCCATGGACGCTGGAGCAGAGAGGGGACCAGCAGGAGCAGAGAGGGGACCAGCAGGAGCAGAGAGGGGACCAGCAGGAGCAGAGAGGGGACCAGCAGGAGCAGAGAGGGGACCAGCTGGAGCAGAGAGGGGACCAGCAGGAGCAGAGAGGGGACCAGCTGGAGCAGAGAGGGGACCAGCTGGAGCAGAGAGGGGACCAGCAGGAGCAGAGAGGGGGACCAGCAGGAGCAGAGAGGGGACCAGCTGGAGCAGAGAGGGGACCAGCTGGAGCAGAGAGGGGACCAGCTGGAGCAGAGAGGGGACCAGCAGGAGCAGAGAGGGGACCAGCAGGAGCAGAGAGGGGACCAGCAGGAGCAGAGAGGGGACCAGCAGGAGCAGAGAGGGGACCAGCAGGAGCAGAGAGGGGACCAGCAGGAGCAGAGAGGGGACCAGCAGGAGCAGAGAGGGGACCAGCTGGAGCAGAGAGGGGACCAGCTGGAGCAGAGAGGGGACCAGCAGGAGCAGAGAGGGGACCAGCAGGAGCAGAGAGGGGACCAGCAGGAGCAGAGAGGGGACCAGCAGGAGCAGAGAGGGGACCAGCTGGAGCAGAGAGGGGACCAGCTGGAGCAGAGAGGGGACCAGCTGGAGCAGAGAGGGGACCAGCTGGAGCAGAGAGGGGACCAGCTGGAGCAGAGAGGGGACCAGCTGGAGCAGAGAGGGGACCAGCAGGAGCAGAGAGGGGACCAGCAGGAGCAGAGAGGGGACCAGCAGGAGCAGAGAGGGGACCAGCAGGAGCAGAGAGGGGACCAGCTGGAGCAGAGAGGGGACCAGCTGGAGCAGAGAGGGGACCAGCTGGAGCAGAGAGGGGACCAGCTGGAGCAGAGAGGGGACCAGCTGGAGCAGAGAGGGGACCAGCTGGAGCAGAGAGGGGACCAGCTGGAGCAGAGAGGGGACCAGCAGGAGCAGAGAGGGGACCAGCAGGAGCAGAGAGGGGACCAGCAGGAGCAGAGAGGGGACCAGCAGGAGCAGAGAGGGGACCAGCAGGAGCAGAGAGGGGACCAGCAGGAGCAGAGAGGGGACCAGCAGGAGCAGAGAGGGGACCAGCAGGAGCAGAGAGGGGACCAGCTGGAGCAGAGAGGGGACCAGCAGGAGCAGAGAGGGGACCAGCAGGAGCAGAGAGGGGACCAGCAGGAGCAGAGAGGGGACCAGCAGGAGCAGAGAGGGGACCAGCTGGAGCAGAGAGGGGACCAGCTGGAGCAGAGAGGGGACCAGCAGGAGCAGAGAGGGGACCAGCAGGAGCAGAGAGGGGACCAGCAGGAGCAGAGAGGGGACCAGCAGGAGCAGAGAGGGGACCAGCTGGAGCAGAGAGGGGACCAGCTGGAGCAGAGAGGGGACCAGCTGGAGCAGAGAGGGGACCAGCTGGAGCAGAGAGGGGACCAGCAGGAGCAGAGAGGGGACCAGCAGGAGAGCAGAGAGGGGACCAGCAGGAGCAGAGAGGGGACCAGCAGGAGCAGAGAGGGGACCAGCAGGAGCAGAGAGGGGACCAGCAGGAGCAGAGAGGGGACCAGCTGGAGCAGAGAGGGGACCAGCTGGAGCAGAGAGGGGACCAGCAGGAGCAGAGAGGGGACCAGCAGGAGCAGAGAGGGGACCAGCAGGAGCAGAGAGGGGACCAGCAGGAGCAGAGAGGGGACCAGCTGGAGCAGAGAGGGGACCAGCTGGAGCAGAGAGGGGACCAGCAGGAGCAGAGAGGGGACCAGCAGGAGCAGAGAGGGGACCAGCAGGAGCAGAGAGGGGACCAGCAGGAGCAGAGAGGGGACCAGCAGGAGCAGAGGGGGACCAGCAGGAGCAGAGAGGGGACCAGCAGGAGCAGAGAGGGGACCAGCAGGAGCAGAGAGGGGACCAGCAGGAGCAGAGAGGGGACCAGCAGGAGCAGAGAGGGGACCAGCAGGAGCAGAGAGGGGACCAGCAGGAGCAGAGAGGGGACCAGCTGGAGCAGAGAGGGGACCAGCTGGAGCAGAGAGGGGACCAGCTGGAGCAGAGAGGGGACCAGCAGGAGCAGAGAGGGGACCAGCAGGAGCAGAGAGGGGACCAGCAGGAGCAGAGAGGGGACCAGCAGGAGCAGAGAGGGGACCAGCTGGAGCAGAGAGGGGACCAGCTGGAGCAGAGAGGGGACCAGCTGGAGCAGAGAGGGGACCAGCAGGAGCAGAGAGGGGACCAGCAGGAGCAGAGAGGGGACCAGCAGGAGCCACGTGGAGAGTCTGCTCCAGCGTCCATGGGAAAAGCACAGAGCTGGTCGCTCATGTTGCTGAGCCGCTGGAGGTTTGAAATGTAAGCTAAGCTAAGCTAAGCTAACTCTGGTGCTACTGCTGCAAACCAGAGAATCAAGTCTTTACTTTGAACTAAAGAGGGCGGTTAGTTCAGTGCGCGCACTTTCACTGTTAGTGTCATGGCTGTAAAGATTTATTTACTGTAAAGATAAGGTTACACAGACCTGTTGTGGGGTTTGGGTTATAGTTGTATTAGTATTAGATAGCAATATGGCCTACGTGCAGGACTGTACAAGGACTGTACAAGGACTCCATGTTATGACTATGATGTGACTGTCTCTTTGTGACACGTATGTCTTTCGATGTGTGACGTGACAATGACTATATAAACTGTGTACTGCCTTTATTCAGTCTGAGGAAAAGAAACAGAGTAAACCAGTGGAACTTGAGAGAAACTTAAATAAACTTCCAGAGTTTGGCACACCACGATCCGTCTCTCTCTGCTAAATCCTAACAGATTTGGTGGAGAATGCGCGGCTCGGTTTGTGCCATTCTCTGGATTGTTTTGAGGGAGTTTTGCTCTGTTTCTTTTCCTCTGCGTGAGAGATCGGCATGCTGTGTCTGGGAGCGGGGATTCCAGCAGGCTGGAAGAGCTGTTCCTGGATGCTTCTTGTCGCTTCTGTCACTTTTGTTTTAAATTGAATATTCCGACGCGGAAAAGAGGTTGGCAGACCTCTCGGACAGTCCTTGGAACCGGTTTGACAAGAATAAGGTAAGCAGACACCTTTTTTAATATGTAAAGTCTGCATAATTGGATATTAGCTAAATTTTGGTCTGTTTTTTGGGGTCTGTCAAACTCTCTAAATTGTATTTGAGAAAAGTCTCGGGGTTAGAGTCCCTTTGAGCCTCGGGGTTAAAGTCCCTTTGAGAAAGTCTCGGGGGTTAAAGTCCCTTTGAGCCTCGGGGTTAAAGTCCCTTTGAGCCTCGGGGTTAAAGTCCCTTTGAGAAAGTCTCGGGGGTTAAAGTCCCTTTGAGCCTCGGGGTTAAAGTCCCTTTGAGAAGAAGCTTCAGGGTTAGAGTCCCTTAGTAAAACCATGGTATAAAAGTAAAAGCAATTTTTAAAAAGGGAAACGTGTTAAGGAGGCCTTTGTTACAAAAGCTTTGAAATTGACGAATTTCAAGCTGATAAATGACAAAAGTACATAAGCAACAATATTTCAGTGATCACGGTTTAAATTACATACAGAAAAAGGGAGTTTTTTGTTTTTTGGAGTGAACAGAGTTCACCGGAGAATGCAGAGTTATATCTACAGTTAAGCTATGAGACGGTTGTATCCAACAGTTGTTTTTGTTTTTTAGAAAGAGATTTTGAGTTTAAATTAGTTTGCTACCTCGATAAAATAGAAGCGTAAACGTTAAAGACAAGAGTGCCTTTTGTTACTAGTGTGGAAAGTGGCCATTTCTAGATTTGGATGACAAAAGTATAAAGAACAACATAAGTTATATTCGCTTTAAAAAGTAATCTTGAAAGTTATTCTTCTGTGTCTTTCTGCCTGTGTGTGCGCGTCTGTGTGACAGTAACCCCCCCGCCCTCGCTGCTGCTGAGCTGCTGCTCTGATTTAAAGGGGAGCTACTGCTTTAGGAATTTGGCTTTTCATAGTAGTTATTCCGTTAAATTTGCTAAATTTGCCATTTGAACATTGTGTTATGACACAGTTAAACGTTTTTAAACACCATTAGTGAGTAAGTTTTGAATATTATATGTTTTTTGAAACCCAAAGATTAGTACAAAAAGCTTTGCTTTTCTTTTTAAATCTGCTGCTTATTTTGTGAGTCCATTATTGTATCTCTGATATATTTCATAGCTGTTAGTGAGAATGTTTTTATGTTTTTATTTTAATTACAAAAGCCGTTTTTCAAACATTTAAATTAGAATCTGTTAAAAGTGATTATTGATTATAGACTTCGTCTAAAAAGAAAGAGGGAATTAGGCTGTAAAAGTATTATATTATTAAGTTAAACTACCCAATTCACCCAATTCACATTCAAGTGGTGACTTTTGTTTTTGTTTTGACTACACGCGTGACCTTGCTGCTGCTCAGAGACATGAGGAGGCAGCTCCGACGCACAATTGAGTTTTATTGAACCGAATCCAGTTTAGCTGGAGCTAAATCTTTTGTTTGATTTCAAGTTTTGTTTTAAATGTTTTTACAAATTAATGTTCATTTTTATAGAGATTTTTCATAATTTCATTTCATGGCGTCTTTCAAGAAACCCAAGGACGCATAGATAATTAATCACACAGTACAAAAGTATATAATACATGTTTTAAAGTTTAAAAGGTTGTTTGTTTTGAGTATAATTGTTGTTTTGATAACTTCTTTAGTTTCTGGTTTTAAAATGTCATCATTAGTAAGAGAATAAGTAATCTTTATTTACATAGCGCTTGGGAAAACCCAGAGCGCTCAAATTGTTTTGACTTCAGAGAGAAAAACAATCTCATTCACATACTGATACTGTATCTGTTATTTTTAAATTGGCCGTTTCAAGGATTGTTTTTCAGACTCTGCCTCACTGTACGAGAGGTCACTGCTGGACACTGGACAGCGCAACGCCCACCCAGCCACAGGTCACAGAGCTAAGAGCAAAGGAAAATGCCACCTCCTTGCCCCTCCCCACGCCACTGCAGAGCTGAGTGGGTGTGAGAGAGACCGGGGCCATGAAAGAGAGGTATCTGGAGACGTGATGGGTGGAGCATCAGGGAAAGACCTGAATGAGAGAGTGTGTCCAGTTGGTTTACATCACCACAGTGTGACCTTTGAGACCTACAGGTGGTTCGTGGAGTCTGGAGAGACAACCCCAAAATTCATACACACACACACACACACACACATACACACTCATACACTCACACATTCACATTTACATATAGATACATGAAAAAGCAGAACATGAGAAAAAGCATTAAAAGTTTACTCCAATGTAAACACATATTTTTAATTGTCTATCACTTGAATCTTTAGTTGAATCAGTATTTTTTGAGACCAGAAATGTTCATTTGAATTCTATATTGTCATGGACATAATTGACCTCTGTCCTGACACTTTTGATTTGTTGATTTTGTACTGTGTGAAGTAATTACATTGATTAGGATTAGATCTGATAAAAACACAAATTAGAGAAGTAAACTGAATCATTGCGCTTGCTTTTTGTCTGAGGGACATTAGCAACAGCATGAATAGAAATTGTGTTAAAGTAGAATCAAAGTGATTTAACCATAGAGAGTAACTATTGCATTACAAGCTGTGTACAGGAACTGAGACACTGCACCATTGACCAGAAGTGCATCGCAAATGACCTGATGTGCTTCAACTGAAAAGACTGTATCTGGAGATCCTGATGTGCATCTGGAGAGACCAAAACTATGGCTTGGACCCTACTGATGTCCAAGATGACCTGACCTGATGACGACTGAGACTCACCCTCAGGGGACCCTGAGGACCTGAGGATCTGAGAGAGAAAAAACTGGGGAGTGATGTTTATATTTTTTAAATCATACATTGATGAGTGCTAAATGAGAGAGATACTCATGATTCTTTCTTTTGTTTTTGTTTGTCCCTAGCTTCTGGACATCTGATGATCTATTGGACACAGCCATTTGCAGAACAAGAACCAGCCAATGAAAAATCGTCTATTGCCGATGCTATTGCTACAACCAGAAACTGTGACAAATGCAATATACATGTTAAGTATTCAGACATCTGACAGACAAAAAATTTGACTTTTTTAGTCTGGGAGACTGAGCAACAGTTAAAACTTTGAAAATGATAAAGTATGAGTATTGTAGCGTTTTAGTAGATGTTAAATAGTAGTAAAAGAGTAGAATTGTCCTTCCTTTGTTTTTCATAAACATGTAGCCCTTGTTTGCTCATTATTTACTTGAGTGGGCTAGGGGTTCCTTAATGTGTGTACTCCCGTACTAAATAGTCTGACTCTAGAGCTATTTATACTATTTTGGGTCGCAGGGCTATACTTTTACTCACACAAAGATATTCCAAACAGATACAAATACCTGAATTAACTTAACACCAGACACGAGGTAAGTATAAAAAAATCCCCTCCCTTTAATTACAAAAGAAAATAATAAAGCTCAAAATCCAGTTAAATGCACGTTTCAAGGGACTGTAACATAAACAATGCTCACAGACACAATGAATACATTACAATTTAACTAAAGCCGGCATCTATATACACCCTACGTTGCAGGCCTGTATCGATGCTTGGGTGCGGTGAGACCAAAAACTGATGGTCGCTTCACTCACTGAGCAAAATAAACAAAAAGAAAGAAGGTACCTTGTGTACAGCGTTTATTCAACCGATACTTGTAGTTCAGCTCCGGGTCTTTCCTCGCGTTGTCCTCTCAGTGCTCAGCGGGCTCCGGGCAGTGGTGTGGCGTCAATGGCGGTGCAGGTGCGCGGTCCCACCCGGTCCAATACGTCTCGTCCCGCCGCTGTTTCCCCACGTAGCCAGAGGTACTCTGAGCGTCGCGGGCACTCAGAGTGCTATCTGGGATCCGTCTGTCTCGTTGTCCAGTTCGGCAACGATCCACCGTCAGCTTCTGCGGTTTCGCGGGGTTGGCGAACCGTAGCCTCAGTCTTTGATATGAGGTTGTTTTTTTTACAATCTCAATAAGCAAGTAATAAGCGATGAAAACACAGTCCATAAGCTCCGAGTTGAAACTACTGAGTTTTTATCGCACTTCACTCTCCCGATGGCTTCTTTTCTTTTTTTAAAAACACCACGGTACAAAAAAAACTTTCTCTTAAAACACGACGTTAGCTCACACTGTCCTCCGAGCATCTCTCGAACTTTCTCCCTCTCTCTCTCACACAACGTTGCGTCACCTTCACTGACCATCCAAGAATCAGAAGAAACAGCACTTTTACACATGTACAAAATAGTAAATAAAATAAATATGAATTATGCATTTTAACACTTGTAAATATGTTTAATCATTTTTTAATGAACAATCTATGCTAATGAATTATCAAAAACAATGAATTCTCTTTAACCTTTTTATAACTTAAATATGTTACCACTTTTATTCACTTTTAACACTGCGATTATTATCCGGGTTACAAACACATTTCCACATAAGAGTTAAAATAGTACCCTACAATGTTATCCTTTTGATAGATCAGCTATAATATTAGAATCAGAGTGTTTTAGAGACATTGAAAGTGACAGAAGTCACAAACTAGAAATATGCCTTTGCTCAAGCTGCAGCCGAGCTTTTGAGTTAAAAAAATAGAGTAAAAATAGAGATAGATAAAAGCATCAACCATAGATGCTTTCAAAAATAGAGAATATTTCCAGCCAGTGCTAATATCAAATGGTAAAGGGACCATTTCACAAGCATTTACTTCAAAAGTAGATAAAGTTATGTACAGTTTTATTAGATACTTGCCAAATTCACTTGTGTTCAAACATGAGTGAATGTTGACTATGCAAAAGTCCATATGAGTGTAGCCTAGATTAATGCCTAGATCAATGAGATAGATTAGCACCAACAGAGATTCAAAAGCATTTAAAAGCATTTTGATGTATTTGTGTATAGCACAAAAACACAATAGTAGATATTTAGATATTGAGAAGTTTCCAGCACAAACACCATTGTAGAACATTGACCCCAACCCCAAACCTGCTCAAATAGATTAGCTCTTATAAAAAGTAATAAATCACTGACCACTATAGAAGTGTAAATGTTGACCATTTGCCTTACTGTGTTCACAGTTTTATTCCTGAGAATGAGAATAGACATGGAGCAAAATCCCACTAACAATAAGCCACTGATAATTAGAGTATAATACCACAGAGAGATTTATTAGATTAAAATGTATGTTTAAGAATATGGCTCAATAGAATCAAATATGCAAACATATTTGTGAATAGATTAGAATAGTTTAAACTATAGTGAATAGTGAAAGTAAAGTACACAGTCTAAGATTGAAAAGTGAAAATAATACAGTGAAATAAGTGTAGTGTAACCAATTAGCATTAGAATAAAAGTATAGAGTAATAAAAGTGAAATTAGCTTCTAATTTGAGACTCAGCTCGTTTTTGTCTGTGTTTTGACTGAATCTGCTGAGTTCTTGTGTGTCCAATAGTGTTTGTTTGTTTTTATTTTTGTTTGTTTTTATTTTTGATTTGTATTTTTTTTTTTTTTTTTTTTCCAGGATAGAGGATAAAATCCACTGATATTGATTTGATGATTATGAGTTTAATGCATACATTTTCTTTGTTTTTAATAATTTTTTAAAGTTTTTTTTTGGGAATTTTTTTTTTCTTTTTCCACTTTATTGATTGATCAAATTGAGTGATCACATGTGATTATGTGATCAAAGGGGAGGGTATTAGTATTAGATAGCAATATGGCCTACGTGCAGGACTGTACAAGGACTCTACAAGGACTCCATGTTATGACTATGATTTGACTGTCTCTTTGTGACACGTATGTCTTTCGATGTGTGACGTGACAATGACTATATAAACTGTGTACTGCCTTTATTCTGTCTGAGGAAAAGAAACAGAGTAAACCAGTGGAACTTGAGAGCAACTTAAATAAACTTCCAGAGTTTGGCACACCACGATCCGTCTCTGTCTGCTTAAATCCTTACAGTTGCTCAAAGTAACACAAATTATTTTAAAATGTTCTTTCCTTTCTTTCAGAGCTGAAGTGGTCAAGCCGGATTGTTCAGGGGTGACTGAATGCCAGGTTTGTTTTTTTATTGTAAATATTGTGTTATATTTTTGAAAGTAATAATTGGGGCTTGTTTAAAGGTCAACTCGGAATTCAACATAATTACTGGAAAAACGTCCATTGGAGAATTATTTACTTCTCTGGATGGTTTCTACCTTGGCTTTGAAGAGGTTTTCACCAGAAGGACAGAATATGAAGGCAAACATTCAAAAGCAAAAGGTGAGTTGGCCTCATAATTTAATCTTGGTACAACATGTCTCTTCTCATGATTAGAAGTGGTAAACATCTGTTTTAACTATTTGCAGAGCATGTAACTATCAGCTGATGTTCGGACCATACAGAGGGCTTCCTGTTCTTCTCGGGGACAATGCTTTTAAGTTCAACACAAGTCACAAAGTAAGTAATGTTTGAATGTTCAAATTATACTTTTTCTTTTACTGGTTGATGTGTTTTACAAATTCTAAAACATAAAAAAAGCAGATACAACCCAAAACACATATTAGGATGTTTTCACACATGTGAATGTGCTTCCTGGGAAAGATTATAGGAAAGAACCGCCCTCTCCATTTTTTTAACAAAACTCTGGTCTTATTTGACGAGCACAAATGACAAGAATGATTGACAATTGGAAGGTCCAGTACTTCTCCACAAACGGGTTACTCACTGTTTCTTCTTGTTTCCCCTTTGCAGAATGCTGCTGATGGTGACCCACATCCCCATAGAAATCATAATCAATGGTGAAAATTCCAAGTCCAGAGCAAGTTGGCATCCTTCTGGATTCTGCAGTCTTCCTTTGGGAAAAGTGTCTCCTGTTTGGACTGACTTACGCACATCACTTGGAGAACCATAAGTGCCTGAACGAATTCTGGGACAAAGCTATTTTGAATAAAATTGCTTTTAAAAAAACTGCCTTTTCTGGTCATTAGCATGTCCTTTGATATCGAGGTATTGAGTGTGTTTGCCTTAACATTTTAAGTTAGTTTTAATTAAATATATGAGCTTTAAAGTAGTACTAAGCAAACATTTGAGTTTTCTAATATTGACACTACTAGTTCAAGTTTTCTTTTAGTAATTCCCCTAACAAGTTAACTGAACATAAACATGGAAAACTTAATAACATTAACTGGCTATGACTCCATATAGTAATTTGTGTTTTGTTTTACTTTTTAAGTTTACTCTACTTAATCAATTCATTTTTTTGTCTCTGGGCAATAACTCAATCGGTTTGTGTGGAATCGGTTTCCTAATGTGAATTGAGTAGTCTGAACTTGTCCGGGTTTACAGTGTAGAGGTGTTTCGTGCTGATGCAGGAGGGTCTGAGGACAGTGAGGATGATCCAGGACGTCCCACATTCAGCGACCTTCCTGGACAGTGGTCTTCCCGCTCTCTCTGCACCAATGGCTCTGTGTGTTTGTTTTCATTGCATTTGTTATATTTGAACTGTCTGATTCTCTGATCTGTTGTTGGTGAATCGACAGTCCAGAGACATGTAGTTTTGTTATTTAGGGCTATACAATAAAGATGAACTGAATTGATTTAGGAGACCAGAGAGAGGGACAACTACTGCTACTATCTGCCCTCTCTCTCTACCCTAACTCTCTCCCCTCACTCTCTACCCTCTTTCTCTGCTCTCTCTCTCTCTCTACCCTCTCTCTCTCTGCTCTCTCTCTCTCTCTACCCTCTCTCTCTCTACTCTCTCTCTCTACCCTCTCTCTCTCTACCCTCTCTCTCTCTGCCCTCTCTCTTTCTGCCCTCTCTCTACCCTCTCTCTCTGCCCTCTCTCTCTGCCCTCTCTCTCTACCCTCTCTCTCTGCCCTCTCTCTCTGCCCTCTCTCTCTCTACCCTCTCTATCTACTCTCTCTCTCTACCCTCTCTCTCTCTGCCCTCTCTCTCTCTACCCTCTCTATCTACTCTCTCTCTCTACCCTCTCTCTCTCTGCCCTCTCTCTTTCTGCCCTCTCTCTACCCTCTCTCTCTGCCCTCTCTCTCTGCCCTCTCTCTCTACCCTCTCTCTCTGCCCTCTCTCTCTGCCCTCTCTCTCTCTACCCTCTCTCTCTCTACCCTCTCTCTCTCAGCCCTCTCTCTCCCCTCACTCTCTACCCTCTCTCTCTGCCCTCTCTCTCTCTACCCTCTCTCTCTCTGCCCTCTCTCTCTCTGCCCTCTCTCTCTCTGCCCTCTCTCTCTACCCCTCTCTCTCTGCCCTCTCTCTCTACCCTCTCTCTCTGCCCTCTCTCTCAGCCCTCTCTCTCTCAGCCTTCTCTCTCTACCCTCTCTCTCTGCCCTCTCTCTCTGCCCTCTCTCTCTCTGCCCTCTCTCTCTGCCCTCTCTCTCTGCCCTCTCTCTCTCTGCCCTCTCTCTCTGCCCTCTCTCTCTGCCCTCTCTCTCTGCCCTCTCTCTCTCTGCCCTCTCTCTCTGCCCTCTCTCTCTCTACCTCTCCCTCTCTGCCCTCTCTCTCTACCCTCTCTCTCTGCCCTCTCTCTCTGCCCTCTCTCTCTCTGCCCTCTCTCTCTCTCTGCCCTCTCTCTGCCCTCTCTCTCTCTACCCTCTCTCTCTGCCCTTTCTCTCTACCCTCTCTCTCTGCCCTCTCTCTCTCTGCCCTCTCTCTCTCTGCCCTCTCTCTCTCAGCCCTCTCTCTCTCTCAGCCTTCTCTCTCTACCCTCTCTCTCTGCCCTCTCTCTCTACCCTCTCTCTCTACCCTCTCTCTCTCTCTGCCCTCTCTCTCTCTGCCCTCTCTCTCTCCCCTCTCTCTCTGCCCTCTCTCTCTCTCCCCTCTCTCTCTGCCCTCTCTCTCTGCCCTCTCTCTCTGCCCTCTCTCTCTCCCCTCTCTCTCTGCCCTCTCTCTCTCTCCCCTCTCTCTCTGCCCTCTCTCTCTGCCCTCTCTCTCTCCCCTCTCTCTCTGCCCTCTCTCTCTCTGCCCTCTATCTCTGCCCTCTCTCTCCTCTCTCCAGAACTTTAAATCACCTGCCTCACTTTTCCTTTCCTTAATTTGGTTCAATATTTACTTTTATAAGTTTTGTAAAGCGCATTTAAGTGCTTTATTAGTTTGATGTATCATTATCTGTATTAAACGAGGAGGCAGATCTATTCTTGGAGATGGCGGAGACAGTGACTAATATCGTTGACATATTTAAAGATAAAACTGGACCACTGAAACAGTCTCCTCTATTTATGAACAATTCACAGACTCAACCCCAGAGACCAGGTTTTAAAGTCCCACGTTCACACTGACCTTGGAGGATCTAAACAGTGGCTGAGTGGTTGGCGCTCTCTCTTCTCTTGAGTTCGAATCCTGGTCTGAAAAGCGCCTTTAGGAGTGGAGTTTGCATGTAGGTTTCCTCCAGGTGCTCCGGTTTCCCCTACCACTAAAGACATAGGCCAAACACACAATAGTTTGGAGGGAAATATCTTGACCACGAATATTGTAAAGCGCAGGGTGTGATGCTGTGACTTACTTACACTGAAGTAAATCTGTTTGTGTATCACCCTAAATCTGGCTGTAGACCCAGGACTGAGGCTGTAGACCCAGGATTGAGCTGTAGACCCAGGACTGAGGCTGTAGACCCAGGACTGAGGCTGTAGATCCAGGACTGAGGCTGTAGATCCAGGACTGAGGCTGTAGATCCAGGACTGAGGCTGTAGATCCAGGACTGAGGCTGTAGATCCAGGACTGAGGCTGTAGATCCAGGACTGAGACTGTAGATCCAGGACTGAGGCTGTAGATCCAGGACTGAGACTGTAGATCCAGGACTGAGGCTGTAGATCCAGGACTGAGCTGTAGATCCAGGACAGAACTGTAGACCCAAGACTGAGGTGTAGACCCAGGATTGAGCTGTAGACCCAGGACTGAGGCTGTAGATCCAGGACTGAGACTGTAGACCCAGGACTGAGACTGTAGACCCAAGACTGAGGTGTAGACCCAGGATTGAGCTGTAGACCCAGGACTGAGGCTGTAGATCCAGGATTGAGCTGTAGACCCAGGACTGAGGCTGTAGACCCAGGACTGAGGCTGTAGATCCAGGACTGAGGCTGTAGATCCAGGACTGATCCAGGACTGATGCTGTAGATCCAGGACTGATCCAGGACTGATGCTGTAGACCCAGGACTGATCCAGGACTGAGACCGTAGATCCATAACTAGGTCCGCAGGGTCTGGACGTTACCTCTGGTTTCATCACATGGTCCTGAATAACCCAGACACATTCGTCCTTCTCGCCGCCGTCTCTTTGACTCACTTTTGTTTTATTGATTTGTTTCAGTGGAACGTCCTGCATCCTTCATGAGCCTTCACCCACAGACTCTGCAGACGACTTTGGGGGTTGGAAAGTTTTTAGCACAGATTACTAAACACATGAGCCACAGCCCGAGTCAAAAGAGAGGAAGAATCAAAGAATATGAAAACACAAAAGCACAATGGTCTGTAGTCTGCCAGTCCCTCCACCTGAAAAGATGAGACGTCTGTAATTCTCATCCTCAAGATTAAGACGAACAGATTGTGTATTGGTTCCACTGAGGGGAAATGTCAGAGTTGCATCACCAGTTACAGGAAAGTGACACGAGAAAAATAATACAGAAATTCACAGAAAATGAGTTCTTTCGTGGCGCCCCAGATTGAGGGAGATTATCAGTGTCTTGTTTGTCCTCCATGTTCTCATTATTGCCCCCACAGTTTAATTTGTCGCACCTCACTGATGACCTGTTAGAGATTTGGTCTTCCCAGCCTGGTGCAGGTCTACAGCTGTGCTCCTGGTGTCTGACAGCTCTTTGGTCTCAGTGGAGTTTGGAGAGTTCAAACAGGGACTTCTGTTTCAGGGCAGCTGTGGCGACAGTAGTAGTTTATCACCGCTGTGTTTGGAGTGAAAGTGCCTTTGAGTGATCGGAAAAGCATTATTATTAAGTTTAAAATAATACAAATTCTAATTCTGACCCAATATAATTTACTCTAATGTAAAGTAATGTAAAGTAATGTATTGTAATGTAATGTAATGTAAAGTATTGTAATGTACTGTAATGTATTGTAATGTACTGTAATGTACTGTAAAGTAATGTAATGTAATGTATTGTAATCTGATGTAATGTAATTAATGTATTGTAATGTATTGTAATGTATTGTAAAGTAATGTAATGTAATGTATTGTAATCTGATGTAATGTAATTAATGTATTGTAATGTATTGTAATGTAATGTAAAGTATTGTAATGTACTGTAAAGTAATGTAATGTAATGTATTGTAATCTAATGTAATCTAATGTAATGTAATCTAATGTAATGTAATGTAATGTAATCTAATGTAATGTAATGTAAAGTATTGTAATGTAATGTAATGTAGTAATGTATTGTAATGTAATGTAATGTAATGTAATGTAATGTATTGTAATGTAATGTAATCTAATGTAATGTAATGTAATCTAATGTATTGTAATGTAATGTAAAGTATTGCAATGTAAAGTATTGTAATGTAAAGTAATGTAAAGTAATGTAATGTAATGTAAAGTAATGTAATGTATTGTAATGTAATGTAATCTAAAGTACTGTAAGCTGAGCCCTGAACACGGCGTGAGTGAATGAAGACAAAGCCGCAGCAGGTTTTGTACATCTGTATTTGTGTCCCAGGACATATGCATAGAGTATACAGTTAGAATACAGTATTTCAACATGTTTTACAAAGATTCGTAGATTATAGGAAACAAGAAATAAAAATTATAACTGCACAGCAGTAAGAAGGTCATTTGAGTATATGATGTCATTAATCGCACACACCGTGGAGTAGCGTAAACACAGGGCAAAATCAAACACCAGGAACAGTTTAGCGATATATCAATGTACACAGAGACCCTTCAGTTCAGGAGTGTCCACTTTCACTTTCACTTTCAAATCACATTGGCCACTTATACATTTACTCTTTTGGCTTCTGCACCAAAGTCCTACTAAGCACACTTCACAGACACCCAGAACGACGAGTCCGAACAGCGGGGACTAAAGCACGACCATCAAACCCACGAGGGGAACACGCCGCCTCAAAAGTAGATACGCGTCAGGATAAGGCACGTTTGTGGTCAAAGAAAGGCTCTGAAAGAAGCGTCTGCATCTGTCCGAGAGGAGACACCAGAGGAGACACCAGCGAAGACACCAGAGGAGACACCAGAGGAGACACCAGAGGAGACACCAGCGGAGACACCAGAGGAGACACCAGAGGAGACACCAGCGGAGACACCAGAGGAGACACCAGAGGAGACACCAGCGGAGACACCAGAGGAGACACCAGAGGAGACACCAGCGGAGACACCAGAGGAGACACCAGCGGAGACACCAGAGGAGACACCAGCGGAGACACCAGCGGAGACACCAGAGGAGACACCAGCGGAGACACCAGAGGAGACACCAGAGGAGACACCAGCGGAGACACCAGAGGAGACACCAGCGGAGACACCAGCGGAGACACCAGAGGAGACACCAGAGGAGACACCAGAGGAGACACCAGAGGAGACACCAGCGGAGACACCAGCGGAGACACCAGAGGAGACACCAGCGGAGACACCAGAGGAGACACCAGAGGAGACACCAGAGGAGACACCAGCGGAGACACCAGCGGAGACACCAGAGGAGACACCAGCGGAGACACCAGCGAAGACACTAGAGGAGACACCAGCTGAGACACCAGCGGAGACACCAGAGGAGACACCAGCGGAGACACCAGCGGAGACACCAGAGGAGACACCAGAGGAGACACCAGCGGAGACACCAGAGGAGACACCAGAGGAGACACCAGAGGAGACACCAGCGGAGACACCAGCGGAGACACCAGAGGAGACACCAGCGGAGACACCAGCGAAGACACCAGAGGAGACACCAGCTGAGACACCAGCGGAGACACCAGAGGAGACACCAGCGGAGACACCAGAGGAGACACCAGAGGAGACACCAGAAGAGACACCAGAGGAGACACCAGCGGAGACACCAGAGGAGACACCAGCGGAGACACCAGCGGAGACACCAGCAACGACACCAGAGGAGACACCAGCGGAGACACCAGCAAAGACAACAGAGGAGACACCAGCGGAGACACCAGCAGAGACAACAGAGGAGACAACAGAGGAGACACCAGCGGAGACAACAGAGAAGACATCTGCAGGCTGAAGTCTGGTCCAAGTCCTGGTTAAGATCTGGTTAAATCCTGGTTTAGTAAAAAACTTTGTGTGTGAGTACAGTAAAGACATCTGCAGTGTAAGATCTGGACTAAAGTCCTGGTTTAGTCCTGGTTTATTTTCTGCCGTATTGCAACCCTGGTTCTGGTTTTGTTGGGTCTGGATGACTTGGGTCAGAACTGGGCCAAGTCTGAGTCTCTTGGGGAACAATGCTTCCCAGACTCCAAAGATGTGACTTTCACTTATTTGTTTCTTTTGAAGCAGAATTTTTCCAGTTTAAGTTCTCGTTTAGACCTGCTTTAGACCTGCTTTAGACCTGCTGGTAGTCCCGGTTGTAGTCCAAGTCCTCTTTATGTTCTGGCTCAGACCTTCAGTCCTGCTTTAGACCTGCTTTAGTCCTGGTTTAGTCCTGGTTTAGTCCTACATGCTTTAGTCCTGTTTTTAGTCCTAGTCCTCTTTAGGTTCTGGCTCAGATCTTTAGTCCTGTTGTAGACCTGCTTTAGTTCTGGTTTCGAACTGGTTTGGACATGCTTTAGTCCTGGTTTAGTCCTGGTTTAGTCCTAGTTTAGACCTGGTTTAGTCCTGGTTTAGTCCTGGTTTAGTCCTGGTTTAGTCCTAGTTTAGACCTGGTTTAGTCCTGGTTTGGACCTGGTTTAGTCCTGGTTTAGTCCTGGTTTAGTCCTGGTTTAGTCCTAGTTTAGACCTGGTTTAGTCCTGGTTTAGTCCTAGTTTAGACCTGGTTTAGTCCTGGTTTGGACCTGGTTTAGTCCTGGTTTGGGATCCCTTCAGTTTGTGAGAGGCGGCTGCAGTAAACAGAAAACTTGACAGATCTGTGTGTAATTAGGATCAAGAGCCTCCTGCTGATGTCATTACACCGAGAGGAGCAGAGTCTGCCTGGTCTGGGTCTGGCTCTGGGTCTGAGCCACACCCTCTCTCATCACTGAGAAGACCAGGTTTAGTCCTGGCTTAGTCCTGGCTTAGTCCTGGTTTTGTCCTGGTTTTGTCCTGGCTTAGTCCTGGTTTAGTCCTGGTTTAGTCCTGATTTAGTCTTGGTTTAGTCCTGGTTTAGTCTTGGTTTAGTCCTGGTTTAGTCCTGGTTTTGTCCTGGTTTAGTCCTGGCTTAGTCCTGGTTTAGTCCTGGTTTAGTCCTGATTTAGTCTTGGTTTAGTCCTGGTTTAGTCTTGGTTTAGTCCTGGTTTAGTCCTGGTTTAGTCCCGGTTTAGTGGTAGTTCGGTTTCCACTTACTCCTGGCTTTATTATGGCTTGTCCTGTTTAGTCCGACTTTGGATCTCTGACACTAAAGCTTGTCATTAAGACTGTACAGAAGGAAGTGATGTTTTGGTTTTTCTGAAGGTCAGAGTTGGCGCCGTCGCAGAAGTGAGGAAGAGGAGGACCTTGGTTCCTCCGTGGGTTAAAATCACTTTGGCTTTTTTATTTTTATCAACAACAAGATCCCAGACCTTTGCATCGTTTGTCAATTTTCTCACGAGTTTTAGTCCTGGTTTTTTATCCTTTTTAAACCTTTTAGCCCCGTCTCAAATGTGAAGTAGGTTCATGGGATTTTGAGTTGTGTATGAACTGAGCTATACACATAAACTTTCTAATCGTCTCCAGCTCCCAGTCTGGGTCTCTCTCGTCTGCTCTCAGTCTGGGTCTCTCTCGTCTCCATCTCTCAGTCTGGGTCTCTCTCGTCTGCTCTCAGTCTGGGTCTCTCTCGTCTCCTTCTCTCAGTCTCCAGCTCCGGTCGCTTCACTTCGGGCCAGACAGACTACAATTAAGTCTGCAGTAAAACCTGTAATTCACCGATTACACACAGCGCCGTCTAATTACGCGTGAAATCTCCATTCCCACGTCCTCTCCTGTCCCCTCTCCTCAACCCCAGTTACAACACTATTATATACATGATTACCTCTGTACACTGCAGAAGGTACGGCTACAGCGGCTGGAATGACTTTGTGTTTGGACAAGTTTGGTTATTTTGTTTATGGTAAAGAATATGACAATGTATTTTTATGACAGAGATCACAGAGAGCTCTACAACATGGATTCTTTCGGCGTTTTAGCAGTGATCACGCGGGTTAGCATTGAACTAGAAGGTTAGCAGTGATCACGCGGGTTAGCATTGAACTAGAAGGTTAGCAGTGATCACGCGGGTTAGCATTGAACTAGAAGGTTAGCAGTGATCACGCGGGTTAGCATTGAACTAGAAGGTTAGCAGTGATCACGCGGGTTAGCATTGAACTAGAAGGTTAGCAGTGATCACGCGGGTTAGCATTGAACTAGAAGGTTAGCAGTGATCACGCGGGTTAGCATTGAACTAGAAGGTTAGCAGTGATCACGCGGGTTAGCATTGAACTAGAAGGTTAGCAGTGATCACGCGGGTTAGCATTGAACTAGAAGGTTAGCAGTGATCACGCGGGTTAGCATTGAACTAGAGCAAAAAGTATAGAAGAACTTACTTCTGTACTGTTTGACTAGAGCCAAAATCACAGCTAAACACATGACAATTCTTGGTCTAAACTAGGGCTGTCCTAGCCTGGCCGTACCACACCATAGTACACATTACATTTCATACTAAGGTCTGGATTTGCTCCATTGAGCTCCGCTAACAGGGGGAGGGGTTTACTCCTTTTACAGATTGAAACCATTGGATCTGAGTTTACTGTGACGTATGTAATGCGCCCAAGTGAGTTGTTAGCATTTAGCCTTTAGCCTAGCTTTAGCCATCTCCTTTGCTGTGGTCCGTGGGGAGTCGCGCCACAATTTTTGCCGCGATTACATTTGCTAAACATTCCTCTCGCTCCAGCTTCAGTTTCTTGATAGAACCAGACCTGATTACTTTACCATCACATTCTTCGCCAAACTACAACCTTCCCGTTCGACGCAAACTCTTGACGTCAGCCACAACTAACAACAACACCCGCTTTCCACGCTCGCTGATTGGTCGGTCGAAATTCAAGCGATTGTATTCGCTGACACAGGGACCAGACCCAGACGTTACATGCAGGACATGATGATTGAGCGGAGAGTACGGATGGATACGGCCAGGCTAGGACTGTCCTGGATGTGTTTGCAGTTATTGCATGTCCTGTGTTCGAACTGTGTGATTCTCTGATCTGTTGTTGGCGAATCCACAACTTTGTAAAACCCTCTGAGAAGTCTGCTGTTGTGATCGTCAAAAGCAGATTTTGTCGACATTTGTGCTTCATAGTTTGTTTCTTTAATGTAATCAAAACCATTCTTGTCTCGGCCGTAGTCATTCTAACGGTGTAGCTTCGTATTGTACCATAACAGACAAGAACCCAGTACCAAACCATTATTAACATCAGAAATAGGCAGCTAGCTTTAGAGGCAGAGCGTTGGTGACAGATACACTAAACAAAAAACACTTTAAAAAACAATGCTATCGATGCTAACAATGCTAACAAGGCTAACGATGCATTAATCACTTGTAAATCGTCACAATATTGCTCCATCGCTACTGTATCAGAGAAGTGGTGAGCGGACGTTATTGCAGTGTTCAAAACTGAGACGAAAAGACTTGAAATCAGGAGTAAAGGACTGAAATGAAGAGGACGGTTTATAAAATGCCTTGTGTGCTTTATAGCAGTGGAATGTCTCATGGCACTGTACAATAAAGGGACACGAACTACTGTGCTTTTCAGTCAAAAACATCTGTCTCAAACATCTGCGAGGCTCGTTGCTGGAGGTCGCTTTGGATCCACAAAGACAGGGGTTTAGTGTTAAAGAGAGAGATTTTTGCATGTTCTGCCTGTGTCTGTGTCTGGTTTGAGTGGAACATTTGCAAAATTTGATAGCAAATGTGTAAACGGCGTACATTATGTCTGAAAAGCAAATCTATTTTAGCGCCATAAAAGTGTACGTTTCACCCCTTCCTGTGCCAATTCGAGAGGGAGACCAGAGAGAGACTGTAGAGGGACTAGAGAGAGAGAGAGAGACCGGAGAGAGTCCAAAGATAGACCAGAGAGAGAGAAACCAGAGAGAGACCAGAGAGAGACTATAGAGGGACTAGAGAGAGAGAGAGAGACCGGAGAGAGTCCAAAGCGTGTTTTCATTCATAGAATCCAATTGGAAAGAAAAAATACATCCTCTCACATAACACCCACTCTCTCTGACACGAGTCCTCTCTCTGGTCCTTCCCTGGTCTCTACCTGGTCTCTCTCTGGTCTCTACCTGGTCTCTCTCTGGTCTCTCTCTGGTCTCTCTCTGGTCTCTACCTGGTCTCTCTCTGGTCTCTCTCTGGTCTCTCTCTGGTCTCTATCTGGTCTCTCTCTGGTCTCTATCTGGTCTCTCTCTGGTCTCTCTCTGGTCTCTCTCTGGTCTCTCTCTGGTCTCTCTCTGGTCTCTCTCTGGTCTCTCTCTGGTCTCACTCTGGTCTCACTCTGGTCTCTCTCTGGTCTCTCTCTGGTCTCTCTCTGGTCTCTCTCTGGTCTCTCTCTGGTCTCACTCTGGTCTCTCTCTGGTCTCTCTCTGGTCTCTCTCTGGTCTCTCTCTGGTCTCTCTCTGGTCTCTCTCTGGTCTCTCTTTGGTCTCTCTCTGGTCTCTATCTGGTCTCTCTGTGGTCTCTATCTGGTCTCTCTCTGGTCTCTCTCTGGTCTCTCTCTGGTCTCTCTTTGGTCTCTCTCTGGTCTCTCTCTGGTCTCTCTCTGGTCTCTCTCTGGTCTCACTCTGGTCTCTACCTGGTCTCTCTCTGGTCTCTCTCTGGTCTCTCTCTGGTCTCACTCTGGTCTCTCTCTGGTCTCTCTGTAACTTCCACATGCATTTATGGTCCTCTGTCTCATCTTTGGATCAGCTTTCTCAGACAGAAACATAACAAATCCAATCCTCTCTCACCCCAAAGAGTCAAACAGAGACTCACAAAAGTAAAACCCATTTTCTGAAGAGTCTAAAAGCGGCATTTAAACCTCTTCCAGCAACAAGCCTCTGCATAGACTGACAACCAATCCATTCTTCGAGACCAAACCAGCGTTGGGTCCCTTTTTTGGTCTCTGGTTTTTGGTCCAAGTCCTCGACCGAGATCCGAGCTTCAGTCCAAGTCCAGAGGGGCGGGTTTTGGCTCGTCCCCCCCCTCCCCCCTCTCCCTCCCCAGTTCTCACACTCACACATAATGTACTATTTCTATATATATTTACGCATCATTAAAAACACCACATACTTCATCCATTTAAAAAGATATTCTCATTGTTGTTTATAAAGCTCTCCTCGGAAAGACTGCACAATAAAAAAAATATATATAATACCATTTTAAAACCTTTTTTCTACACGGAAAGAAATTCAACATCTGATTCGGATCCGGTGACAGAGAGGGGCATAGGTCACTGCAATGCATTCTGGGAGAGGAGGACCTTTACAAGTTTGGCAAAGTAGTTTTAAGGCGTACCTATGACAGATGAACTATCGCTGTCATTCAAAAGTTCAGAAGGAAATGGAACTTAAAACACAGTGAAGGCGAGACACCGGGACTCTACGGGAGATGGTGAGTTTGAATGAGTTCAGACACGGATTAGTTCTTGTTGGTTTTGTTGTCGTTTTGGATCAAGGTTTTGTTTTGATCTCTAAATGTCATGGAAGAGAGAGAGAGAGAGAAACCAGAGAGAGAAACTAGAGAGAGGTCAGAGAGAGAGAGAGACCAGAAAGAAAGACTAAAGAGAGACCAGAGAGAGACTAGAGAAAGAGACCAGAGAGATAGACCAGAGAGAGAGACCAGAGAGAGAGACCAGAGAGAGAGACCAGAGAGAGAGACCAGAGAGAGAGACCAGAGAGAGAGACCAGAGAGAGAGACCAGAGAGATAGACCAGAGAGAGACCAGAGAGAGAGACCAGAGAGATAGACCAGAGAGAGAGACCAGAGAGAGAGACCAGAGAAAGACCAGGAAGAGACCAGAGAGGGTATAGGGTCATAAATAGCCTCTTGCGTGTTTTGATCTCTAGCCTCTCTCTGGTCTCTCTCTGGTCTCTCTCTGGTCTCTCACTGGTCTCTCTCTCTCTCTTCTCTCTCTGGTCTCTCTCTGGTCTTTGTCTGGTCTCTCTCTGGTCTCTCTGTCTGGTCTCTCTCTGGTCTCTCTCTGGTCTCTCTCTGGTCTCTCTCTCTCTTCTCTCTCTGGTCTCTCTCTGGTCTTTGTCTGGTCTCTCTCTGGTCTCTCTGTCTGGTCTCTCTCTGGTCTCTCTCTGGTCTCTCACTGGTCTCTCTCTCTCTTCTCTCTCTGGTCTCTCTCTGGTCTCTCTCTGGTCTTTGTCTGGTCTCTCTCTGGTCTCTCTCTCTCTCTGGTCTCTCTCTGGTCTCTCTCTCTCTCTGGTCTCTCTCTGGTCTCTCTCTCTCTCTGGTCTCTCTCTGGTCTCTCTCTCTCTCTGGTCTCTCTCTGGTCTCTCTCTCTCTCTGGTCTCTCTCTCTCTCTAGTCTCTCCCAGAAATTTAGCTCAGACCTGTTTTCAACCCAACAAGAACCAATCAACTCCTTTCTCTCCTGTTCCCATAGTGTGTCACCTTAGCACTGGAGCTATGCCCCTGTTGTCACACCCAGTATCCTCCCCCCCCCTCCCCTCCCTCCCCCCTGACTCCCCCCTGCCTCCCATCCCTCTCGGCGATACGTTAGAGGTCCGTCACTTTGTTTTCCAACGCGGCGGCGATCTGCTGTAGCCGGAGGGTCAGCTGTTTGCTCTGTGCAGCGGGATCCTCGTCCAGAGAAGCAATGATCTGCGAGAGAGGAGGTGACAGACGTGACAGAACAGAGGGGGAGGTGGGAGGGAGGGGGGACGGAATGGGGGAGGGAGGGGGAGGAATGGGGGAGAAAGACAGGGTTTAGTTCTGTTATCAATTTTCCAGTTTTCTCATTTCATTGTGTAAAGGTGGACATGCCCTGTCATAGATTTAATTGTTTTATTTAGGAGAGAGACCATAGAGAGACCAGAGAGACCAGAGAGACCAGAGAGAGACCGGAGAGAGCCCAGACAAAGACCAGAGAGAGACCAGAGAAAGACCAGATGAGAGAGAGACTAGATAGAGACCAGAGAGAGACCAGAGAGAGAGAGACCAGAGAGAGAGAGACCAGATGAGAACAGAGAGTGACCAGCGAGTGACCAGAGAAAGACCACAGAGAGACCAGAGAGAGACCAGAGAGAGACCAGAGAGAGACCAGAGAGAGAGAACCGAGAGAGGGATTGGAAAGAGCCTAGAGAGGATGATAATCCACAAGGCCACAGAAAAGGCCAAAGGTTCATGATCATCATGGTTCACTAAAATCTCAGAAGCAGTTGTTGTTAATACATTCGCTCTGATACCGTAACCATTAGAGTTAAATCTAGTCTGGACCAGGTGTCAGATTGACAGAGGTTGCAGGTCTCTGGTCCTTAACTCTTCTGATCCAGACTCCCACTTCCACAGACTGACAAGACGAGTGTTTACTTGTTCATTAGATTTTGTTTATCCAGTTTAGTGACCCACAATGGACGCTTCAGGAATCAATTCCCGGAGCAATTTTCCAATTCACATCCCACAGAAATGTTTTCAATTAAAATTTTGTACAATCGCTCTTCTGGTATATGGAGAGCGAGGCCAGGGGAGTAAAAGGGAAAGGCAATAATACAGAAGGCAGCAGAGCGTTCAGCGGGAAAGGCTCCAGGCGAGATACGAGGAGAGCACCAGAAATATGTCTCACCCACAAGTACAAGAAGAACCAGAAGTACCAGAAGTACCAGAAGTACCAGGGTTTGGGATCAAGTTATTTATTCATTAACCGTTAATGATCTAATATTGATACATGTTTTGTCTTCATCAATGGCATTTTAGTGTCATATGGAGCACAGGGACTGACCTCCTGTAGTAGTAGTAGAAATAAGCGCAGCAGTAGTAGTAGCAGTAGAAGTAGTAGTAGTGGGAGCAGTAGCAGTAGTAGTAGCACTAGTAGTAGTAGTAGTGGTAGCAGTGGCAGTAGTAGTAGTAGTAGTAGCACTAGTAGTAGTAGTAGTGGTAGCAGTGGCAGTAGTAGTAGTAGTAGTAGCAGTAATAGTAGCAGTGGTAGTAGAAGTATTAGCAGAAACAGTAGTAGTAGTAGTAAAAAGTATCTCACCCCGTCATAGTATTTGCTGGCGTACTGGTAGAGCTGATGCAGAGCCACTTGTGTGTTCAGTTTGTCTGTGTGAGCCTGGACAGAAATAACAGATAAGAACAGTTTTAACAAAGTACTGGTGGTAACAATAGTAGAGATGGTAGTACTTCTAAAAGTACTTATATCAGAAGTATCAGCAGTAAAGTCTCACCCGCGACACTTCTGCCAGGTGAGTGTTCATGTCCTGGTCGCTGACGGACACCATCTGTCTGATCCCTTTGTAGTAACTGCAAATACACACAGTACTTTCTGCTCATTCCTCCATATACACAGTACACACATACATATACACATGTATGTATACAATTACACATCAAAAAGAGACAAACATTATTTTAATTGGGATAAACCTAGCCTGGCCTTATCCATCCGTACTCTCCGCTCAATCATCATTTCACTGCATGTAGCGTCTGGGTCTGGTCCCTGTGTTAGCGATTACAATCGGTCGTATTTTGACCGGCTACTCAGAGAGCGCGTTGTAGGTCGGTGCCGGTGACGTCAAGAGTTTGCGCCGAACGGGCAGGTTGTAGTTTGGCAGTGGTGAAGATTGCGATAGTAAAGTAATCCGGTCTGGTTCTATCAAGAAATTGAAGCAGGAGCAAGAGGAATGTTTAGCAAATGTAATCGCAGGTCAAGATTGTGGCGCTACTCCCCACGGGCTCCGTCAGCAGCAGAGGAGATGGCTAAAGCTAGCCTAAATGCTAACGACTCACTCGGGCACATCACATACGTCACAGTAAACTCAGATCCAATCATTTCAATCTGCAAAAGGAATTGACCCCTCCCCCTGTTAGCGGAGCTCAATGGAGCAAATCCAGACCTTAGTATGAAATGAAATTTGTACTAAGGTGTGGTACGACCAGGCTCGGATAAATCTGGTCTCATCAAAGGATTTTTTATTATTATTATGTTTTCGTAATTCTAAAGAAAGTATTAGCTACCATTTATGTTTCATGGTGATGTTGTCATTTATAGTACAGCAGCGCACCCCTGTACCATGTGTGCCCGCGGGTTTTTCAGTAATGGTTCACGCCCCCCCCTCCCCCCAGCCCCCCTTGATTTTTTTCAGACTAACCCTGATATACACACGCAGCAAAGTGTCAGTGAGATTATACACGGCCTATATACAGCACGTATACAGTGAAAGTATAAAAGAACTCACTCGTCCACCATCTTCTTGTAGGTGGAGATCTCCTTTGCATAGAGTAGTTTGTTACTCGGAGAGTCCTGGAAACGAGAGCAACACTTCAGATTCATACTTTACTTTATCCCCACAACACAGAGACGGGAACGAAGAGAACATGCAAACTGATGACCTTCGACTCTGAAGAAGGAGAATCATACAATTGTTCAATAAAGCAGTAGTAGTAGTAGTAGTGGTGGTGGTTTTTTTGCTTTTCTTTGATAAGATTAAATAAGATAAACTTTATTGGTCTTACAATTTCTCCTCACCTTTCTCCTCTCTCAACCCTCCCCCTCTCCCTCCTCTCTGTCTCCTCTCCCCTCGCCGATCTCCTCCCTCTCACGTCACTTCTCTCACCCCCTCTTCCTCCTCTCCTCTCTTCTCACCTCTCATCTCCTCTCCTCTCTCTCCTCCTTCTCCCTCCTCTCTCCCCCTCCCTCTCCTCGCCTCTCTCTCCCTTCTCCTTCCTCTCTCTCCTCCTTCTCTCTCCTCTCATATCTTCTGTCTCCCTTTTCCTTCTTCTCTCTCCTCCTTCTCTCCTCTCACCTCTCATCTCCTCTCTCTCCCTTCTCCTTCCTCTCTCTCCTATCCTCTCCTCTCCTTTCTCCACTCCTCTCTCTCCCCTCTCCCCCGCCTCACCCGGCTCAGCTTGTGCTCGCTCTTGGTGCATGCGTCCATAAAGGTCTGAGCGATGACGGACAGAGCGGCGTCCACCACCTCCGTCACGTGGACGTCGAAGATGAAGTGAGGGTTCTTCAGGATGTTCACCCAGAACCTCAGAGGCAGACTGAGAGGGGGACGGGGGGAGAGAGAGAGAGGGGGAGAGAGAGAGAGGGGGAGAGAGAGAGGGGTCAGTACAGCAAGTTCACAGCGATTCATGGTAAAAGCAATGTTAAAAACCTATACTGTAGACAGCTTCAATATCAACAACTTCAACAATAAACTATAACTTTAGCCAGCCTACAAAAAACCAGTATTCAGATAAATTCCTTGGTAACCATGGCTTCTAGCAGCACTCTGGTCAATCACTGTCAGTTAGAACACTTTAGTACCAGCTCGGCCTGGATAGAACCAGGACCAAGAGGGACCTGGTACTGGTTACACAGGACCAGAGGAAACCAATCCACCAATCTACCAATCAGGGGAGAGTAGAGTAGAGTAGAGTAGAGTAGAGTAGAGTAGAGTAGAGTAGAGTAGAGTAGAGTAGAGTAGAGTAGAGTAGAGTAGAGTAGAGTAGAGTAGAGTAGAGTAGAGTAGAGTAGGGTAGAGTAGAGTAGGGTAGAGTACAGTAGAGTAGAGTAGAGCAGAGCTTACTAGAGAAGAGTACAGTAGAGTAGAGTAGAGCAGAGCTGAGCACAGTAGAGTAGAGTACAATAGAGTAGAGTAGAGTAGAGTAGAGTAGAGTACAGTAGAGTAGAGTAGAATAGAACCAAGTAAATTCATTAAGAAAACAGGTAAGAAATGATTACAAACTTCAACAGACTGGGAGTTTCAGAGAGAAATTTGTATTTTATAGATTTCTGTATATTTATATAAAAACAACAGATTGTCGCGACATTTGCTTCTAAATCTCCAGCTCAGTCTCGTCGGTCTCGTCTCTGCTTCTCTCATCGACAAATCCTTCTGATCTCTAAAGTTAATAATCCAACCCAAGTCTGTGGAGGACTATCTCAGCTCTACTCTCCGCTGGGACCTCAGAGCGTCTGCTGTTAAAGCTGGGGTACGTAACTTTCAGAGCACAAGCTACTGAGCTAAGTATGGACTGTAAGCCAATTTTCTTCTGTCACATCTTAAAATCAGTTTCTTTGGACGTGAAAGTGAAAAAGAGTAGACCACCCTCACTCAGCGCTCTGCCCAAACAGGTTAAAAGTGACTACTAAAGCAAAAAAGAGTTAATTGACTGATCCAGACCAGGCTGATCCAGACCAGGCTGATCTAGACCAGACTGATCTGGACCAGACTGATCCAGACCAGACTAATCTAGACCAGACAGATCTAGACCAGACTGATCTGGACCAGACTGATCCAGACCAGACTAATCTAGACCAGACTGATCTAGACCAGACAGATCCCGACCAGACTGATCCAGACCTGGCTGATCCAGACCAGACTAATCCAGACCAGACTAATCCAGACCAGGCTGATCCAGACCAGGCTGATCTAGACCACACTAATCTAGACCAGACTGATCCAGACCAGACTGATCTGGACCCAACTGATCCAGACCAGGCTGATCCATGCCAAGGCAGTGTTTTGTTCAGTTGTAAACACTGACCTTTCAAACTCCTGACTTTGAGATTCCACAGCAGAGTGTTTCTCACTGATTGCAGGAACAACACGCCCCCGTCAGAGAATATTTTAAAATCATTTAAAATCAAAAACAAAAGCGTGGAACAGATTTAGACTCCTCTGATTACAGCCTCAGAGACTCAAAACAAACCATTCAGCTTCTCCAGAGAACGGCTTCGTCTCCAGGAAGACAGAGACGCAAAAATAACAGTCTAGTAATAGATTAGAGTTTAGACCTGGTTTAGACCTGGTTTAGACCAAGTTTAGACCTAGTTTAGATCTGGTTTAGACCTGGTTTAGATCTGGTTTAGACCTGGTTTAGACCTGGTTTAGACCTGCTTTAGACCTACTTTAGACCTTCTTTAGACCTACTTTAGACCAGGTTTAGACCAGGGCTAGACCTGGTTAAGACCTAGGTTAGACCAACTTTAGACCTGGTTTAGACCTACTTCAGACCTACTTTAGACCAGGTTTAGACCAGGGCTAGACCTGGTTAAGACCTAGGTTAGACCATTTTTAGACCTGGTTTAGACCTGGTTTAGACCTGGTTTAGACCTAGTTTAGACCTGGTTTAGACCTGGTTTAGATCTGGTTTAGACCTGGTTTAGATCTGGTTTAGACCTGGTTTAGATCTGGTTTAGACCTGGTTTAGACCTAGTTTAGACCTAGTTTAGACCTGGTTTAGACCTGGTTTAGATCTGGTTTAGACCTGATTTAGACCTGGTTTAGTTATGGTTTAGACCTGGTTTAGACCTGGTTTAGACCTGGTTTAGACCTACTTTAGACCTACTTTAGACCTACTTTAGACCCACTTTAGACCTGCTTAAGACCTACTTCAGACCTACTTTAGACCAGGTTTAGACCAGGGCTAGACCTGGTTAAGACCTAGGTTAGACCAACTTTAGACCTGGTTGAGACCTAGTTTAGACCTGCTTTAGACCTACTTCCAGGCATAGACTTAACCTGGTTTGAGCAAAGTTAAATCCTGAAATATGGACTCAGCAGGATCCAGTCGGAGTTCCTGGTTTAGGTTTAGAGTTTGATCTTTTTTGAAGTTCCAGCTTTAGTCCCAGATTACTGCACCATGTAAAATTAATTCCTCTTCGGTTCCATCTCCGGGGGACGGCTACGTCTCCAACACAATGGAGAAGCAAAAATAGCAATGTAGCAATAATCTGAGGATGAAATTAGCCAGGGACATAATTAGCATGTTTGTTTGTTGTTCTGCCTGCTACACACATTCATTATTTAATAGCTGGCCTCTCTCTTGGTTCGATAAGCAGAGGCGGCTGCAGATGCTGAGGAGAAGGAGGAGGCAGTAATTAAATCGCTCATCCGCGGCCCGTGAGAAGGCCGTGCTCCGGTTCTCTCTCGCTCTCTCGCCAACACGTCAATCACACAAATCTACATGCGACACGCGGGCCTGAGCGCGACACTAAATTATGCACTTAAATGTCAACACCAGGGGATTGCAAGCTAATCTGCCTGTTGTTCTCGGCCTCACAGACTCTGGAGATAAGAAGTTTCCAGGACAGAGATGTTGGAATGCAGGAGACATGTCGGAGGCTGTTGTGGTGCGGGTTTGACGGTTTAGACTGGGACCGGTTTAGCTCGGGTTTGAGAGACTGGTTCTGAAGGGGAGTTTTTTTAGGCACCAGTAACGTTTAGCGGCTTGGACTAAGACACAGTTGGATAAACACTGGAGAATCTTGGAGAGTTAGAATATTGTTCAAAAGGTTACTTCTGTATTTACACTGATATGAAACTACTGTTATAGAAATCTGAGTGGAGAGTAGCGTAGAGTAGAGTACAGAGTAGAGTAGAGTAGAGTACAGAGTAGAGTAGAGTAGAGTAGCGTAGAGTAGAGTACAGAGTAGAGTAGAGTAGAGTAGAGTAGAGTAGAGTACAGAGTAGAGTAGAGTAGAGTAGAGTAGAGTAGAGTAGAGTAGGGTAGGGTAGGGTAGGAGTAGAGTAGGGTAGGGTAGGGTAGGGTAGAGTAGAGTAGGGTAGGGTAGGGTAGAGTACAGAGTAGAGTACAGTAGAATAGAGTAGAGTAGAGTAGAGTAGGGTAGGGTAGAGTAGGGTAGAGAAGAGTAGGGTAGACTAGAGTAGAGTAGAGTAGAGTAGGGTAGGGTAGAGTAGGGTAGAGAAGAGTAGGGTAGACTAGAGTAGAGTAGAGTAGAGTAGGGTAGGGTAGAGTAGGGTAGAGAAGAGTAGGGTAGACTAGAGTAGAGTAGAGTAGAGTAGGGTAGGGTAGAGTAGGGTAGAGAAGAGTAGGGTAGACTAGAGTAGAGTAGAGTAGAGTAGGGTAGGGTAGAGTAGGGTAGAGAAGAGTAGGGTAGACTAGAGTAGAGTAGAGTAGGGTAGGGTAGGGTAGAGTAGGGTAGGGTGGAGTAGAGTAGAGTAGGGTAGGGTAGGGTAGAGTAGAGCCAGTGGAAACAGCTCGTTATGAACCAGATGTGTTCAGAACCAGGTGTGTTCAGAACCAGATGTGTTCAGAACCAGGTGTGTTCAGAACCAGATGTGTTCAGAACCAGGTGTGTTCAGAACCAGGTGTGTTCAGAACCAGGTGTGTTCAGAACCAGATGTGTTCAGAACCAGATGTGTCTAGAACCAGATGTGTTCGGAACCAGATGTGTTCAGAACCAGGTGTGTTCAGAACCAGATTTGTTCAGAACCAGGTGTGTTCAGAACCAGGTGTGTTCAGAACCAGATGTGTTTGGAACCAGATGTGTTCAGAACCAGGTGTGTTCAGAACCAGATGTGTTCAGAACCATATGTGTTCAGAACCAGATGTGTCTAGAACCAGATGTGTTCGGAACCAGATGTGTTTGGAACCAGATGTGTTCAGAACCAGGTGTGTTCAGAACCAGGTGTGTTCAGAACCAGGTTTGTTCAGAACCAGATGTGTTCAGAACCAGGTGTGTTCAGAACCAGGTGTGTTCAGAACCAGGTGTGTTCAGAACCAGATGTGTTCAGAACCAGGTGTGTTCAGAACCAGGTGTGTTCAGAACCAGGTGTGTTCAGAACCAGATGTGTTTGGAACCAGATGTGTTCAGAACCAGGTGTGTTCAGAACCAGATGTGTTCAGAACCAGATGTGTTCAGAACCAGGTGTGTTCAGAACCAGGTGTGTTCAGAACCAGGTGTGTTCAGAACCAGATGTGTTTGGAACCAGATGTGTTCAGAACCAGGTGTGTTCAGAACCAGATGTGTTCAGAACCAGATGTGTTCAGAACCAGGTGTGTTCAGAACCAGGTGTGTTCAGAACCAGGTTTGTTCGGAACCAGATGTGTTCAGAACCAGGTGTGTTCAGAACCAGGTGTGTTCAGAACCAGATGTGTTTGGAACCAGATGTGTTCAGAACCAGGTGTGTTCAGAACCAGATGTGTTCAGAACCAGATGTGTTCAGAACCAGTGTTTCAGAACCAGATGTGTTCAGAACCAGATGTGTTCAGAACCAGATGTGTTCGAACCAGATGTGTTTGGAACCAGATGTGTTCAGAACCAGGTGTGTTCAGAACCAGGTGTGTTCAGAACCAGATGTGTTCAGAACCAGATGTGTCTAGAACCAGATGTGTTCGGAACCAGATGTGTCTAGAACCAGATGTGTTCGGAACCAGATGTGTTTGGAACCAGATGTGTTCAGAACCAGGTGTGTTCAGAACCAGGTGTGTTCAGAACCAGGTGTGTTCAGAACCAGGTTTGTTCAGAACCAGATGTGTTCAGAACCAGGTGTGTTCAGAACCATGTGTGTTCAGAACCAGGTGTGTTCAGAACCAGGTGTGTTCAGAACCAGGTGTGTTCAGAACCAGATGTGTTTTGAACCAGATGTGTTCAGAACCAGGTGTGTTCAGAACCAGATGTGTTCGGAACCAGATGTGTTTGGAACCAGATGTGTTCAGAACCAGGTGTGTTCAGAACCAGGTTTGTTCAGAACCAGGTGTGTTCAGAACCAGGTGTGTTCAGAACCAGGTGTGTTCAGAACCAGGTTTGTTCAGAACCAGGTGTGTTCAGAACCAGGTGTGTTCAGAACCAGGTGTGTTCAGAACCAGATGTGTTTGGAACCAGATGTGTTCAGAACCAGGTGTGTTCAGAACCAGATGTGTTCAGAACCAGATGTGTTCAGAACCAGGTGTGTTCAGAACCAGATGTGTTCAGAACCAGATGTGTCTAGAACCAGATGTGTTCTGAACCAGATGTATTTGGAACCAGATGTGTTCAGAACCAGGTGTGTTCAGAACCAGGTTTGTTCAGAACCAGATGTGTTCAGAACCATGTGTGTTCAGAACCAGGTGTGTTCAGAACCAGATGTGTTCAGAACCAGGTGTGTTCAGAACCAGATGTGCACCTGTTGGTCTTCCAGATGTGGATGGTCTCCTCGTCCACGTTGTTGTGCTTCAGCGCCTGCTCGTCCAGAAAGTCAAAGAAGTATTTGACGGCAGGAGGAACCACTGCCCCCGAACACAGCACACTGCGGAAGAAGTCATCCACAAACTGCTGCAGAGTGCCCTGGAAACACACACAAGACCACTGTGAGAGAGAGGAGGAGAGAGGAGAGGAGGAGACAGGAGAGAGGAGAGAGGAGGAGAGGAGGAGGGGAGAGGAGAGAGAGGAGGAGAGGAGGAGGGGAGAGGAGAGAGGAGGAGAGAGAAGGAGAGGTGGAGGGGAGAGGAGGAGGGGAGGAGGAGAGGAGGAGAGGAGAGGAGGAGAGAGGAGGAGAGAGGAGAGAGGAGGAGAGGAGAGAGGAGGAGAGGAGGAGGAGAGAGGAGGAGAGAGGAGGAGAGAGAGGAGGAGGGGAGGAGGAGGGGAGAGAGAGAGAGGAGGAGGAGAGGGGAGGAGAGGGGAGGAGAGAGGAGGAGAGGAGGATAGAGAGGAGGAGAGGAGGAGGGGAGAGGAGAGAGGAGGAGAGAGAAGGAGAGGAGGAGGGGAGAGGAGGAGGGGAGGAGGAGAGGAGGAGGGGAGAGGAGGAGAGAGGAGAGAGGAGGAGAGGAGAGAGGAGGAGAGGGAGGAGGAGAGAGGAGGAGAGAGGAGGAGAGAAGGAGGAGGGGAGAGGAGGGGAGAGGAGAGAGAGGAGGAGAGAGGGGAGGAGAGGGGAGGAGAGAGGAGGAGAGAGGAGGAGAGAGAGAGGAGAGAGGAGGAGAGGAGGAGAGGAGGATAGAGAGGAGGAGAGGATCCCTCTGGACCAACAGCTCTGTTTGTTATCATTGCTTGTCTTGAGTTTGAACAGTTTGATTCTCTGATCTGTGTTGGTGAATCGACATCTTAGAAGGCCTTCGATAAATCTACTGTTGTGATTTAGGGCAAAACACAAACCCGTTGAATGGACTCGGAGGTGAATGTTAGTGCAGCGGTACCTTGACGGACAGGAGTCGTGTGAGATAGATTTCGGTGATGGCTTTGGTCATGGACTTGTCCTTGATGCTCCCTCTCTTGGACTTGATCTCGTCCAGCTCCTCCGCTGGTCGCACCAGGTGGAACACTTTGTCATCCTCCAGCAGAGCGTTCCCTGCACAGAACACCAGCAGCAGACACCAGGTTTGGAACGACTCCGGGATGACGTCAAGGCCCGGGTTCAGTTTTTATTTTCAATGTATTTGTATTAAGGACAATACAAATCTAGAATATTCATGAAAGGCTTCTCCGTCATTTAACCTGATGAACTGAAGTGGCTGGTGATGATCCTGACCTGTGTGTGTGTGTGTGTGTGTGTGTGTGTGTGCGTGTGTGTGTAATAATAATAATAATAATAATAATAATAATAATCACAGACATTAACTTTTCCATAAGATAAAAACAATGGAGGAGACACATACATTGACGTACCATGATTCACGCCGACGAAACTGAACAAAAGAGTTTGACAAGACCCATTCATGAGCAGAGAGAGGGGGAGGCAGAGAGAGAGAGGGGAGGCAGAGAGAGGGGGAGGCAGAGGAAGACACACAGAGACAGATTTGCTTTCGTCTAATCAACCATTCAGAAGTGTCCATAAAAGAGTGCAGATGAAAGCACATCCTCATAAATTAACATGTTCAATGAGAGCAGGGCGTTTGTGCATGTTGTCGAGGTCCCACAGGGGTCCACAGGGGTCCACAGGGGTCCCACAGGGGTCCCACAGGGGTCCACAGGGGTCCACAGGGGTCCCACAGGGGTCCCACAGGGGTCCCACAGGGGTCCACAGGGGTCCCACAGGGGTCCCACAGGGGTGAGGCTTCGTCCCCAGTGTTTCCTGTAGCCCCGGTAACAACAGCCAGAGAGAGAATCCGATATTAGGAGACAGATATTGTACGTACGCTCCTCGTGGTTCTCGTGGTTTTGATCGTAGTTCTGTTGAGTGTGAAGAACTCGGGACAGAACTAATGTGGCGTTGTCTCGGACCTGGGAAAGAGAGAGAGAAGGAGAGAGGAAAGGGATCAGACTTGGACCGGAGACGGTTTGGAGACTGGCCTGGGACACCTTCAGGGTCTGATAAAACTAGACATAACTCGATTTTAAAAGTTGATATTATTCAGTTAAAAAAGAAGGGTTTTGGTCTATTATATAAAGCTCCAATCAAACCAGGACTAAACCAGGACTAAGCCAGGGCTAAACCAGGACTAAGCCAGGACTAAGCCAGGGCTAAACCAGGACTAAGCCAGGACTAAGCCAGGACTAAACCAGGACTAAGCCAGGACTAAACCAGGACTAAACTAGGACTTAACCAGGACTGAACCAGGACTAAACCAGGACTAAACCAGGTCTGAACCAGGATCCAACCAGAACTAAACCAAGACTAAACCAGGACTAAGCGCAGGACTGAACCAGAACTGAACCAGTATCAAACCAGGACTAAACCAAGACTTAGTCAGGTCTGAACTATGACTTAACCAGGACTAAACCAGGATAAAAGTTGGACTAAACCAGGACTAAGCCAGGACTTAACCAGGACTAAACAAGGACTAAACCAGGACTGAACCAGGACTGAACCAGGACTGAACCAGGACTGAACCAGGACTTAACCAGGACTTAACCAGGACTTAACCAGGACTTAACAAGGTCTGAACCAGGGATGAATTCGAACTAAACCAGGAGTAACCCAGGACTATACCAAGACTCAACCGGGCCAACACCATGAACAAACAGCTCTGACGTCCACACGACTCATATCTGCCCCACTTTACAAACACATCGATTGCTGTCGTCTGCTGTTATTCTAAAAACGCTGGAACGTAAACACACGTGTCTTTAATCAGTCAGAAGTCGCCTGCATCTGTCTGTGTCGGCCTCTAATTCATAATCGATGCCGGAGAGACGCAGACAGAGGCCGGCCAGACGCTATCCGAGGAATTTACGGGTCATTTTCTGTGAAGCCGTCCCACTATTGACCCCACAAACACTGTCATTAGCACTACTTCAACTGCTCCCAATGAATCTATACTGGGCCAGGCCACCTCTGAAGGCGGGGGAGAGAGGGGGGGTCAGGATTTAAAAGGCAGGACGGAGCTGGCGTGTTTGTGGTGACCTTTAGTTTAGCCGCATCGATTCGGAGTCATGAAGATTTAGTGGCGGAGTGAGAAGTGACAGAGAGACAGTGAGAGAGGCCGAGGCTCGGACATAAATCTGTCAGAAGTATATTGTTATGAATGTTACTGAACGAGCAGAGGGGAGACTTAACAGAGCTGCAGATACACACCCTGGAATGGGTTTTTATCATTTATTAAACTGTGTGGTCGTAAAGGTGTGGTGTAACTTTGTTCTTATCATATGGGGGAATTCTGTTATTCTGTGAGATCTCTCTGTCTGGTCTCTGGCTGGTCTCTGTCTGGTCTCTGTCTGGTCTCTGTCTGGTCTCTGTCTGGTCTCTGTCTGGTCTCTGTCTGGTCTCTGTCTGGTCTCTGTCTGGTCTCTGTCTGGTCTCTGTCTGGTCATTGTCTGGTCCTTGTCTGGTCCTTGTCTGGTCTCTCTCTGGTCTCTCTCTGGTCTCTTTCTGGTCTCTCTCTCTGGTATCTCTCTGTTCTCTCTCTGGTCTCTCTCTGGTCTCTTTCTGGTCTCTCTCTCTGGTCTCTCTCTGTTCTCTCTCTGGTCTCTCTCTGGTCTCTCTCTGGTCTATTTCTGGTCTCTACCTGGTCTCTCTGCATGGTCTCTCTCTAGTATCTGTAGTTTCTAATTAGGTTCTGGTCTCTTTCTGGTCTCTCTCTGGTCTCTCTTTATTCTCTGGTCCGAGAGAAACCAGAGAGACCAGAGAGAAAGACAAGAGAGAGAGACCAAGGAGAGAGACTGGACTGAGAATTCAGATCTGATGCAAAGGATCCAATCAGAAAAGCCTTGAATAGCCTTTCTAATGCATTCCATTAAATATAAAATCTTTCAAACATGCAATGAAACTGCTCTTTCTTCATAATTATTGGTTTAGTTTCTCCGTGTTGCACTTTTGTGTTTGGGAGTCGCCGCTGAACATCCTCTGGCCCCCAGTTTGTCATAACTCGATGAAACGACATAAAAGCGGCTCTTGGTGTCAGCGCTGAGGCCAAGTCGATTACCAGGCTTTTATTTAAAAGTCAAGGCTTCGGCAGTTTGGAAACATGACTTTATAGAAGCAGAAAGGAGAGTATTTCTTATTTCTGACATTTTGTTAGTGCTCTATGGTCTCTGCGCCTCTGCGAGAATATGGTTATTACTGGCAAGAAATAGTTATGTTGCTTATTTCAAAAGATTTTCAGAGAGAGACCAGAGAAGAGACTAAAGAGAGACCAAAGAGAGACCACAGAGAGAGAGTGGAAAGAGAGACCAGAGAGACACCACAGAAAGAGAAAGGAGTGAAAGACAGAGAGAGAGAGAGAGAGAGAGAGAGAGATAGACCGAAGAGATAGACCGGAGAGAGAGAGAGAGAGAGAGACCGGAGAGAGAGACCGAAGAGAGAGACTGGAGAGAGAGAGAGAGACCAGCGAGAGGGACCAGAGAGAAACCACAAAGAGAGACTGGAGAGAGAGAAAGAGAAAGAGAGGGGGACTGGATAGAGAGACCACAGAGGGACCAGAGAGAGACCAGAGAGAGACCAGAGAGAGACCAGAGAGAGACCAGAGAGAGACCAGAGAGAGATCAGAGAAAAAGAGACGAGAAAGAGAGAACAGAGGGACCGGAGAAAGAGTCCAAAGAGGGACCAGAAAGAAAGACCGCAGAGTGATCACAGACAGAAACCAGAAAGAGAGACCAGAAAGAGACCAGAGTGAGACCAGAGAACCTAGAGTCTAAGTCTGGACTTACATTGTAATGGGCCAGTGTGTTGATGCGTCTCCATCGTCCCTCCTTCTGAGACGTCAGGTCGAGGTCAGACAGGATCTGCCCCGTGGAGCCGGGACGCCACTCTGCAGAAACAAACACACACAGGTGTGTTTGTTTAAAATGTGAAAATCAAGGCTCTGGTTTTTGTGATCCGACCAGTGTGGAGAGTAATGACTGTAATGTTATGCTTTATGCTGTAATGCAGTGATGTGAGACAGTAAAAACCTGGGTAATGTTTGACTCAGTTCAAAGGTCAATAACATTACTCTGTATTCTAACCTGAAATGAAATAGTATTTTGTTTTTATACTCTTCACCACGAGATCAGCCGGAGACACATCTGCTCCCATAGTATTTGCCTAAAACTGTTGTTCCTTTCTGGTAGAAGACGCTGAGGCTGAAGCAGAAGCAGCACTATGTGGACAAGAGTACATTTTAAAGATAGACAGGCTCCATTATTTAGAGTTTGTTCATTCTAAAGTCCACAGCGGATGAACTCGGCTGGTCCATAAACAAACACTTTCCTCAGCATTGACAAACATCTGGAATTAGCGTTTAGCCAAGAGCCCACTTTTGGACCAGGCCGTTTTTGAGAGGAAAGAAAACATCATACGAATGCATTGGATAATTCTGTTTCCTGTGCACCACCCCCGGCAAAGGAGTCGGAGTTGGACCTTTTCAAGCCGGGACCCGCCCCATTTCTAAAAGTGAGATTTCAAAACCCAAACACAGACCCCACTGTCCCGTCCTGCTCTAATCCTCTCAGAGAATCAGCGAAACCTGGAGGGCAGAGCAGAAACAAGCCTCTACTTTCTGAGTGATGTAAATCAAATTAGATTTTCATTCTGAGATTAAAACCAGTGTCAGTGCTGTAGACCAGGACCCACCAGCATCCGGCCGATTGTTCAGAAGGAAACTTGAAAAGAGAGTAATCTTTGTGATTCGGCGTGAAACAAGGCGGCTTATCTAAAATGCACAAAGATCTACAGGCTGCGTGGGAATCGCTGCTTTGAAGTTTGTGAATGTGTCTGCAGAGAGTTACAAGGTTCCCCAAGGTTTGTGACAACAGAATAACTTTGTCTCGGAATCAAGGCAGCGGTTCTTTATGCTCGAGTCGACTCTTTCAGCAAACGCACAAACACAGAGACACGCAAACGCACAAATGCAGAGACACACAAACGCACAAACACAGAGACACGCAAACGCACAAACACAGAGACACGCAAACGCACAAATGCAGAGACACACAAACGCACAAACACAGAGACACGCAAACGCACAAACACAGAGACACACAAACGCACAAACGCACAAACAGAAAAGACGTCAGACGGAAAAGTCACATTGGAGTAAATAAATGATCGATTCATTGGTTTTGATGAAGGCAGATGATGGCGTGAAATATGGAGGTTGCTTTGTGCTCGAATGTAGAAATTGAACCCAGAGAGAGAGAGACCAGAGAGAGAGACCAGAGAGAGAAAGCAGAGAGAGAGAGACCAGAGAGGGGGACTAGAGAGGGGGACCAGAGAGAGAGACCAGAGAGAGAGACCACAGAGAGACCAGAGAGAGAGAGAGACCAGAGAGAGAGAGAGACCAGAGAGAGAGAGAGACCAGAGAGAGAGACACTAGCGAGAGAGACCAGGTGAGAGAGAGACCAGGGAGAGAGAGACCAGAGAGAGAGATACCAGAGAGAGAGACCAGAGAGAGGCCAGAAAGAGAGACCAGAGAGAGAGAGGCCAGAGAGAGAGACCAGAGAGAGGCCAGAGATTTTAAACTTGACCTGTCAAATTTGACAAAACATTTTTTGTCTTTTCTCTAGTTTGGTCTCTCTCTGGTCTCTCTCTCTGGTCTCTCTCTCTGGTCTATCTCTCTGGTCTCTCCCTCTGGTCCCTCTCTCTGGTCTCTCTCTCTGGTCTCTCTCTCTGGTCCCTCTCTCACAGGTCCCTCTCTCTGGTCCTTCTCTCTGGTCTCTCTCTCTGGTCCCTCTCTCACAGGTCCCTCTCTCTGGTCCCTCTCTCTGGTGTCTCTCTCTGGTCTCTCTCTCTGGTCCCTCTCTCTCAGGTCCCTCTCTCTGGTCTCTCTCTCTGGTCTCTCTCTCCGGTCCTTCTCTCAGGTCTCTCTCTCTGGTCCCTCTCTCACTCGCTCTCGCTGGTCTAATCAAAACGTTGATTGTTTTTTTGGGCTTACATCTGTGGTTCAGTGCTCTCTCTGATCCTGGTGTTTTTATGGTGATATTGTCTTTGTAAAACCCAGATATGAGCCATGTAAGGACTGACCAATCAGAGGCCTGGATTCTCCTCTGTGACGTCACCTGACCCTCACTTACCCAGAGTGACGGAGTCCACCTTGGGCCTCTGGGAGTAGGGCAGGTTCCTGTAGACCTGCTCGATGATCTTCTCCTTCACCTGCGACACGGTGTCACAGCTCAGAGCTTTCACTGGAGTCACGTCAGGACCCTCACCATGGACCAGGACCTGCAGGGTCTGAAAGACAGCCACACACATGGTCAATACCAGAGAGAGAGAGAGCAGAGAGAGAGAGCAGAGAGAGAGAGAGCAGAGAGAGAGAGCAGAGAGAGAGAGAGCAGAGAGAGAGAGCAGAGAAAAAGCAGAGAGAGAGACTAGAGTGAGACCAGAAAGAGAGACTAGAGAGAGACGAGAGAGAGCAGAGAGAGAGACAAGATTGAGACTAGAGAGACAGAAGAGAGAGACCAGAGAGAGACCAGAGAGAGCCCATGGAGAGAAACCAGACAGAGACCAGAGAGAGAGCAGAGAGAGAGCAGACAGAGACCAGAGAGAGACCAGAGAGAGTGACCAGAGAGACCGAAGAGAGATACCAGAGAGAGACTATGCTCAAGATTCAATTCAATTCAAGAATAGAGAGAGAAAAACCAGAGAGAGACCAGAGAGGAACGAGAGAGTGAGAGAGAGACCAGAGAGCTTCCTTGGTCAACACTGGGTCAAAGAAACACCAGGGCCAAGAACAAGACCAATTTCAAGACCGGGATCAAGACCTCAAAAATACATGTGTGTGAAAACTATGTGTTAGACCGAAAGTATATTAGAGCCAGGAAATATGATTGGAATGATTGTGTGTCTTGTTTGTAGTTAGAAAGTTAGGTACCCCAGCTTTAGTCCATATTAAATCCACTTGTTCCCAGTTCCTAAACTTTCTCTTCTTGTTAGTGTTGTAGGAGAAATTAAAATGACCTCTTTCCTCAATCAAAGACATTTTGTTGTATATTGAGACATATTATAACTTCTGTCTCCACTGTGTGTAAATCCTTGTGGTTCAGGTTTTATTGTGGGTAAGAATGTCCTGAGATAAGTGCCATGGCAACACCCTTCCCCCAACGACTCTACAAGATGTGAAGACTTACAAGGACCCACAGGGAAGAAAAACCAGTCTGCTTTGGAACCACGGAGTGACCAGACCTCCCTGGGCTCTGCCCTGGGCTCTGCCCTGGGCTCTGCCCTGGGCTCTGCCCTGGGCTCTGCCCTGGGCTCTGCCCTGGGCTCTGCCCTGGGCTCTGCTCAGACAACCAAGGGGCCTTGGGCCTCTTAGATGGCCTCAAACCTCAGCTCCACGTTTGAGAGGACTTCCACAACCCTTCAATAGCCTCCAGCTTCAACCTGAAGAAGTTGCTGAGTTTTGGCACCTAGACTGTGGATTGTGGGAGGACTTGGTTCAGCCACATGATGCAGCCGCATGGTCCAGGCCCCGTGGACAAGAAGCCTCCATCCAACACCATCAAGACCCAAGGACTGCTATTCACCAAAGGCTACTCTGGTTGTATGATCTGCTCTCTTGCTACACACAGTTGTTGGCTTTATTAAAACCTATACTTCAAAGAATACTTCTCTTACCAAGGCTGAACACATGCAGGCCTCAGCCTATACCAATCCATTCATAGACAAAGGTCTTGCTTAGCTCACTTTAGCCTAGCATTTTAACAATGTATCTTGAAATCAACGTTTCCTTCATGTTATTCTTGACAATTTGCATATTTCATATCTAGTCTGTATTGTGTATACTTCATTAAATCTACAAAACCATCTGGGTCACTGATTTGTAAAAGAATTCACTATCTTCAGATTCTATTGAAGAGAATTGGACTAACTAGCTAATTAAATAATGAAAGGACTCATGATATTACTGAATCAATAAATGAGCCAATGAATTGATATTGTGACGTCATATGCACGTTATCAGTTGGGAGTTATTCCCTGGTGCCCCTAAATAAAGCTATTAACAATTATTGTATTTATTACATGGTTGTTTTTATCCAATTCTCCAATATCAGGTACATAACTTAAGTTATGTGTGATATCGACATTTTCTCACCCTACAGTGTTGAAGAAGTGACTCCTGAGTGTGGGTCCCACCGCTGGCATCACAAACTAAACACTGTCCAGATTTTCCAAGATGGTTGCCGTTGCCTAGGTAACACAGATTGGCAAAGTCGCCGTGTGACACAGAGCGGTGACACCTGCCAGGTCGACTGCCACCGGACCGACTAATGACCTGTGTGTGTGTGAGTCTGTGTGTGTGTCTGTGAGTGTGTGTCTCTGTGTGTCTCTGTGTGTGTGTCTCTGTGTGTGTGTGTCTCTGTGTGTGTCTGCGAGTGTGTCTGTGTGTGTCTGCGAGTGTGTCTCTGTGTGTCTGCAAGTGTGTCTGTGTGTGTCTGCGAGTGTGTCTCTGTGTGTCAGTGTGCCTCCGTGTGTGTGTGTGTCTCTGTGTGTCTGCGAGTGTGTCTGTGTGTGTCTGCGAGTGTGTCTCTGTGTGTGCGTCTCTGTGTGTCTGCGAGTGTGTCTGTGTGTGTCTGCGAGTGTGTCTCTGTGTGTGCGTCTCTGTGTGTCTGCGAGTGTGTCTGTGTGTGCCTGCGAGTGTGTCTCTGTGTGTGTGTGTGTCTCTGTGTGTGTGTGTGTCTCTGTGTATGTGCCTATGTGTCAGTGTGCCTCTGTGTGTGTGTGTGTGACAAAAAACACACTGATCACTCACAGTCGCCGCAGCAACTGGAACACCACCGCCTTTGTTTGAGGGTCAAGTCAAAACAAGGGTTTAAAGCTGGGGAACCTAACTTTAATTTTCATAGATAAAGAGACAGAGACAGAGAGAGAGAGAGACCAGAGAGAGACCAAAGGTCAGGGAAAGACTAGAGAGAGACCAGAGAGAGAGAGACCTATAGACCAGTAGGAGTTATTGGGGAGTGGGATGACCACTGTCCAGAAATGTCTCTAAATGTCCCGGATAATCACTGTCTTTAGACTCTACTTTGGCTCTGATTAACACTGGTTTAGTCCTGAACAATGCAGTCCTGGTCTCTCTATGGTCTCTCTTTCTGGTACCTCTCTTTGTCTCTCCCCCTCTGGTCTCTCTCAGGTTTTGCTCTGGTCTCTCTCAGGTCTCTCTCTTTGGTCTCTTTCTGGTCTCAGGTCTGTCTCTCTGGTCCTAGTCTCTCTCTGGTCTCTCTCTGGTCCTAGTCTCTCTCTGGTCTCTTTCTGGTCTCAGGTCTGTCTCTCTGGTCCTAGTCTCTCTCTCTGGTCTCTCTCTGGTCTCTCGCAGGTTTCTCTCTGGTCCTAGTCTCTCTCTCTGGTCTCTCTCTGGTCTCTCGCAGGTTTCTCTCTGGTCCTAGTCTCTCTCTCTGGTCTCTCTCTGGTCTCTCGCAGGTTTCTCTCTGGTCCTAGTCTCTCTCTCTGCTCCCTTCTGGTCTCAGGTCACTCTCTGGTCCTAGTCTCTCTCTCTGGTCTCTCTCTGGTCTCTCGCAGGTTTCTCTCTGGTCCTAGTCTCTCTCTCTGCTCCCTTCTGGTCTCAGGTCACTCTCTGGTCCTAGTCTCTCTCTCTGGTCTCTCTCTGGTCTCTCGCAGGTTTCTCTCTGGTCCTAGTCTCTCTCTCTGGTCTCTCTCTGGTCTCTCACAGGTTTCTCTCTGGTCCTAGTCTCTTTCTCTTTCTCTGCTCTCTCTCAGCTCTCTCTCGGCTCCCTCTCTGGTCCTGGTCTCGCTCCACCTGCTCCGGATCGGTTCCACTTAGCAAAGCCGCGTTCCCACTATCCGGTTTCAATAATGTCTTTCTGGTGTGGACGCAGCTGGTTTCTGTTCGACTCCAACAGTTAATGCTGTTGTCGGGCACAATTATCAAATTAGTGCGAATGAGGCTCTCTCTGTAACGGATCGCTCTGCAGAGGTTTGACTGCTGCACTGTGTGTCACACTGAGAGCTTTTGGAGCTGATGCTAATTGATGGTTTGAGTGGAGTCTCCCTGTCCCCTGGTGCCTGTCACACACCAGGTGGGTATTGTTCTCTTCCATTATATTATTAGATCTTACAATTATTCAAAACATGTTGTTTTTAAAGACCAGAGAGAGAGAGAGCAGGGACTGACTAGAGAAAGAGCAGAGAGAGACCAGAGAGAGACTATGGAGAGACCAGAGAGAGACCAGAGAGAGACCAGGGGGATACCAGAGAGAGACTATAGGAGAGTCCAGGGAGAGACAATAGAGAGACCAGAGGGACCAGAGAGAGACCAGGGAGAGACCAGTGAGAGACCAGAAAGAGACCAAAAAGAGAAAAGCCAGAGAGAGAGAGACTAGAGAGTTACCATGGAGAGACCACGGAGAGACCAGAAAGAGACCAGAAAGAGAGCAGAGAGAGACCAGGGAGCCAGCCCCCCTGAGTCCCCTAGGTCTCCTTTCTCCTCTGGTTCTCCTTTCTCCTCTGGTTCTCCTTTCTCCTCTGGTCCCCATTGGAATGCCGGTCTTGTCGCCGGTGCTAACATTGACACTGGGAATGGATGTCACACAGAGGAGCGCCGCGGCCGGAGCTCCCCGGGGGGTTTTCTTTATTTCTTTTTTTTTTTGTTCTTTTTCTCCACGGCTTGTTACCGTGGCAACTGCACCTCGGCTTTGTCTGTGTGCACATGGTGTCGCGCGGCGGCAGACAACATGTAATTTGGACACGCGTCTTTCTGCCGGAGCGAGAGGCGGAAGCAGACGAGCTGAAATCCAACACCTCTGAGCGGGAGATGGAGGATTTTAATTAAACATGTTCGAGGACATTAACGAGAGCCCAGAGAAACACAGCAATTATCATATGTTGGTGCTTAAGCCAGATCTTGAGAATGTTTACTTGTCGGGGGTGATTCTCGACATTCAACGACATTTATCATCCGCCCCTCATGGACCGACGGCTCTGTGCGTTTGCTATCATGGCATTTCCCGAGTTTGAGCTGCTTTGATTCTCTCAACAGTAAAGTCCTCCGAGAAAACTACTGTTGAGAGTCAAGATGAAAAAGATAGAATTGAACTTGTGTCTTAATCTTTCAGAACAGGCAGGTCTGTGGGACTGCAGCAGGAGGAGCAAGTCCAAGACACACCTTTTAGATTAGTTTGGATTATTATTAGTATTATTTGAAGAGTTCATTTGCAAAAACAGATATTAGGGCTGCACAATATATAGAAAAAATATTGTTATCACAATATTGGTGTGTGCAATATCCATATCCATTTTTTTCCTTTATTAAGAACAACACACAAACAAAAAGTATATAAATATTTGCATTTGAAAGTCATTAATGTTGTGCTTATTTTTTGTTATTCATCTCTTGCGTTTCAAAGCAGATGCAATTTTAGGAGAAAGACAAAAATATCGCAATAATATTGTTATCGAAATACTGAACACTCATATCAAATATTGCTCTAATTTCAATAACGAGCAGCCCTAACAGATTTATAGAATTTGAAAATGTGTCCAAAAGTTGCTTTAATCGTCAACACATTTTGTTATTGGCAATTTGCTGAAGACAGGGATGAACTTTATCTGTATGACACTAAAATAGGCTTTTCCAAAAGACTTCTGTTCTGTATCTGTTAGAGACGCTTTATTCACTGTTTAGTTGTTAATTTAGTCTCAGTTATTATTTATTGTGCTATATTCCTTTAAACTTTTAACATTTCAATATTTAACTTTTTATCCTGTTGTTTTAGTCTCGTTCAGAGCAGCCTGAACACAGTCAAAACACTTTTACAGTCCATGTTGTCGACGCCTGGACAAATCTGAACTAAAGCAGACCCCTGATTTAAAAAGTTTGGGCGCCCCTGCTTCAGAATGTGAGATACTTGCTTGGTACGAACACATCTGTCAAAGTGAGAGAGAATAAAGCAGCTGTAAAGGACTAAAGGACATTAGTCTAAGACAGACGCGCAGAATGGATTCTTTCTTATAACCGCTTTTTTCGTACATTATGACAGTATTTTTTTCTGGTTCACCAAAACTGGACCAAATACAAAGTTAAACACAAATAAACACAACTTAAAATAATGTGTAGGGTTAACATTTTCAAATTAAAGAACATTTGTAAAATATATAATTGAAAATCCTTTTTAGAGGCCACAAAAAAGGGTCTTGTGGGCCGGATTTGGCCCACGAGCCTCAGTTTGAGTTTACCATATGTTTTGTGCCCATAGACTGTACACAGATGGACAATGCTAACCCGCTAGCTCAATGAAACCGAATAGAGAAGTGCTCATGGACCATGGTTGGCTCCTTGACAGTGGACAGTACACCTACACATACACAAGGAGAACATGCAATCTGTGGCAGGTCAAGTCGTTTCAAAATATTTAGGAGGGTTCCTTTTGTCTTCTTGGCAAAATAAAACTGAGCAAATAACTTTAAGGACACATGAATCTCAGAGTTATTAGCATCTCAAAGCTAGCATCTACTTTTCCACGGCTTTTCAGAATGACATGTTCTCACGGTCGTAATGCCTTCTCTACCGCGTCCTTGCGAGTCGTGACGGCGAGACAGAACATAACTGTGCAGATCCAGAGAAATGTGTTTGTGACGATGGAAACAGACTCAAGTGACGCAAAAAAGACATGTCGAGAAAAGTATGACAGGACTCGGAACGAACGGACGGGAGGAAATGTCCCCACCGCGACTGCAGAAACGTTAAGATTTTAAAGCAGAGATTTGGATGTGGCGTTTGTTCCACTGGCAAATGTTTTAAGTCTTACACAAACTGAAAAGAAATCTGGGTAACATTTAGATTAGCCCTAAGTAATTAACAGCAAATCAAGTGCATGAAAGACCAGAGAGAGAGAGACCAGAGAGAGACCAGAGAGAGACCAGAGAGAGAGACCAGAGAGAGACCAGAGAGAGAGACCAGAGAGAGACCAGAGAGAGAGACCAGAGAGAGACCAGAGAGAGAGACCAGAGAGAGACCAGAGAGAGAGACCAGAGAGAGAGACCAGAGAGAGAGACCAGAGAGAGAGACCAGAGAGAGAGACCAGAGAGAGAGACCAGAGAGAGAGACCAGAGAGAGAGACCAGAGAGAGAGACCAGAGAGAGACCAGAGAGAGAGACCAGAGAGAGAGACCAGAGAGAGAGACCAGAGAGAGAGACCAGAGAGAGAGACCAGAGAGAGAGACCAGAGAGAGAGACCAGAGAGAGAGACCAGAGGGAGACCAGAGAGAGAGACCAGAGAGAGAGACCAGAGAGAGAGACCAGAGAGAGAGACCAGAGGGAGACCAGAGAGAGAGACCAGAGAGAGAGACCAGAGAGAGAGACCAGAGAGAGAGACCAGAGGGAGACCAGAGAGAGAGACCAGAGAGAGAGACCAGAGAGAGAGACCAGAGAGAGAGACCAGAGAGAGAGACCAGAGGGAGACCAGAGAGAGAGACCAGAGAGAGAGACCAGAGGGAGACCAGAGAGAGACCAGAGAGAGAGAGACCAGAGAGAGAGACCAGAGAGAGAGACCAGAGAGAGAGACCAGAGAGAGAGAGACCAGAGAGAGACCAGAGAGAGAGAGAGACCAGAGAGAGAGACCAGAGGGAGACCAGAGAGAGAGCAGAGAGAGAGAGAGAGAGATCAGAGGGAGACCAGAGAGAGACCAGAGAGAGAGACCAGAGGGAGACCAGAGAGAGACCAGAGAGAGAGACCAGAGAGAGAGACCAGAGAGAGAGACCAGAGAGAGAGACCAGAGAGAGAGACCAGAGAGAGAGACCAGAGGGAGACCAGAGAGAGACCAGAGAGAGAGACCAGAGGGAGACCAGAGAGAGAGACCAGAGAGAGAGACCAGAGGGAGACCAGAGAGAGACCAGAGAGAGAGACCAGAGGGAGACCAGAGAGAGACCAGAGAGAGAGACCAGAGAGAGAGACCAGAGAGAGAGACCAGAGAGAGAGACCAGAGAGAGAGACCAGAGGGACACCAGAGAGAGACCAGAGAGAGAGACCAGAGGGAGACCAGAGAGAGACCAGAGAGAGAGACCAGAGAGAGACCAGAGAGAGAGACCAGAGAGAGACCAGAGAGAGACCAGAGAGAGACCAGAGAGAGAGACCAGAGGGAGACCAGAGAGAGAGACCAGAGGGAGACCAGAGAGAGACCAGAGAGAGAGACCAGAGAGAGACCAGAGAGAGAGACCAGAGAGAGACCAGAGAGAGACCAGAGAGAGAGACCAGAGAGAGAGACCAGAGGGAGACCAGAGAGAGAGACCAGAGAGAGACCAGAGAGAGACCAGAGAGAGACCAGAGAGAGAGACCAGAGAGAGACCAGAGGGAGACCAGAGAGAGAGACCATAGAAAGACCAGAGAGAGACCAGAGAGAGAGACCAGAGGGAAAGAACAGAGAGAGAGGGTCACAAGAGAGAGACCACAGAGAGAAACCTCGGTGAGACCAGAGAGAGAGAACAGATAGAGAGACCAGAAAGAGACCTGGAAGAGACCAGAGAGAGAGACTAGAGAGAAAAACCAGCAAGAAAGACTAGAAAGAGAGACCATGAGATAGATTAGAGAGAGACCACATAGAGGGACCAGAGAGAGAGCTGGGACAGACCAGAGAGAGAGACCACAGAGAGAGACCAGAAACCAATGGATTAATTCTTATTTTTGCCAATAATGTAAATGTAATCACCCTCAGTAATTAACAGCTAATAAAGTGCTAGTTAGAGTCCTTTAACCCACATGGTGTGAGTTGATGGTTAGTTAGTATTCTCACCAGGACAGAGTATTCCACGTCGTCTCCCAGAAGTCCGGTGTCGTTCAGAGTGTACTTGGCCTTCTTCACTCGGGCGTCCACTGGTCCCTTCTCGATCTGGTGTTTTATGGCTCTGAACAGTTTGTACAGAGGTTCACCTGCAGAGTCCTGTCACACACACACGACACACATGCACACATGCGCACACACACACACGCACACACACGCACACACACACACACGCACACAAAAGCTTATGATTTGTTTTATCGTTCAAACCTGGGTAATAACACCGTTTGAACACTCTCCCCTCTCTGCCTCTGAGGACTATCTCTCTCCAACAGAAGCACCAATGTCTGAGAGAAGAGAGTCATGAGCAGAGAGACACCAGAGAGAGAGCAGAGAGACACCAGAGAGAGAGCAGAGAGTGAGCAGAGAGACACCAGAGAGAGAGCAGAGAGACACCAGAGAGAGAGCAGAGAGTGAGCAGAGAGAGACCAGAGAGAGAGCAGAGAGTGAGCAGAGATGGAAGAGAGAGAGAGCAGAGAGACACCAGAGAGAGAGCAGAGAGTGAGCAGAGAGAGACCAGAGAGAGAGCAGAGAGTGAGCAGAGATGGAAGAGAGAGAGAGAAAGACCAGAGAAAGACCAGAGAGAGACCAGAGAGTGAGCAGAGAGACCAGAGAGATAGCAGAGATGAACGAGAGAGAGACCAGAAAGAGAGACGAGAAAAAGACCAGAGAGAGACCGGAGAGAGAGAGAGCAGAGCTGGACGAGAGAGAGACTAGAAAGAGACCAGAGAGAGAGACCAGCGAGAGACCAGAAAGAGAGAGGCCAGGGAGGGGGTGAAGTGTCTTGCCTGAGGACACAGTTTGGCCCTTTACAGCACCTGGCGTTCCCAGAGGTCTCCCATCCCAGTACTAACCAGGCCCTGCCCTGATGAGCCTTGGAGGAAACATTAATGGTAAAATGTAAATGTTTGTTTTCTCACCTTCAGGAACTGATACAGACAGATGGACATCCAGTTACACAGCATCCGCTCCACCACAGTCTCCGACCTGCAGCACAGGACATGAACAGCGTCAGAGAAGAAGCCTGTCTCACATTTTCAGGAAGACTGTTCTAGGATTATGGAGGATTATCTGAGACATGTTTAGTCCTGACTCTGGGCACATACAGCGGCTTTACTGTTTCACTAAAATGCAAACGTGGAATCCATGTGTTCAGTCCACAGTCTGCTATCTGGTCTGTATGTTAGCGGTGTCATTAAACAAAAATTGCAATTATCATTGAAATAATATATTATAATGATTTCACCTTCACCAAAGTCATACATCAGCCATGACCAAATGCAGCCTCAGTGTCATTTCTCTGAGCTCTCTGGTCTCTCTAAGTCTCTCTTTCTGGTCTCTCTTTTGTCTCTCTGGTCTATCTCTCTGGTTTCCTTCTGGTCTCTCTGGTCTATCTCTCTGGTCACTCTCTGGTCTCTCTCTTTCTGGTCTCTCTCGTCTATATCACTGGTCTCTCCTTCTGGTCTCTCTCTGGTCCCTCTCTCTGTCTTGCTAACCCCAAGTAGTCTTTGAGATAATAAACACAAGTTCACTGTGTCATCCATCCAACTTCAGCTCAGCCAATATACACCTTGTTCTGAAGGCCAGTATGTCGTTGACCTTATTTGCACATACTGTACAGAAGTGGGTTTTTGATTCTGTCACTACCGTTAATGGTTCTGTCACTACCGTTAATGGTTCTGTCACTATTGTTAATGGTTCTGTCACTATTGTTAATGGTGCTAATGTACGTATCTAGAGAGATGGTAAACATATGTCATTCAGCCAACTTCAGCTCCGGGAGGCAAGAGTGGATAGCACTCTTGCCTCTCAGCAAGAAGGTCCTGGGTTCAAATCCCGGTCGGACCAGGGACCTTTCTGAGTGGAGTTTGCATGTTCTACCCGTGTCTGTGTAGGTTTCCTCCAGGTACTCCGGTTTCCCCTACCACTAAAAACATGCACAATCGGTATGAATGTAAATGAGAGAGTGTTGATTGGGGCGACTCGCTTCCGTCATCACCGTGTGTGGAGTGATATCTGAACTATATCTGAACTCTGAACGCTTTGGGTGACCTTGGTCTGTAAAATGCGCTATAAAATAAATCATTACGTATTCACTTACTTACTTATGGATCTCAGAACAGCCTGGCCCTGGACTAGTCTGGTGAACTAAAGTGGCCTTCTTACTAAAAGGTTTGGACACCCCTGTCAGAGATAAACACATTCTCCAGATACTTGTGGAGAGATAGAGCCATAACCTCCTCAACTTTAAGAAACAGCTTCTCCATAAACATAAAGACTAAAAAATAAATGAAATAATCAGAGATACAAATTGGTTTTTCCGCTAAGACTTGCTCCAGAGAGCGTGTCTCCGAGTTTCCCAAAGTAATTAAACACTCCCCATTATACTGCCATGTTGGGGATTTCAACAAATGAATCCATAAAGTAACAAGGCAGAATGCAGTGTCATCACAATGTTATTAAAATTACACTGGCATGTTCTCCGTCCTCCATTTAGAATCGTATTAAAATCTAATTTGACCCACACACAAATTGATTTCTTTGTCTGCGTCTGGGACCGGTGTCAGATTCTGAATGTTGACGGCTATCGCTAGCTCTGGTGCATATCGTTAAATGGTTGGTGTGTGTGTGTGTGTGTGTGTGTGTTTGTGTGGGAGTTTGTGTTTGTGTTGGCAACGTGGACTAATCATTGTAATGGGGATCTCCACTGGGGCATAATTAAGATGTGCAGGCTGCCATAACAGACAGACAGCCGAGGGGGGAGGAGGGGGAGATGGGGGGAGATGGGAGGAGATGGAGGAAGGTGGAGGGAGGTGGGGTGGTCTGAGAGAGACAATGCAGCGGTGACCTTGGCGGGAATTGACCAGGATTAGATTTGGAGAAAAGCACAGGATAAAGCAGGTCTAGGGCCAGCTCCACATGAGGACATTTAACCCCATTTTATGACAGATTTAGTTCAATTGGAGTTGAGTTGTGATACTCATCTCATCAGGGGGAGCTACAAGTCACCATAGCAACCGTCTTAGCAACACGTCAGCCTCAAAGCTAACAGTGTAGCAGCAAATGCTCATATAAGGAAACTGGCTCCAGCTTATGTTCCAATAGGCCTCGGCTGCATTAGAGCTAACACTTTGGTGATGTCACACTCAGTCAGTCCACTCTGAACATACAGTCACACCTCCGTAGGGAGGTGTCCAGAAGGCATCTCAAACAGATGAGCCATCTCAATTGGCTCCTCTGCATTTGGAGGAGCAGCGGCTCTACTCTGAGCTCCTCCCATGTGACTGAGCCATAGTGTTCATTTGGTTAATACCATGGACATAAACTGGAGCCATTTCCTTATATGGGCATTTGCTCTTATGGCACCGTAAAAGGGGCCGACGTGTTGCTAAGGCTTTGCTAGGACAAACCAGAAGTTTCCCCCATGAATGAAGGCATATATGGCTAAAATCTGGATTTACAAAGACAATATCACAATACAAACACCAGGATCACAGAGCGCTAAGGGGCTTACTTTTACATGGAAGTCAATAGGATCCAGAGAGAGGAGCCAAACTTCACCATGTGCACTTCCCTATTGGGGCTAGTGGGCTAGCATAGAGCTAGCGGGTTAGCATTGCCCTTCTGAATACAGCCTATGGTCCCCTCCTAATATACAGTCTACGATTACAACAACCTGGATGTCTCGATAGAGCAGGCAGCTATCACTAAACCAGGACCACAAAGTACAAAGTACACACTCGCAGACGGTCCTTATCAGGAACCAGACAAAGTTAAAGTAAAATCCAGTCATTTCCCCAGGACTAATAAGACACAAACAGAACTAAAATAGATTGAGAACAAACACTATCAGAGGCAGTCTTTGCCCGGTCAGGGAGTTAGCTGCTTGACCTTGACAGAATAATTGGATTGGGAAACCGTGATTCTCTGGCCGTGTTGGAATGTTTCTTTCATTCTGAAACAATGGAGTTGGCAACAATTGTCAGCGAATGTTTACAGACCTCAGCGTGGAGTAACGACAGATGGGAACTCTGATTAGATTCTTCTGTAAAGAGAGGAATGTGGCTTTAATTGATCTGTCAAATTAGACGCTGAGTTTGGCTCCATCACTGTTTGATTCTATGTTGCACAACAGTAAAAACTAGTTATATTATGCTTTTAAAACCATTAACCCCAAGGCGATGTAGATCAGGGGTCTCAAACTCAGTGGTCTATGAGGTGGACTCTGAGTGAAGGGTTATGTTTATCAGGTGTTTGTGTGTATGTCAAATATATGAACATCGGAGCAACATGCACTGACAGAGATGGAAGATAGTAAACATGCACACGCTGTTTCACTTTACAGTAGCTCAGTTGGGAGAGCGTTGGCCTTTGAGCCTGAAGGTTGTGGGTTCGAGCCCACCATAAGACCTACTTCACGACTCCCACTGATGACTGCTGTTGTTGTGTCCTTGGGCAAGACACTTAACCCCACTTTGCCTGAAGCCCCCACTGAAAGATCTCAGCTGCTGTGGATCCTCCTCCACCTGCAGGAGGATCAGTGAGGGGCTGGTGCTCTGTGCAGCTCTGACTGCCACCCCCCGACCCAGAAATGGATTAAGGGGAAGAAAATGGATGGATGGATGTTTCACTTTTCTCACGTGGCCTAGCTCCTGGATAAATACAGCTAAAACTGCTTCATTTCAAACTGTGCATCTTTTCATTCTTTAAAGTTGCAATATGTAAGATTTTTGTGTCAAGCCATCATTAAAGGGCCCTAATCCGTCAAAAGTCATTAATAAACCATTCTCTTTTCAGAAAGTCTGTGATCCGGGCGCCAGAACTCACCGCGTGGAGCTAATCTCACTGGTAAAGTACCATGTGGCCACAGAACTTAAAAACGTCTCAAATCATTAACAAAGTGATTCTCAAACCATTAACTAAATATTGAAAAAAACAAATAAATAAAATAAAGATTTCTATTGAGGCCTTTGTGAAAAAGGTGTTGGTTATAGATTTTTCAGACTCTATTCAGCTACTATGGTCCCAGCTGGATTCGTCTGCATATCTGGCAACCTGAGTCAGGGAGAGTGGGAGAGGACTACAGAATATTGACCGTGATTGCAGTAACACTTTCGGCCAGATTTTTACATATTGCTCATTTGTTTGTATCTGCAATGTCTAACATGCCATGGAAGCACATACTTTTTTATTAAACAATTTTCGGATTTGAGCTGTGAAAGTCCCAAAGAGGTAGATTTCAGTTCCGAGCTTCAGAAAGGGCCTACCTACCTACCTACAGTGCCTTGCGAAAGTATTCGGCCCCCTTGAACCTTTCAACATTTCGCCACATTTCAGGCTTCAAACATAAAGATATAAAATTTAAATTTTTTGTCATGAATCAACAACAAGTGGGACACAATCGTAAAGTGGAACGAAATGTATTGGATAATTTAAACTTTTTTAACAAATAAAAAACTGAAAAGTGGGGCGTGCAATATTATTCGGCCCCTTTACTTTCAGTGCAGCAAACTCAGTCCAGAAGTTCAGTGAGGATCTTTGAATGATCCAATGTTGTCCTAAATGACTGATGGTGATAAATAGAATGCACCTGTGTGTAATCAAGTCTCCGTATAAATGCACCTGCTCTTTGATAGTCTCAGGGTTCTGTTTAAAGCGTAGAGAGAACCATGAAGACAAAGGAACACACCAGGCAGGTCCGAGATACTGTTGTGGAGAAGTTTAAAGCCGGATTTGGATACAAAAAGATTTCCCAAGCTTTAAACATCTGCAAGCAATTATATTGAAATGGAAGGAGTATCAGACTACTGCAAATCTACCAAGACCCGGCCGTCCCTCCAAACTTTCATCTCAAACAAGGAGAAGACTGATCAGAGATGCAGCCAAGAGGCCCATGATCACTCTGGATGAACTGCAGATAACTACAGCTGAGGTGGGAGAGTCTGTCCATAGGACAACAATCAGTCGTGCACTGCACAAATCTGGCCTTTATGGAAGAGTGGCAAGAAGAAAGCCATTTCTCAAAGATATCCATAAAAAGTCTGGTTTAAAGTTTGCCACAAGCCACCTGGGAGACACACCAAGCATGTGGAAGAAGGTGCTCTGGTCAGATGAAACTAAAATCGAACTTTTTGGCCACAATGCAAAACGATATGTTTGGCGTAAAAGCAACACAGCTCATCACCCTGAACACACCATCCCCACCTCAGCTGTAGTTATCTGCAGTTCATCCAGAGTGATCATGGGCCTCTTGGCTGCATCTCTGATCAGTCTTCTCCTTGTTTGAGATGAAAGTTTGGAGGGACGGCCGGGTCTTGGTAGATTTGCAGTGGTCTGATACTCCTTCCATTTCAATATAATTGCTTGCACAGTGCTCCTTGAGATGTTTAAAGCTTGGGAAATCTTTTTGTATCCAAATCCGGCTTTAAACTTCTCCACAACAGTATCTCGGACCTGCCTGGTGTGTTCCTTTGTCTTCATGGTTCTCTCTGCGCTTTAAACAGAACCCTGAGACTATCAAAGAGCAGGTGCATTTATACGGAGACTTGATTACACACAGGTGCATTCTATTTATCATCATCAGTCATTTAGGACAACATTGGATCATTCAAAGATCCTCACTGAACTTCTGGACTGAGTTTGCTGCACTGAAAGTAAAGGGGCCGAATAATATTGCACGCCCCACTTTTCAGTTTTTTATTTGTTAAAAAAGTTTAAATTATCCAATACATTTCGTTCCACTTTACAATTGTGTCCCACTTGTTGTTGATTCATGACAAAAAATTTAAATTTTATATCTTTATGTTTGAAGCCTGAAATGTGGCGAAATGTTGAAAGGTTCAAGGGGGCCGAATACTTTCGCAAGGCACTGTACCTACCTATCTGTCTACCTCTATCTATCTATCTACCTCTATCTGTCTATCTACCTCTATCTATCTTTTTATCTATCTATCTATCTATCTACCTCTATCTGTCTGTCTATCTAACCCTACCTACCTACCTGCCTACCTATCTATCTATCGAGTTAATTATTAAAAAATATTGGTTAGGTTGACTTTGAAAACTCCTCTAAATGTGTGAGTCTGCTTCTTTGTGAAGTTGAAGGATAATGAAAATACATTTGAAGCTTTTGTGAAAGTTGCAGGAGGAGAAAACAGCCAGAAGGGGAAACAGAAGGAGTGGAGTGGACCGAGCAGCAGTCTGGCTCTTGATAATGGACCACAAAGACACACAAACACACTTAACACACACACAGTGACACACAGAGACCCACAGAGACACACACAAACATGGCAACAAAACGAAACAGTCCACAACAAGTTGGTCCAATTCCCGGAGCTCCTAAACCAGACAAGCAGAGCGGGGGCAGGGCCAGATTATGGAGAGATTACAACCAGATCTGAAGAGGGACATTATACCAGAGAGAGAGACCAGAGAGACCAGAGAGACCAGAGAGAAACACATTTAGAAACATGGTATTTATAGAGCGGGGAGCTGTCATCGCCCTCAATCACAACAACAGTTTTCTCAGAAGAATTTACAAAGTTGTGGATTCACCAACAACAGATCAGAGAATCAAACAGTTCAAACGAGAAAAACAATAATAACAAACACATAGGAGCCAGAGAGTGTGATAGAGAGAGAGAGACCAGAGAGACCAGAGAGAAAGAGAGAGAGTGAGAGAGAGAGAGTGACCAGAGAGCGAGAGAGAGAGAGAGAGAGAGAGAGAGACAGAGAGAGACCAGAGAGAGAGAGAAAGAGAGAGAGTGCGATAGAGAGATCAGAAAGAGAGAGAGAGAGAAAGAGAGAGAGTGAGACAGAGAGAGACCAGAGAGAGAGAGAGAGAGAGAAAGAGAGAGAGTGCGATAGAGAGAGAGAAAGAGAGAGAGAGAGAAAGAGAGAGAGTGAGACAGAGAGAGACCAGAGAGAGAGAGAAAGAGAGAGAGTGCGATAGAGAGATCAGAAAGAGAGAGAGAGAGAAAGAGAGAGAGTGAGACAGAGAGAGTGACCAGAGAGCGAGAGAGAGAGAGAGAGAGAGTGAGACAGAGAGAGACCAGAGAGAGAAAGAGAGAGAGTGCGATAGAGAGATCAGAAAGAGAGAGAGAGAGAAAGAGAGAGAGTGAGACAGAGAGAGACCAGAGAGAGAGAGAGAGAGAGTGCGATAGAGAGATCAGAAAGAGAGAGAGAGAGAAAGAGAGAGAGTGAGACAGAGAGAGACCAGAGAGAGAGAGAGAGAGAAAGAGAGAGAGAAAGAGAGAGAGTGCGATAGAGAGATCAGAAAGAGAGAGAGAGAGAAAGAGAGAGAGTGAGACAGAGAGAGACCAGAGAGAGAGAGAAAGAGAGAGAGTGCGATAGAGAGATCAGAAAGAGAGAGAGAGAGAAAGAGAGAGAGTGAGACAGAGAGAGACCAGAGAGAGAGAGAGAGAGAAAGAGAGAGAGAAAGAGAGAGAAAGAGAGAGAGTGAGACAGAGAGAGACCAGAGAGAGAGAGAAAGAGAGAGAGTGCGATAGAGAGATCAGAAAGAGAGAGAGTGAGATAGAGAGAGACCAGAGAGAGAGAGAGAGAGAGAGTGAGATAGAGAGAGACCAGAGAGAGAGAGAGAGAAAGAGAGAGAGAAAGAGAGAGAAAGAGAGAGAGTGAGACAGAGAGAGACCAGAGAGAGAGAGAAAGAGAGAGAGTGCGATAGAGAGATCAGAAAGAGAGAGAGTGAGATAGAGAGAGACCAGAGAGAGAGAGAGAGAGAGTGAGATAGAGAGAGACCAGAGAGAGAGAGAGAGAGAAAGAGAGAGAGAAAGAGAGAGAGTGCGATAGAGAGATCAGAAAGAGAGAGAGAGAGAAAGAGAGAGAGTGAGACAGAGAGAGACCAGAGAGAGAGAGAAAGAGAGAGAGTGAGATAGAGAGAGACCAGAGAGAGAGAGAGAGAAAGAGAGAGAGAAAGAGAGAGAGTGCAATAGAGAGATCAGAAAGAGAGAGAGAGAGAAAGAGAGAGAGTGAGACAGAGAGAGACCAGAGAGAGAGAGAAAGAGAGAGAGTGCGATAGAGAGATCAGAAAGAGAGAGAGAGAGAAAGAGAGAGAGTGAGATAGAGAAGAGAGACCGAGAAGAGAGAGAGAGAGAGAGAGAGAGAGAGAGAGAGAGAGAGAGAGAGAGTGCGATAGAAAGAGAGATCAGAAAGAGAGAGAGACCAGAGAGAGAGACCAGAGAGAAAGCACCCACTGAAATACCCCCTGACGAAGCAGCCATCTTCTCAGGGGTTGGTGCTATGGGGACTGATTGCCACCTCCCTCACCCAGAGATGGAATAATAATGGATATGAAAATGACATGGTGGTTGTTGGACATGTTTAGAAGTGATTAATGAACCACTTTCTGAGGCTGTTGCCGAGAAACGACAAGGAAATAATCCATAAATCAACTCAACGAATCACTCTGCAATCACAGACCAGGAATTAACCAGGGATTAATTCAAAGTATTTGTGTATCGCCCTCAATACAACAGCAGACTGAGGCTGTGGATCCAGGACTGAGGCTGTGGATCCTGGACTGAGGCTGTGGATCCTGGACTGAGGCTGTGGATCCAGGACTGAGGCTGTGGATCCAGGACTGAGGCTGTAGATCCAGGACTGAGGCTGTAGATCCAGGACTGAAGCTGTAGATCCTGGACTGAGGCTGTGGATCCAGGACTGAGGCTGTGGATCCAGGACTGAGGCTGTAGATCCAGGACTGAGGCTGTAGATCCAGGACTGAAGCTGTAGATCCTGGACTGAGGCTGTGGATCCAGGACTGAGGCTGTGGATCCAGGACTGAGGCTGTAGATCCAGGACTGAGGCTGTAGATCCAGGACTGAAGCTGTAGATCCTGGACTGAGGCTGTGGATCCAGGACTGAGGCTGTGGATCCAGGACTGAGGCTGTAGATCCAGGACTGAGGCTGTAGATCCAGGACTGAAGCTGTAGATCCTGGACTGAGGCTGTAGATCCAGGACTGAGGCTGTAGATCCTGGACTGAGGCTGTGGATCCAGGACTGAGGCTGTGGATCCAGGACTGAGGCTGTGGATCCAGGACTGAAGCTGTAGATCCAGGACTGAGGCTGTAGACCTGGACCCTGTGTGTCCAAATACAGATGTATAGATATATAATACTGGGTAAAGATGAGTGAATCGATTTCTTTATAACCAGCAGACAAGGCACAAGCTCTAGTCTTTCCATCTGTCTCTCCAAACCGAGCTTGTCTGAAAGAAGTCCATTCTCCAAAGTCTTTTAAGCTCCTCAAAGGTAGAAAAGTATGTGAAGTATTTAGACCAAGACTAAACCCAGACTTTGAAATCAATTCATCAAACTTTCCTCCAAACCGAACGAGAAGAGAACGCCTCAAGGTCGTCCCGCTGCATTTATGGTCTCTCTGTTTGGAACCTTTCAGACTTCTGTATGAGTCCGGCTTCTGATCAAACACTTTTCAATATTGACCGGAGCAGAAGCTGAATGTCGCTGAAGAGGCGTGAATGTAAAGGCGAGGAGAAAATGGTGCTTTCTGAGACATTTGGCCTTGGATTCAGTGCGTTCTGAAGGTACAGTCATGACCCACGCCACTGTCACACACGGCTGCAGGAGAACGGATGGAAATGTGAAATTCTATTCACATAAAAGTATTTAAATGTTTAATGAGACGAGGTCATCTGATGAACCAGGCCCAGACTCGGACTAAACCCTGGTCACCCGCTCTCACACTGGACTGGGATTTGATCGAGAGAGTCCCATCTGTGGTTATTCACTCTCTCTCCTCTCTTCCCTCTCTCACCTCTCCTCTCTCTCCTAGCTACTCTCTTTCCTCAGTCATCTCTTTCTCTACTCTTTCCTCTCTTCTCTCCCCTTTCTTCCCTCCTCTCTTTTCTGCTCTCTCCTCTCTCCACTCCTTCCTCACCTCCTGCCTCTCCTCTATCTTCTACCCGCTCTTCTCCTCTCTCCTCTTCCCTCTCCTCTCCTCTCTCCGTTTCCCTCTCCTCTCTCCTCTCCTCTCTCCTCTTCCCTCTCCTCTTCTCTCTCTTCTTCCCTCTCCTCTCTCCTCTCCTCTCTCCTCTCCTCTCTCCTCTCCTCTCTCCTCTTCTCTCTGTTCTTCCCTCTCCTCTCTCCGTTTCCCTCTTCTCTCTTCTCCTCTCCTCTCCTTGTCCCTCTCCTCTTCTCTCTCTTCTCCTCTCTCCTCTTCCCTCTCTTCTCCTCTCTCCTCTTCCCTCTCCTCTCTCCTCTCTCCTCTCCTCTTCCCTCTCCTCTCTTCTCCTCTCTCCTCTTCCCGCTCCTCTCTCCTCTTCTCTCTCTTCTTCCCTCTCCTCTTCACTTCTCTCTCCTCTTCTCTCTCCTCTCCTCTTCTCTCTCCTCTTCCCTCTCCTATCTCCTCTTCTCTCTCTTCTTCCCTCTCCTCTTCTCTTCTCTCTCCTCTCCTCTTCTCTTCTCTCTCCTCTTCTCTCTCTTCTTCCCTCTCCTCTCTCCTCTTCCCTCTCCTCTCCTCTCTCCGTTTCCCTCTCCTCTCTCCTCTTCTCTCTCTTCTTCCCTCTCCTCTCTCCTCTTCTCTCTCTTATTCCCTCTCCTCTCTCCTCTCCTCTCTCCTCTCCTCTCTCCTCTCCTCTCTCCTCTCTCCGTTTCCCTCTCCTCTCTCCTCTTCTCTCTCTTCTTCCCTCTCCTCTCTCCTCTTCTCTCTCTTCTTTCCTCTCCTCTCTCCTCTTCTCTCTCTTCTTCCCTCTCCTCTCTCCTCTCCTCTCTCCTCTCCTCTCTCCTCTTCCCTCTCCTCTCTCTTCTCCTCTCTCCCCTTCCCTCTCCTCTCTCCTCTTCTCTTCCCTCTCCTCTTCTCTCTCCTCTCCTCTTCTCTTCTCTCTCCTCTTCCCTCTACTCTTCTCTCTCCTCTCCTCTTCTCTCCTCTCTCCTCTTCACTTCTCTTCCCTCTCCTCTTCTCTTCCCTCTGCTCTCTCGTCTTCTCTTCTCTCTCCTCTCCTCTCCTCTTCTCTCTCCTCTTCCCTCTCCTCTCTCCTCTCCTCTTCTCTCTCCTCTTCCCTCTCCTCTCTCCTCTTCTCTCTTCTCTTCTCTCTCCTCTCCTCTCTCCTCTTCTCTTCCCTCTCCTCTCTCCTCTCCTCTTCTCTCTCCTCTCTTCTTCCCTCTCCTTTCTCCTCTTTTCTTCTCTCTCCTCTTTCCTCTCCTCTCTCCTCTTCTCTTCTCTCTCCTCTCCTCTCTCCTCTTCTCTTCCCTCTCCTCTCTCCTCTTTTCTTCTCTCTTCTCTTCTCTCTCCTCTCCTCTCTCCTCTTCTCTTCCCTCTCCTCTTCTCTCTCCTCTTCTCTTCTCTCTCCTTTTCTCTCTCCTCTTCTCTTCCCTCTCCTCTTCCGTCTCCTCTCTCCTCTTTCCTCTCTTCTTTTGGACCAATGACATCACGTACCTCCTCTGACAAAGGCGAGCCTCTACCATTGAATCATGTGGTCATAAAGCAGAACTAGCTTCTTCACACTGTAGCTTTAAGAACCTTCCAAGCCTTATGAATAAGACACAATCCACTTTTTAATTGTTTGAGGGACAAGGTTAAGTCTGACTTCGGGCTTGACTCCAGATACAGATTGGAGAAATATTTCCAGAAGTTAATGCCTGTATTTTTACATGAAGAGTAGCGTGGGCAAGAACTTTCAATATGAAAACATATAATTATAGCAAACATTGAAACATTTGTGCATGCCTGTGTGTGTGTGTGTGTGTGTGTGCGTGTGCGTGTGTGCGTGTCTGTGTTTGTGTATCTGTGTGTGTGCGTGCGTGTAATGTGTGTGTGTCTTATACTGCATGCAGAGGGAGTCACTGGTTCCTGGAGTAAACAAAAGTGTAAAGTTAGCGGTTGTATGTGTGTGTGCGTCAGTGTGTGTGTGTGTGTGTCTGCGTGTGAGTCTGTGTGTCTGCGTCTGTGTGTGAGTCTGTGTGTGTGTGTGTGTGAGTCTGTGTGTGTGTCTGTGTGTGTGTGTGAGTCTGTGTGTGTGTGTCTGTGTGTGTGTGAGTCTGTGTGTGTGTGTCTGTGTGTGTGTGAGTCTGTGTGTGCGTGACTCACCTCCTCAGCATGAGTTTGGGGTTTTTGCTGTTGACGTACTCCTCCATCAGCTCCAGCAGCAGCGTCCTCATGATGTCGGTGTAATATTCCAGCTTCCCGTGAAGAGCCACTGTCAGCAGAGACGCAAAGTACACCTTCGCCCGCGCGTTGAAGTCGTTGCTGCGCTCCAGGGTGCGGATGAACTGGAAGAAAAGGAAACGGAGGAGGATTGAGAGTCTGGCTTCTGCATAAGGATCTATCTACAGCAGACATGTCCAAACTCAGGCCTGGGGGTCAATTACGGCCCTCTGTCACATTGTATGTGGCCCTCTGCTGCTTACACAAAGTCACCATTGAGGCACTTTGACAGTGTCATCCAACCAACTTCAGCTCCACCGATACAGTCATGCTATACCTTGTTGTAAATCTCAGACCCACTGGAATCCACACATTGACTCTCTTGTTATATATAGACATTTGTTTTAAGATTGTGTCACAACATTCCACATAAAATGCAGCTGTGAATCAAAAAGGACGTATCATAAACCATTTAAAATCCAGAATCTAGCTCAAATCCAGTTTTTAAAATCCAGGTTGTCGGCCCCAGGTCAAGTCTGATGAACTAAAGTGGCCCTCTTTCTAAAAAGTTTGGACACCCCTGATCTACAGACATACAAACATAGTCCATCATAGTCCATCTTTTTCACTGTAAAACAGTAGAATAGAGATTTTGTTCACTTTAATCAATAATAGAAATACATAAAAGAAAAGGAAGTACATTACAGTACTGAGCATGCGCGACAGCTGAGGACACACGCTGAGAACGCGTCTCAGAGTATGCCTTGAATAACTACTTTTGAGTCTCTAAATAGTACCTTTACGTGGAGTGAAACAAAGTGAATTGTATTACGCACGGCGATGTCCCGGAATCTGCGCAATAATCCCAAGATTCACACTAAAAAGGCCGAACAAGCGCAGATTGGAGTGAGGCTGGGTGAGGACGACGCATGTGGCATGACAGGTGTGCAGGACAAACACGAATTGGCGGATCTGATCCGTTCCATTATGAAAGAGGAGATAAGTGTGGTGGTTAAAGAGTTCAAAACAATCACTGAAGAGATCTCCGCATGCACACGGAGGTTGGATGAAGTTGATAAAACGTTATCTTCAATGGACCAGCGCATGACAAAGTTGGAGGCTGAATGCGAGGCAGTGCGTAAAGTCAATGCGGAGCTCCTGGACAAAACGGAGCGCCTGGAAATGCACAGTCAAAAGCAGAATGTACGTGTGTTTGGACTGACAAAAGATATTGAGAAAGGTAACCCGATTGATTATATAAGCGGGTTGTTTAAAGAACTCTTTCAAGGCAAAATACAGTCGGAACCAGAAGTGGATGTGGCGCACCGGGTCGGGCCAGTGGGGAGAGCCACAGAAAGAGCAATGATTGTGCGCCTTCAGAAGAGGACAACGAGAGAGGAGATATTAAAGGCCGCTAAAAAGGAAAAGGTGTTACATATTCGTGGGATGAAGTTGAGAATTTTCCCGGACCTGACCGCAGAGATGGCCAAGAAACGAACCAGCTTTTGGGAGACACGGTCCAAACTGAGAGATGCCGGAGTGAGGCACGGGATCATTCATCCAGCAACGCTGATCATAACATTCAAAGGTGAGACTAAAAAGTTCACTGAGAACACTGCTGCGGATATCTATTTCAAAAGTGTAATCGAGCCTGGACTAGAGAAGAAAGGATAAAAGAAAGAGACATGATAAAGGTACTCTGGATACGATATGAAAAAGGAAGATATATCAGTCAAACATGACTTTTTTTGGGGGGGGGCATGAAATTAGTTAAGTGGAAGATTTAAGTTGAAAAAGAGACTGCGTAACTCGCTGTTGCGGTGTATCTATTGTTTTTTCTCTTTTTATTACAATGCTGATGTGTTTGAATGCGTGTGTGAATGTGTGTGTTTGTCGACGCTCTTTGAAAGATCTGTGTAAAACCTATTTTTCATGAAACTCATGGTTAAAAGTAATATTGATTTTGGAAAATGTGGATTCAAGATAGCTCATTTGAATGTGTGCAGCTTAAGAAATAAAGTGAATGACATGCAAGAATTATTGCAGAACTATAACTTACAGGTGTTAGTATTATCTGAAACGCACTTAGACTCGAATATAAATAGCCCTTCTTTAAGTATAGAAGGATACAATATTTACAGATTAGATAGGAATGCACATGGTGGAGGAGTAGCCTGTTATGTTCAAAGTCATATCCCAGTCAGAGTTAGAAATGATCTCGGTGTTATAGGAGTGGAAGTGATGTGGGTACAACTACATCTGCCTCATATGAAGCCTGTTCTTATTGGATGCTGCTACCGACCTCCAAGTGCTGCTGTCATGTATCTCGATCAAATATGTGAAATGTTGGATAGGACATGTGATGGCAACAATGAAATATTCTTTCTCGGAGATTTAAATATAGACTGGAAATCTCAAGGTTGCAGTTTGAAAAGCAAACTAGTTTCCCTAGTGAACACCTGTAACCTATCACAGCTGGTCCGTGATGACACCAGGGTACATGTAAAAACTGATGGTACACATTCAGCAACATTAATTGACTTGATTTTTACAAATGTGCAAGAGCTATGCTCTGAAGCTGTGTCCATTCCAGTCGGTTGCAGTGACCATAATTTAATTGCAGTGATTAGAAATACAAAAGTACAAAAACATGGTCAAAAATTTATATTTAAAAGATTATTTAAGCATTTTAGGGAAGATGATTTTGTTGCAGAAGTCAGTAGTATAGATTGGTCGGTTGTAGCACAAGAACGGGATCCATGTCGGGCTGTGGAAGTATTTAATGCCTTAATTACAAAAGTCATAGATAAACATGCTCCTATGAGAAGAAAAGCAGTGAGACATGTCTCTGCTCCTTGGATTGATCAAGAACTAAAAGAGTGTATGAGAAAGAGAGATGAAAGCCAAAGTTGAAGCAAATACAACCAAAGACATTGTACACTGGAGAAGTTATTGCAAATTGCGAAACTGTGTGACTAAACTGAATAGACGTAAAAAGCAATCATATTATCAAAGAAAGATTAAGGATGCTAATCTAGACAACAGAAGAATTTGGGGAACATTAAATGAAATATTAGGAAGAAATGCTAAATCAACAAATACTTTTCTAGAATCAAACGGAACCTATTTGACTAACCCCAAAGATATTTCTAATAGTTTGAGCCAGTTCTTTAAAAGTAAAGTTGAGAAATTGAGAAATTACATGGGAACAGGACAGAGGAACACTATTTCAAATGAGTTAATTAGGAAGTGTATAATGAATACAAAAGAATGTATGTTTGCATTTAAAACGGTGTCAGAAAATCAGGTAAAAAAATTATTGAAAGGAAGCAAAGAGAAACCAGCAGATATCAATCATTTGGAGATAAAATTGTTAAAATTGGTCTCAGATAGAATTGTGACGCCTGTTACTCATATCATTAATCTAAGTTTAAACAAAGGCATTTTTCCTACTGAATGGAAAAAAGCAAAAATAATACCTCTAATAAAACATAATAAAGATCCATTTTCGAATAAAAACAGTAGACCAATTAGTCTGTTACCAGCATTAAGCAAAATCATGGAAAAAGTAGTATACAACCAAATACAAGAGTATTTTTTAAACAACCAATTAAATACGAGCTGTCAGCATGCATATAAAGCGGATCACTCCACAACTACTGCTCTCACTCAGATTACTGATGACTGGCTACAGGAAATTGATCATAAAAACTTAGTTGGGACAATATTATTAGACGTTAGTGCTGCTTTTGATGTTTTAGACCATAGTATTTTGTTGAATAAGTTATGCTGTTATGGATTTCAATCAACAGCCTTAAAATGGATTGAAAGTTACTTAAGTAATCGAGAGTATAAAGTTTATTTTAATGGAGCTATTCTGAGGTTGAAAGAATGAGTTGTGGAGTGCCCCAGGGCAGTTGCCTGGGACCATTATTATTTTCAATTTTTACTAATGATTTTCCATTGGTATTGAAACATGCAACTATGGCTGTATATGCAGATGATACTACTTTATATGCATCTGCATCTACAGTAGGACAGCTTAATAACATTCTTAATGAGGAATTATCTCAGGTAGCAAAGTGGGTTCACGAGAATAGGTTGGTATTAAATTCTGAAAAAACAAAATGCATGTTAATTGGGTCACAGTACATGTTGAAAGCAACACCTAAATTATATTTGATATTAGAAGGAAACATTATTGAACAAGTAGAAGAGACAAAATTATTGGGGGTAATAGTTGATTCAAAGTTGTCATGGAACAGTCACATAAATTGTATAGTTAAAAAAATGGGAAGAAGCATGGGGATGATCAAACACTGTAGGAAATGTCTACCACAGTGGTTGACCAAGAGACTTGTGCAGTCATTAGTTCTTTCCCAGATGGATTATGCGTCGGTGGTTTGGTCAAACACATGTGAAAACAACCTACACAAATTACAAGTCGCTCAGAACAAAGCTGCCAGAATTGTATTGAGCTGCCCGTACAGAACAAATGTCACAACAATGCACAACAGTTTAGCCTGGCTCACTGTAAAAAGCAGAACACAGTATTATTTATTAACGTTTATCAGGAATGTGTTAGTGTCACACAATCCTGAAACAATATATAATAAATTGAAATTGTTTTCAAATTCCCATGATCATGCCACACGGCAAAGTAGTGATTTAAGGTGTGTGCTCCCTGCTTGCAGAACAAATAAAATGCAGAAAACTGTAGTCTATCGAGCCATGGTTGCATGGAACTTGTTGCCCTCCTTTCTGATCAAAGAGAGTGAGAGAATTCATTTTCAAAAGAAATTAAAGCTATATCTTTTCACACATGAACATTAATTATACATCAAATATAATATTTTATATTTGAGTTGGACTGAAACCACTGGAGAAAGTTCATTTGTTACTATTATTATTATTATTTATTTTTTCATAGTTGTAAATGATTTCTCACTGAGCTGTCATATCGTCGTGTGTGTGTGTGTGTGAGTGTGTGTGTGATTTATGTATAAAAATATGTAAAAGCATGTAATGATTTTGAGGAGACCCCAGGAAGATTAGCCATTGCATCTCAGTGGCTAATGGGGATCTTAATAAACTAAACTAAACTAAACAAAAAAGGTAGGGGGCCTTTTGTCGCTGTATAGAAAGTGTCCTGGATTCTTCTGCTACTGTAGCCCTGAACCCTCACCCCTTAACAATATTGTACTTCTGTCTATATGAGGTTTTGCAGTGCAGTAGATTATTTTGTTCAGATGTTAGTGATGTCCGTGTGAGGATATTTTGAAGGAGGAAAACAAAAAGGATGGCACTGTGCCTCTTGGTGGAGGACTGCAGTCTACGAGTGCGGTTCTCGTTGGGCCTGGGTCTGTCACATGATAAGTCTAATTGTTGCTTTGCTTGGAATCTCTGAACATTCTCATCTTAAACATTTGTCCCATTACAGCTGAGTGTATTTGTTAAAGCACGTCCTCCGCTCGGTCTGCAGGAGATGGACACAGAGCGTTTGAAGAAGCAAACACGACTTCTTCTGTGTCTGACAAGAGAACAATGTTGGAACATGGTTTTAAGCCATAATTAGTGTAAATGTGTTCATTAAAGCGTTTCAAATCTCCCCCAGAGGACGGTCTTAGAATCTGAGGGAAACTGCCTGAAAGAGATTTCTCCTCAGAACAAAACTGTCAAACACCAAAACACTAAAGTTTTATGTTTTAGTAAAAAGTGGGGTTTATAACTGCAGTTTACTCCTCCTGCTGGGACTCAGAGGAGCACAGGGACTGGTCTCCTGCTGGGACTCAGAGGAGCACAGGGACTGGTCTCCTGCTGGGACTCTGAGGAGCACAGGGACTGGTCTCCTGCTGGGACTCAGAGGAGCACAGGGACTGGCCTCCTGCTGGGACTCAGAGGAGCACAGGGACTGGCCTCCTGCTGGGACTCAGAGGAGCACAGGGACTGGTCTCCTGCTGGGACACTGAGGAGCACAGGGACTGGCCTCCTGCTGGGACTCTGAGCAGCACAGGGACTGGCCTCCTGCTGGGACTCTGAGGAGCACAGGGACTGGTCTCCTGCTGGGACTATGAGGAGCACAGGGACTGGCCTCCTGCTGGGACTCTGAGGAGCACAGGGACTGGTCTCCTGCTGGGACTATGAGGAGCACAGGGACTGGCCTCCTGCTGGGACTCTGAGGAGCACAGGGACTGGCCTCCTGCTGGGACTCTGAGGAGCACAAGGACTGGCCTCCTGCTGGTCCCAGAGTCAGGACTAAGTGTTTCAGATTTATGTAGCAAAAAATTGGAACAGTCTTCCTGAAAATGTGAGACAGGCTTCTTCTCTGAAATTCTTCAAATCCAGGTTAAAAGCAGTTCAGTTTTGCTCGGGTGTGTCTCTTTCTCTCTCTCTCCGGTCTCTCTCTCCAGTTTCTCTTTCTCTCTGTGTTCTCTCACACGTCTCTCTCTCTCTCTGGTCACTCTCTCTCTCTCTCTGGTCACTCTCTCTCTCTCTCCAGTCTCTCTTTCTCTCTGTGGCCACTCTCTGGTATCCATCTCTCTCTGGTCTCTCTCTCTGCTCTCTCTCTCTGGTCTCTCTCTCTGGTCTCTCTCTCTGGTCTCTCTCTGGTCACTCTCTCTCTCTCTCCAGTCTCTCTTTCTCTCTGTGGCCACTCTCTGGTCTCCATCTCTCTCTGGTCTCTCTCTGGTCTCCATCTCTCTCTGGTCTCTCTCTGGTCTCCATCTCTCTCTGGTCTCTCTCTCTCCTCTCTCTATCTGGTCTCTCTATCTGGTCTCTCTCTCTGGTCTCTCTCTGTTCTCTCTCTGGTTTCTCTCTGGTCTCTCTCTGGTCTCTCTCTGGTCTCTCTCTCTGGTCTCTCTCTGGTCTCTCTCTCTGGTCTCTCTCTGTTCTCTCTCTGGTCTCTCTCTGGTCTCTCTCTCTCTCTCTACTAATAGTTTGTCATCAATGTCAAATGAAATGATTTTAATGCCTTTCTTTCAGCACTTCCTTGTGTATGATCAGTTCTATACTCAAACAAACAAAAAGTAACAGTGAAAATGGCACTAATAAAGTCAGGTTTGAAACTCGGAGTAAAACCATGTGACAGGAGAAACTGAGAAGCTTCCCACATGGTCTGTGTCGGCTCCAGGATCAGTCTTCATTATCCTGGATGTTCACACGTCTGTCCTGCCGCACCTGCCTCACACCTACGTCTCTGAGTCTGACTCTGAGTCTGACTCTGCGGCGTGGACCTGGGGCTATATTTAGTCAGAGTTAGAAACAGGAACCGAGAGAACCGAAAGAAACGAGGAGATGGAGAAGGGTTTGCAAACGCGTGCAGAAGGAAAATCTGTTTTAAGGCTTTTTGCGTCTGTTTATTCCACTGTGGTCTTTCTGCAGACGGCAACAAAAAACTGAATCTTGTTTTCTTGAGCGAAAAGACGGATTGAGCCCCGTAGCACCCTCGGTTACAAATAAGCAACACAAAGTTTAAAGGCAAAAGAAGTCTGACTTTTTGGTTTAATACATTCACTATGAACCCAAAGAAGCTAAAATGCCACTTTGCCAAATTTAGTCACTGAATCCTTCTTTCCAACCATTGGCTTTGAGATTTTTAACATTGATCTCTCTTTTGTCTGAAAGCTCCAGTCTCAGTCTTGTAGAACTATGATGTCACTGTACCACTATGACATCACTATGACATCACTATGACATCACACTCAGAGCAGTTGTCTGTCTATAAAACAAAAGTAGTGCACATAAATTACATTTGGAAAAATTCTCAAATATCGTTTTTTGCGATCGCATGACAGTGTTGGCCCCTCTCAGCGTGGAGGAGGAGCAGTGGTTCTACTCCGAGCTCCTCCCGCGTGACTGACCTCTTCCCAATATCTCTAGAGGAACGCCCAGGCACCATATGGAGGAAAGACATGTCGAGCAGAGGTGTGGGAGGGGACATAGAGCTCGGACTGCAGACGCTGCTCCATCCTCACCACAACAGTACAAAAAGTGGACATTTTAACGGTACTTAAACTTAACTTTAAAATAATCCAGGTCAGTGTAATGTTGTTTGAACTGAGCAGCATCATGTCATGAAGCCAATCAAGTTAAACCCACTGTTTTTTTATCGTATTTGAAAGAGCTCTGATTGCAGACACTGCTCCCTATTAACCCCACCTCTGCTGCTGTGATCTTAAGTGCCGTTGCACCTTATTACTATTGTCAGGAACTTTTAGAATTATGTATTCATTCTCTGGTCTCTCTCACTCTGGTCTGTCTCTCTCACTCTGGTCTGTCTCTCTCTGGTCTCTCTCACTCTGGTCTGTCTCTCTCTGGTCTGTCTCTCTCTGGTCTGTCTCTCTCTCTGGTCTGTCTCTCTCTGGTCTCTCTCACTCTGGTCTGTCTCTCTCTGGTCTGTCTCTCTCTGGTCTGTCTCTCTCTGGTCTGTCTCTCTCTGGTCTGTCTCTCTCTCTGGTCTGTCTCACTCTGGTCTCTCACTCTGGTCTCTCACTTTGGTCTCTCTCTCTCTGGCCTCTCTCTCTCTGGTCTCTCACTCTCTGGTCTCTCTCTCTCTGGTCTCTCTCTCTAGTCTCTCTTGCTCTTGCTCTTTCTCGGGTCTCTTTCTTTCTGCTCTCTCTCACTCTCTCTATCCATCTATCTATAGCCAGTGCTGATATGAACTCACGTTGATGAGGAAGGTCTTGGAGTTGAGCAGGTTGGAGAACTGGTTGAGAGCCTGTGTGACGGTGGCTCTCCTGGACTCCGGAATGTCCAGTTTCCCGGTGATCATGACGTCGTTGGCTCCATCCTTGGACGGCAGGAAGAAGACGCGGTCCGTGTAGTTCTTATAATCCAGGAACGGGATGCGGCCCTCGCTCAGGTCGTTGGTGTGGTCCTCCATCTCGATCATCAAGTCTGAACAGAGCACAAGAGAGCAATGTTATTTAGAGAAACCAGAGAGAGAGACCAGAGAGAGACCAGAGAAAGACCAGAGAGAGACCAGAGAGAGACCAGAAAAAGACCAGAGAAAGACCAGAGAAAGACCAGTGAGAGACCAGAGAGAGACCAGAGAAAGACCAGAGAGAGACCAGAGAGAGACCAGAGAAAGACCAGAGAGAGACCAGAGATGGACCAGAGAGAGACCAGAAAAAAGAGACCAGAGAGAGAGAGAGAGAGAGAGACTAGAGAGAGAGATCAAAGAGAGAGAGAGAGATCAGAGAAATACCAGAGAAAGAGACCATAGAGAGAGGGAGAGACTAGAGAGAGATCATAGAAAGAGAGAGAGAGAGAACAGAGAAAGACCAGAGAAAGATACCAGAGAGAGACCAGAGAAAAACCAGAGAGACCAGAGAGAGAGCAAAGAGCGAGACCAGGGAGAAAGAAAGAGAGACTAGAGGGAGAGACCAGAGAGAGAGCAAAGAGCGAGACCAGAGAAAGAGAGACCAGCGAGAGAGAGAGACCAGAGAGAGAACAGAGAGACCAGAGAGAGACCAGAGAGAGACCAGAGAGAGAACAGAGAGAGACCAGAGAGAGACCAGAGAGAGAGAGAACAGAGAGAGTATAGAGAGAGAACAGATAGAGAACAGAGAGAGAACAGAGAGAGAACAGAGAGAGAACAGAGCGAGACCAGAGAAAGTACATATATAAAACAGAAACAAGCGACAAGGACATTACCGACCTGTGAACTCCTTCTTGCAGCGGTCGCGGACGCTCTCCTCCAGGTTTTCCAGCTGGTGTTTGACTTTCTCGTACTCGCGCTCGGCCTGCTGGCTCTTCCTTCTAAAAAGGCAAGAAGTTAAAGATATTGATTCTGTGAAGAAGCAAGAATTTAAAGCTAGGGCCCCCATTACTTCTACCCATACACAGAAACAGTCAAATCAGCCGACAACAGGCTATTAGCTGATTAGATTAGCCCTAACAGCTAAGTGTCCCATACCATAGCCCTCACCCACATGGGAAAGAGTCAGGAAGTAGTTAGTTAGATGTTGAGTACGGCCATGTAGAAAAAGGACTAAGTGGCAAGTTTATTTTTATAGCACGGTTCATACACAAGGTAACTCAAAGTGCTGAACAAAACCAGACAGGAACAGTCACACAAAGCATTCACATCATAAATAATCACAGTGCATTAAAAAGAGCGAAGATACAATCTATCATTTGATCCAGTTTTTAACCTGGACTGCTCCAGATTTTAGCTTCATAAATCTGAAACGCTGCCTCCCCAGATTTAGATCCAGGACTGAGGCTGTAGATCCAGGACTGAGGCTGTAGACCCAGGACTGAGGCTGTAGATCCAGGACTGAGGCTGTAGATCCAGGACTGAGGCTGTAGATCCAGGACTGAGGCTGTAGATCCAGGACTGAGGCTGTAGATCCAGGACTGAGGCTGTAGACCCAGGACTGAGGCTGTAGACCCAGGACTGAGGCTGTAGATCCAGGACTGAGGCTGTAGATCCAGGACTGAGGCTGTAGATCCAGGACTGAGGCTGTAGATCCAGGACTGAGGCTGTAGACCCGGGACTGAGGCTGTAGATCCAGGACTGAGACTGTAGACCCAGGACTGAGGCTGTAGATCCAGGACTGAGGCTGTAGATCCAGGACTGAGGCTGTAGATCCAGGACTGAGGCTGTAGATCCAGGACTGAGGCTGTAGATCCAGGACTGAGGCTGTAGACCCGGGACTGAGGCTGTAGATCCAGGACTGAGGCTGTAGACCCAGGACTGAGGCTGTAGATCCAGGACTGAGGCTGTAGATCCAGGACTGAGGCTGTAGATCCAGGACTGAGGCTGTAGATCCAGGACTGAGGCTGTAGACCCGGGACTGAGGCTGTAGATCCAGGACTGAGGCTGTAGACCCAGGACTGAGGCTGTAGATCCAGGACTGAGGCTGTAGATCCAGGACTGAGACTATAGACCCAGGACTGAGGCTGTAGACCCAGGACTGAGACTATAGACCCAGGACTGAGGCTGTAGACCCAGGACTGAGACTATAGACCCAGGACTGAGGCTGTAGATCCAGGACTGAGGCTGTAGACCCAGGACTGAGACTATAGACCCAGGACTGAGACTATAGACCCAGGACTGAGGCTGTAGACCCAGGACTGAGACTATAGACCCAGGACTGAGACTATAGACCCAGGACTGAGGCTGTAGACCCAGGACTGAGACTATAGACCCAAGACTGAGACTATAGACCCAGGACTGGGACTGTAGACCCAGGACTGAGCCTATAAAAACAAACATACTAATACATTGAGGTTCCAAAGTGATGTACCCGCAGCTTGTATCAGTTTTAAAAACACATTTCAATTGTTATAATATATTTTCTGTTTTAAAAGAGCTTCAATTTAGATAAATATTGCCGCTGCCACATTCCCCTTTGGGCAGAATTGATGAGAAACGGCAAAGTCAAAGGAATATGTAATTTGAACCTGCGAAAAGTCCATTTGCCTTGGTGTGAATTGCTGATAGATTGGTATACATGACTGCACAGGCTGCTCCTTCAGCCTGAATAAAATATGTTTCTTAGTGGGAACCTCATAAATCCATTCCAATTTATTCTCTACTATTTATTCTGGTGAAGGCTCGGGAAACAAGAATCCACAGTAAATCAGGGAGGGGATTTAAAACAGTCCGATTGAGAATTTAGCACAACTTTTGTAACATTTTGTTGATTTTATCTTAAGTGAATCAGGCCCAGTTTTTTCACAGATACAAAATATAAACAAGGATTATTCAAAGTGAGGAGTTGAGCTGGTGTTGAACCGACCCCTGGAGCCGCTTTGTCTGACGGAGAAGCAACCAACGCTGCTAGAGACATGCTCAACAACTCACCCTGAGCCAGGACTTCACCAGGACTTAACCAGGACTTAACCAGGTCTAAACCAGGACTTAACCAGGACTTAACCAGGACTTAACCACGTCTAAAGCAGGACTTAACCAGGACTTAACCAGGACTTAACCAGGACTTAACCACGTCCAAAGCAGGACTTAACCAGGACAAAAAAAAGGTCTAAACCAGGACTAAAATAAGGTCCAGGACTGAGGCTGTAGATCCTGGACTGAGGCTTTAGATCCAGGACTAATGCTGTAGATCCAGGACTGCGGCTGTAGATCCCGGACTCACCTGTAGCAGTAGACTGAGATGGCGATGATGACGAGCATGGGGACGATGACAGCCGGGATGACGATGTACAGAGCCAGGTCGTTCTTCTGCTCGTACTGCACCGAGCCCACCACCCACTCGCCGTTCCCAAACTTGATCTGCAACAAAACACATTTTACAATCATCATGAAGGTGTGAAATATCAATACATTACTGTGGAAACAAGGATCTGTCAGAGATAAGATGAGATATCCTTTATTCGTCCCACCGTGGGGAAATTTCACTGTTGCAGCGCACACACAGGACAGTAGTAAGAGCACACGGGGAGCACACGGGAAGCACACGGGGAGCACACGGGGAGCACACAGGGACACATGGGGAGCACACGGGAAGCACACGGGGAGCACACAGGGAGCACACGGGGACACACGGGGAGCACAGGGGGAGGACACGGGGACACACGGGGAGCACACAGGGACACATGGGGAGCACACGGGGACACACGGGGAGCACACAGGGAGCACACGGGGAGCACACGGGGAGCACAGGGGGAGCACACGGGGAGCACACGGGGAGCACACGGGGACACACGGGGAGCACACGGGGACACACGGGGACACACGGGGAGCACACGGGGACACACGGGGAGCACACGGGGAGCACAAGGGGAGCACACGGGGAGCACACGGGCAGCACACGGGGACACACGGGGAGCACACGGGGACACACAGGGAGCACACGGGGACACACGGGGAGCACACGGGGAGCACACGGGGAGCACACAGGGAGCACACGGGGAGCACACAGGGAGCACACAGGGAGCACACGGGGAGCACACGGGGAGCACACGGGGAGCACACGGGGACACACGGGGAGCACACGGGGAGCACACAGGGAGCACACGGGGAGCACACGGGGAGCACACGGGGACACACGGGGAGCACACGGGGAGCACAGGGGGAGCACACAGGGAGCACACGGGGAGCACACGGGGAGCACACGGGGAGCACACAGGGAGCACACGGGGAGCACACGGGGACACACGGGGAGCACACGGGGACACACAGGGAGCACACGGGGACACACGGGGAGCACCCAGGGAGCACACAGGGAGCACACGGGGAGCACAGGGGGAGCACACGGGGAGCACACGGGGACACACGGGGAGCACACGGAGCACACGGGGACACACGGGGACACACGGGGAGCACACGGGGACACACGGGGACACACGGGGAGCACACGGGGAGCACACGGGGACACACGGGGACACACGGGGAGCACACGGAGCACACGGGGACACACGGGGAGCACACGGGGAGCACAGGGGGAGCACACAGGGACACACGGGGAGCACACAGGGACACACAGGGAACACAGGGGGAGCACACGGGGAGCACACGGGGAGCACACGGGGAGCACACGGGGAGCACACGGGGAGCACAGGGGGAGCACACGGGGAGCACACGGGGAGCACACGAGGAGCACACGGGGAGCACAGGGGAGCACACGGGGACACACGGGGAGCACACGGAGCACACGGGGACACACGGGGACACACGGGGAGCACACGGAGCACACGGGGACACACGGGGAGCACACGGGGAGCACACGGGGAGCACACGGGGACACACGGGGAGCACACGGAGCACATGGGGACACACGGGGACACACGGGGAGCACACGGGGACACACGGGGACACACGGGGAGCACACGGGGAGCACACGGGGAGCACAGGGGGAGCACACGGGGACACACGGGGACACACGGGGACACACGGGGAGCACACGGGGAGCACACGGGGACACACGGGGAGCACAGGGGGAGCACACGGGGACACACGGGGAGCACACGGGGACACACGGGGAGCACACGGGGAGCACACGAGGAGCACACGGGGAGCACACGGGGAGCACACGGGGAGCACACGGGGACACACGGGGAGCACACGGAGCACACGGGGACACACGGGGAGCACACGGGGAGCACAGGGGGAGCACACGGGGACACACGGGGAGCACACGGGGAGCACACGGGGACACACGGGGAGCACACGGGGAGCACACGGGGAGCACACGGGGAGCACACGGGGACACACGGGGACACATGGGGAGCACACGGGGAGCACACGGGGACACACGGGGACACACGGGGAGCACACGGAGCACACGGGGACACACGGGGAGCACACGGGGAGCACAGGGGGAGCACACAGGGACACACGGGGAGCACACGGGGACACACGGGGACACACGGGGAGCACACGGGGAGCACACGGGGAGCACACGGGGAGCACACGGAGCACACGGGGACACACGGGGAGCACACGGAGCACACGGGGAGCACACGGGGAGCACACGGGGAGCACACGGGGACACACGGGGAGCACACGGAGCACACGGGGACACACGGGGACACACGGGGAGCACACGGGGACACACGGGGACACACGGGGAGCACACGGGGAGCACACGGGGAGCACACGGGGAGCACACGGGGAGCACACGGGGACACACGGGGAGCACACGGAGCACACGGGGACACACGGGGAGCACACGGAGCACACGGGGAGCACACGGGGACACACGGGGAGCACACGGAGCACACGGGGACACGCGGGGAGCACACGGGGAGCACACGGGGAGCACAGGGGGAGCACACGGGGAGCACACGGGGAGCACACGGGGACACACGGGGAGCACACGGAGCACACGGGGAGCACACGGGGAGCACACGGGGACACACGGGGAGCACACGGGGACACATGGGGAGCACACAAAATATAAATAAATCTCACACTCGCACTTTTGGACAAGAGCGATCACACAAAACATTCATAGACTTTTTTGGGGAGTAATAATGCAAATCCGGGTTTAAACCAGGACAAGGCAGAGTCAAGGTGCTAGGTCTGGACTGGGTCTGGTTCTGAGCTGAGTCTAGGACAAAGCAGGACTATTGCGATGAGGTCAAACATAACACTTCAGATACAAGGGACTGGAGTAATGTATGAGTTTACCAACGAGTTGACTTGTCCATACAGACAACTCAATGCTCACCCGCTAACTCAATGCTAACCTGCTATCTAAACGCTAACCTGCTAACTCGCTAACTCAATGCTAACCCGCTAGTTCAATGCTAACTTGCTAGTTCAATGCTAACTTGCTAGTTCAATGCTAACTTGCTAGTTCAATGCTAACTTGCTAGTTCAATGCTAACTTGCTAGTTCAATGCTAACTTGCTAGTTCAATGCTAACTTGCTAGTTCAATGCTAACTTGCTAGTTCAATGCTAACCCGCTAGTTCAATGCTAACTTGCTAGTTCAATGCTAACCCGCTAGTTCAATGCTAACTTGCTAGTTCAATGCTAACTTGCTAGTTCAATGCTAACCCGCTAGTTCAATGCTAACTTGCTAGTTCAATGCTAACCCGCTAGTTCAATGCTAACTTGCTAGTTCAATGCTAACCCGCTAGTTCAATGCTAACTTGCTAGTTCAATGCTAACTTGCTAGTTCAATGCTAACTTGCTAGTTCAATGCACTTTAGTTCAATAGGGAAGTGCTCATGGTGAAGTTTGGCTCTTCTCTCTGCTTCCCATGTTAAAGTAAACTCCTCTAGCTCAGTAACTGTTTGTGTCACACTCATCATTAATATTGTTTAGTAACACATTATATTGAAATAGCACAAACAATAACACATGATATAATACCTTTTGGACGTCACTTGCCCAACACTGAGTATATAATATAATGTGATCTTACATGTCTATCATACTGTACTTGGCTCTGATTCTGATCCACTGTGTGTAATATAGTCAGGAGTTAAACTGATTATCCCCATGTGGCAGAGCTGGTCCCCGGTCCCCAGTTTGAGACGCAGAGTGGGAGGCAGAGACAGGAGAATCTACATAAGTGCCCAGAGTTAGTGGGAGCGACCTGGACCTGCCGAGTGCGAGAGCCCCATTAACTCAGAAAATGCAGAAATGAGATGACTTTCTTTTCTCCCGCTGACAGTGTTTTCCAGAGACTTTTTCTGAAGTGGGTTTGAGTCTGTGCTGTTTATAATGGACAAATAATGTGATATTGTTGGGGATTCATCAGCCACGGACACTAACCCTCTCTGAAAACACAGATGCAAATTAAAACCTCCGATTATAAATAATGTAGGTGTAAACGTTTGCTCTCTTCCCGTGTACCTCGTTACTTTGGGGTTTTTCTACCATTATGTTTTTCATTCTAGATTACATGTTTCTCCAGATAATTGGTCAAAATACAGAATACAAATAATAACTTTTAGAATGATGTATTTATAAGTTTATACTGTATGTGCCTCTCTATCCATCCCTCTATCTAGCCATTTCAAATCAGATATTCTTCATTTGTGTTGCCTGTTCGGGGAAATATGGCTGGATTTGGTTCTTATCTCTCTTTTTTTTCTAGGCCTCCTGCTGGGACTCTGAGGAGCACAGGGCCTCCTGCTGGGACTCTGAGGAGCACAGGGACTGGCCTCCTGCTGGGACTCTGAGGAGCACAGGGCCTCCTGCTGGGACTCTGAGGAGCACAGGGCCTCCTGCTGGGACTCTGAGGAGCACAGGGACTGGCCTCCTGCTGGGACTCTGAGGAGCACAGGGCCTCCTGCTGGGACTCTGAGGAGCACAGGGACTGGTCTCCTGCTGGGACTCTGAGGAGCACAGGGACTGGCCTCCTGCTGGGACTCTGAGGAGCACAGGGACTGGCCTCCTGCTGGGACTCTGAGGAGCACAGGGACTGGTCTCCTGCTGGGACGCTGAGGAGCACAGGGACTGGCCTCCTGCTGGGACTCTGAGGAGCACAGGGCCTCCTGCTGGGACTCTGAGGAGCACAGGGACTGGCCTCCTGCTAAGACTCTGAGGAGCACAGGGACTGGCCTCCTGCTGGTCCCAGAGTCAGGACTAAACATGAGGAGGCAGACATGAGGTTTCAGATTTATGCATCTAACCCCTGGAAAAGTCTTCCTGAAAATGTGAGACAGGCTTCTTCTCTGAGTTTTATTCATGGTTTGGCTTTTTTGTTTGTTTCTATCTTGTTTTGTGCAGCACTTTGAGTTGTCAGTGCCATACACATAAATGTACCTTGGCTCGTGATAGTATTGCCACTATGACAACAACACAGAATGGGAAAAAAAAACAAGATGAGCACTTTTAAAAACAAAACAGGAAAGTTCCAAAGCTAATATTTGTTGAACATACAGTATATCTGCCGTGGCATCAGATTCTGCCGTCATGCTAACACTCTCACCTAGCCTCCTCTAACTCTTGGTTGGTGTCAGGCAGAATACTGTGACATTTTGGGATGGATTTAGTGTTTCGAAGATGGATGTTTTAACTTGTTTAGACCAATACACTTTAAGCAGCCCCAGAGCAGCGCGAATAAATAGGCTTTGATTAGGAATAATAAAAACTGGTGGATGGAGGGGAGAGCAGAGCAGGGAGAGAGGGAGAGGGGAAGAGAGGTGGGAGAGAGGGGCAGAGAGAGACAAGAGAGAGAGGGAGAGGGGAAGAGAGGGAGAGAGAGAGAGGGGAAGAGAGGTGGGAGAGAGGGGCAGAGAGAGACAAGAGAGAGAGGGAGAGGGGAAGAGAGGGAGAGAGAGAGAGGGGAAGAGAGGTGGGAGAGAGGGGCAGAGAGAGGCAGAGAGAGACAAGAGAGAGAGGGAGAGGGGAAGAGAGGGAGAGAGAGAGAGGGGGAAGAGAGGTGGGAGAGAGGGGCAGAGAGAGGCAGAGAGAGACAAGAGAGAGAGGGAGAGGGGAAGAGAGGGAGAGAGAGAGAGGGGAAGAGAGGTGGGAGAGAGGGGGCAGAGAGAGGCAGAGAGAGACAAGAGAGCGAGGGAGAGGGGAAGAGAGGTGGGAGAGAGGGGCAGAGAGAGGCAGAGAGAGACAAGAGAAAGAGAGGGAGAGGGAGGGAGCGAGAGGGAGAACGAGACGGGGGAGAGAGGGTGTGAGAGAGGAAGAGAGAGAGGGAGAGAGAGAGAGACCAGAGAGAGGGGAAGAGAGGGAGAGGGTGGGGGAGGGGAGAGAGAGGGAAAGAGAGAGGGAGAAAGACGTTGAGAGAGAGGGGGAGAAAGAGGTCAAACAGAGAAAAAAGAGAGACCAAGCGAGTGGCCAGAGAGAGACGGAGAAAGAAAGTCCAGAGAGAGAGATAAGAGAGACCAATGAGAGAGGCTGGAGAGAGACCAGAGAGAGGGAGAGACCAGAGAGGGGGAAGCGAGAGGCAGAGAAAGAGGGAGAGAGAGGGGGTAGAGAGAGGCCAGATTGAGTAAAGAGAGCACAAAGAGCGAGGACAGAAAGAGCCTAGAGAGAGAGGGAGAGAGAGAAAGGGGGAAGCGAGAGGCAGAAAAAGAGGGAGAGAGGCTAGAGAGAGACCAGAGAGAGAATCAGAGAGAGATCAGAAAGAGAAACCCCAGAGAGAGAGAACAGAGATAGCGGGAGAGAGACAGAGACAGCTAGAGAGACCAGAGAGAAACCAGAGAGAGAGAGAGAAAGATAGAGCAGAGAGAGAGAGAGAGGGAGAGAGGGGGGGAAAGAGGCAGAGAGAGGGGGAGAGAGAGACAAGAGAGAGAGAGAGAAAGATAGAGCAGAGAGAGAGAGAGAGAAAGATAGAGCAGAGAGAGAGAGAGAGGGGGAGAGAGAGGCAGAGAGAGGGGGAGAGAGAGACAAGAGAGAGAGAGGGAGAGAGAGAGAGTAACAAGAGAGAGAGAGGGAGAGAGAGAGGGGAGAGAGAGGAAGAGAGAGACCAGAGAAAGACCAGAAAGAGAGCAGAGAGAGACCTGAAAAGAGATCAGAGAGAGAATGGGGAGAGACCAGAGGCAGAGAGACAGAAACAGAGAGACCAGAGAGAGACCAGAGAAAGAGAGAGACCAGAGAAAGAGAGAGACCAGAGAGAGAGAGACAGAGAGAGAGAGAGAGAGCAGAGAGAGAGTCTGTGTACCCAGATCCAGCCGAGCCTCGACTACCATTAGCCTGCTCCGTCTCTGTGACTGCGTTTAGTTTTAACAATGGACTTTGTGTTCCGTGAGTCTGTGCTTTCAAAAGGAGGCAATAACAGCAGTGAAATATTCTCAACTCGTATCCATGGACGTCGGAACTATTTTCTGAGAGGGGGGGCGGGTTTTTGTTGGGAGAGTCGAGGGAGAGACTCATACTTGGATTACACTGGATAATAACATACCATCTTAATTGTTAAGAAAAACAAAATAAACAATATATATCAAGCAAGTCACTTATCAAACTGAACTTTTTTTTTTTCAATACGCATTCATGCGTCAGTCTCTCCGGTGGCTTCATTGTGTTGTGTAGCCCAGTGACGTGCGGTCAGATGAGGCAGGCAAGGCCCTCACCTAAGATCATAGAAAGAAAAGTAATAAAAATGGATACAATAATGTTTGGTCACTTTATCAAGTGATTTGTGCTGTGCCTTATTTCATTTATTTATACCTTGAAATCGCAGATTTGACAGAGCGGTGCTGTGAGGCGAGCCTCTCTTGGGAGACGTAAAAAGCAACAGTTCACAGGGAGAGTCCTGTGAGGTGCTATCAAACTGTTTTCCCTGTTTATCACAGTTTAAAAAGTTCAAAAATATTTAATTTACAATCAACATGTTTACATTTAAGAGGATGGCTCATAAATTGTGTTTTTGAAGCAAATATGGGTCTTAATCGCGCTCAACCACAGCTTGTAAGTGAGGAAAGCCTCAAGGGGGCGCTTGTGAGCCCAAACTTTGGCTGCATCCAATTCCATCAGAAAGCTCCTTTCTTGTTCTTCTTCTGCTAAGGGCAGCTACAGGTTTGGCTAACATACCTATAATACATTTTAAGATAATTTAAAATGCACTTAGAGTAATGTTTTGCTTCCAATGATGATATGAATCATAAGAAAAGGAGGTGAAGGGTAAGGTTGAATTTAGAAATTGGATTTACCCGGGAGTCGGCTGCAGCAAAACTCGGAGTTTACGGAGGAGACACCCGTTTTTTTTTACTTTTTAAAACTCATTGAACTTATTTCCAAATGGAGGATTACATGTCTGTGCCCAAACTATTATCTGGACTTAAACATGAAACTGGTCCTAACTGAAGTGGTCTGTGCTGTTCATTAATACCTAAGGTAAGGCCCATAACACACTTTGTACTATTTACAAACGTTTGCGTTTTGTATGAGAAAACAATGCAGACATTAAATCATATTCTGCTGTAGCCAAACAAATTGTGTATAAGCCGCTCCTGTTCCTGTAGGTCCTGTTGGTTTATATGATGTATAATATGAACACATGATTGATCCCCCACCGCACGTCACTGGTGTAGCCAGGTCTCTAATCTGCGCAAGGCTGAGAAAGAGCGCTCAGAGGCTGCCACAGATATTAGCCAGACAGAGCTTCATAAGCTTCTCCGACAGCATGGAGCGGGTTTTGGGCTGCAAGGAACGCAGGATAGTGATAACTTCTCGCTCCCGGCACACGCGGAGGGGGTGCGGCCGCACCCCCCGCACCCCTAGTTCCGACGTCTATGCTCGTATCTGTGGATATTTATGCAGATTCTGGAATATGTTATAATGAATCTTTTGTTTTGTGTGTGTTCTGTAGAAGTCTGAGAGAAAAGGTTAAAAAGTAAATATTAGGAAACTTTTGAGGACAATAAGGGAATAGGAATGTATGTGTTTATAATAACTCCTGTGTCCAGTGTTTTATCATTCATTATCCATTCATAAAGAGAGGCAATCATTTCTCTCTCTGGTCTCTCTCTGGTCTCACTCTGGTCTCTTTCTGGTCTCTTTTTCTGGTCTCAGTCTGGCCTCTCTCTGTGGGCGCTCTCTCTGATCTCTCTCTGGTTTCTCTCTGGTCTCTCTGGTCTCTCACTCTGGTCTCTCTCTCTGGTGTCTCTCTCTGGTGTCTCTCTCTGGTCTCTCTCTCTGGTCTCTCTCTCTGGTCTCTCTCTCTGGTGTCTCTCTCTGGTGTCTCTCTCTGGTGTCTCTCTCTGGTCTCTCTCTCTGGTCTCTCTCTCTGGTCTCTCTCTCTGGTGTCTCTCTCTGGTGTCTCTCTCTGGTCTCTCTCTCTGGTCTCTCTCTCTGGTCTCTCTCTGGTGTCGCTCTGGTGTCGCTCTGGTCTCTCTCTGGTGTCTCTGGTCTCCCTCTGGTCTCCCTCCCTGCTCTCTCCCTGGTCTCTCTCTGGTTTCTCTCTGGTCTCTCTTTGCTCTCTCTCCGGTCTCTCTCTGCTCTCTCCCTGGTCTCTCTCTGCTCTCTCCCTGGTCTCTCTCTGCTCTCTCTCTGCTCTCTCTCTGCTCTCTCCCTGGTCTCTCTCTGGTCTCTCTCTGGTCTCTCTCTGCTCTCTCTCTGCTCTCTCTCTGCTCTCTCTCTGCTCTCTCTTTCTCACCAGCAGTTCGAGTAGCTCCGGTCTGGTTTCTCGTCGGTGGCGTCTGGAGTGAGATCGTGGAGCAGAGGAGGGAGGATCCAGGAACAGCTTATCGTCCTGCAGCGTGTTCACCAAACATGGGACGTCCCCCACAAATGCCTGGGCCTCCTTCGCCGTCATCGCACGAGAGAAACCCCGGCCCTGTGTCAAAATACAGTCATACAGTTAGTACTCCAGTTACAGACTAAAACACATTCATGCTATAAAAACAGAAGAGGCAATAACATCTCTCTCTGTTCTAACCTTTTGCTCTCTCTCCCTGTGCTTTCTTGTCTTTCTCTCTACGGCCTCTCTGGTCTTTATCTCCCTGGTCTCTCTCTGGTCTGTCTCTCTGGTCTCTCTCCCTGGTCTCTCTCTGGTCTGTCTCTCTGGTCTCTCTCTCTGGTCTCTCTCTCTGGTCTGTCTCTCTGGTCTCTCTCTCTGGTCTGTCTCTCTGGTCTCTCTCTCTGGTCTGTCTCTCTGGTCTCTCTCTCTGGTCTGTCTCTCTGGTCTCTCTCTCTGGTCTGTCTCTCTGGTCTCTCTCTGGTCTGTCTCTCTGGTCTCTCTCTCTGGTCTCTCTCTGGTCTCTCTCTCTGGTCTGTCTCTCTGGTCTCTCTCTCTGGTCTCTCTCTCTGGTCTGTCTCTCTGGTCTCTCTCTCTGGTCTGTCTCTCTGGTCTCTCTCTGGTCTGTCTCTCTGGTCTCTCTCTCTGGTCTGTCTCTCTGGTCTGTCTCTCTGGTCTCTCTCTCTGGTCTGTCTCTCTGGTCTGTCTCTCTGGTCTCTCTCTCTGGTCTATCTCTCTGGTCTGTCTCTCTGGTCTCTCTCTCTGGTCTCTCTCTCTGGTCTGTCTCTCTGGTCTCTCTCTCTGGTCTCTCTCTCTGGTCTGTCTCTCTGGTCTGTCTCTCTGGTCTCTCTCTCTGGTCTCTCTCTCTGGTCTCTCTCTCTGGTCTCTCTCTCTGGTCTGTCTCTCTGGTCTCTCTCTCTGGTCTCTCTCTCTGGTCTCTCTCTCTGGTCTGTCTCTCTGGTCTGTCTCTCTGGTCTTTCTCTGGTCTCTCTCTCTGGTCTCTCTCTCTGGTCTACGTCTCTCTGGTCTGTCTCTCTGGTCTCTCTCTCTGGTCTGTCTCTCTGGTCTCTCTCTCTGGTCTCTCTCTCTGGTCTGTCTCTCTGGTCTCTCTCTCTGGTCTCTCTCTCTGGTCTCTCTCTCTGGTCTGTCTCTCTGGTCTGTCTCTCTGGTCTCTCTCTGGTCTCTCTCTCTGGTCTGTCTCTCTGGTCTACGTCTCTCTGGCCTCTCTTTGCCATCTCTGTGGTCTCTCTCTCAGAGATCCAGACCAGGGGTCCAGACCCAGAGTCCAGACCTAGAGTCCAGACCCAGAGTCCAGACCCAGAGTCCAGACCCAGGTTTTCTCTTTGGTCTCTCTCTGCTCTGTCTCTCTGACCTCTCTCTCTGCCTCTCTCAGTGGTCTCTCTCTCAGAAGTCCAGACCCAGAGGCCAGACCCAGAGGCCAGACTCAGAGGCTAGACCCAGAGTCCAGACCCAGAGTCTAGACTCAGAGTCCAGACCCAGAGTCCAGACCCAGAGTCTAGACACAGAGTCCAGACCCCGAGTCCAGACCCAGAGTCCAGACCCAGAGTCCAGACCCAGAGTCCAGACCCAGAGTCCAGACCCAGAGTCCAGACTCAGAGTCCAGACTCAGAGTCCAGACCCAGAGTCTAGACTCAGAGTCCAGACCCAGAGTCCAGACCCAGAGTCCAGACCCAGAGTCCAGACTCAGAGTCCAGACCCAGAGTCTAGACTCAGAGTCCAGACCCAGAGTCCAGACCCAGAGTCTAGACTCAGAGTCCAGACCCAGAGTCCAGACCCAGAGTCTAGACTCAGAGTCCAGACCTAGAGTCCAGACCCAGAGTCCAGACCCAGAGTCCAGACCCAGAGTCTAGACTCAGAGTCCAGACCCAGAGTCCAGACTCAGAGTCCAGACCCAGAGTCTAGACTCAGAGTCCAGACCCAGAGTCCAGACCCAGAGTCCAGACTCAGAGTCCAGACCCAGAGTCTAGACTCAGAGTCCAGACCCAGAGTCCAGACCCAGAGTCTAGACTCAGAGTCCAGACCCAGAGTCCAGACCCAGAGTCTAGACTCAGAGTCCAGACCCAGAGTCCAGACCCCGGTCCCTCCTCTCGGCAGTGCTCCTTCGTCCTCACATAGACCTCCTTCCCTGGAGCTGCTCCTGCTCCATGACCTTCACAAATATTCCTCACAGTTTCCTCACTTTCCACAAACAAACTGTGACTTTAACGTCCGCTTTTCTCTCAGCCTGAGCCTCGAACACGTGTCGACTCTCGCAGCTTATTCCCGGAAGCAGAGAGAAAAACAAAGAATATGCAAATAGCAGAGGATTTCATATATTGGCTTATGACTGGGTCAATGGTCTGGAAACACACATTTAAATCGGCCTCTATTTTCTCCTCAAAGCAAAGTCACTACACGAATAAATAAGCTCCTAACCACTAAATTACAGCATAGAGCAACGACTGCTGTGGTAATTGGCAGAAAAATGAGGTTTGTGGGTTTTGTTTGTGTGCTGTAAAGTGCTTAGACCTGGAGTAGCACTGGGGAAATCTGCAGGAAGTATTAGAAGAGCCTAATTTAATATTTTTGTATTTGTCAACTTTACAGAGAAACACAAAGTACGTCCCCGATGTGAGTTTGTTTGGAGAAAAGCCAAATGTATGCATGGAAACTGCTTAAGCTTTATTGTTTAATTACTTTTGGTTTCCATTGAGAAACATCAATAATAATAAGTGTAATTGTGTAACAGCGTGGATCAGTGCGGAACAAGCTAGCTTTTCACTTTAGCTGGAATTCTCTTAAATCCTGGATTAGAAATGGTTGAGAACTCCTTGAATCCCGTTTTAAACTTTTGAGTTATGTGGAGATGCTGTGTCAGAGCTGCCTGTAACTCTGTGAGAGATGAATAGAATGGATCAGAACAGAATAGAATAAAATAGAATAGAATAGAGATACATTTTAGATCCTGAGGGAGATTAATTGAAGTTTTTTTAGGATTCAGACTTATTTGTCAAGATGTACTTTTGTCCTCTGCCTTTGACCCATCATGAATGTCACGAGGGCCTCTGCTGTAGTACCGAGAGAGGCCAGAAGGAGAGAGACCATGGAGAGACAGACAAGAGAGAGAGAGGTCAGAGAGCGAGAGACCAGGGAGAGAGAGACAAGAGAGAGAGAACAGAGAGAGACCAAAGAAAAAGACCAGAGCGAGAGAGAGGGGAGAGGTGGCCCGAGAGAAACCAGAGAGAGGCCAGAGACAGAGACCAGAAAGAGAGAGAGACCAGAGAGACACCAAATAGAAAGACCAGAGAGAGACACAAGAGAGAGAGCCCAGAGAGAGAGAAAAGAGAGAGCGACAAGAGAGAAAGACCAGAGAGAGAGACCAGAGAGTGACCAGAGAGTGAGATCAGAGAGAGAGAGACCAGTTATAAATGCCATAGAGATAGACCAGAGAGAGAGACTCCGTGTTCTCCCCGTGTTTGCGTAGGTTTCCTCCGGGTGCTCCGGTTTCCCCTACCACTAAAAACATGTACAATAGGTCTGGTATGCGCTTCCTGTACTGGCCCCGCTCCATCTCTGTGTGGAAGGAGAGACAAATGCCCAAAAAATAACAGTTGTAAACCGCTTTGTGACTCTGGTCTGTGAAAGGCACAATATAAATAAAGATTACTTACTTACTTATTACTTAGACCAGAGAGAGAGAGACCAGAGAGAAAGACCAGATGGAGACCAAGAGAGAGAAACCAGAGAGAAATACGAGAAAGAGAGACCAGCGAGAAAACAGAGAGCGAGAGCGAGACAAGAGAGAGACCAAAGTAAGAGACCAGAGAGAGAGACCAGAGAGAGAGACCAGAGTGAGAAAGGCCAGAGAGAGAGACCAGAGAGAGAGACCAGAGAGAGAGAGAGAGAGACCAGAGAGAGAGACCAGAGTGAGAAAGGCCAGAGAGAGAGACCAGAGAGAGAGAGAGAGACCAGAGAGAGAGAGAGAGACCAGAGAGAGAGAGAGACCAGACTGAGAGAGACCAGAGAGAGAGAGACCAAAGAGAGAAACCAGAGAGAGAGAGACCAGAGTGAGAAAGGCCAGAGAGAGAGACCAGAGTGAGAAAGGCCACAGAGAGAAACCAGAGAGAGAGAGACCACAGTGAGAAAGGCCAGAGAGAGAGACCAGAGAGAGAGAGACCAGAGTGAGAAAGGCCAGAGAGAGAGACCACAGCTCCTGGACTCACGGTGACGATGATGATGCTGGCCTCGGTGATGACCTTCTTGCTGACGTTGTTAAAGACCGGGTTTGGATGGTACTCGAACGGCTTCAGTTCTCGCACCATGTTGTCGAGGTGCAGGAACACGGGGAAGTGTCCCAGGGAAGTGTTCAGGGCCGGAGAGCGAAACTGGATCACAGAGTCGTTCTTCTCACAGTACCGCTGAAAAACAGGAGAAGGCGACAAAAGAGATGTAGCCGTGAGATTATTGATACTTTTCATGGTTCAGTTAGTTGTTGACAGGGACTGTTTGTAGTTCAGACTCTTTCCACGTTAATAAGCGTTGAATACAAAAGCAATCCACCTTCTGGGGTTCGTCAAGAAACTTTACAAACTCTGTATTACAGATACATCTTTAAATAAATGTGCGTTGCTCTGATTCTTCCTTTCCCCATGATTTTCTATCAGAAAATCTATTTTGGTCTTGTAGGACCAGGTGTCCGTCCAGAGATACTAGAGAGAGACCAGAGAGAGAGCAAACAGTGAGAGAGTAGAGAGAGAGAGACCAAAGATAGAGACTAGAAAGGGCTACTAGAGAGAGACCAGTAAGAGACTAGAGAGAGAGACAAGAGAGACGAGAGATACAACAGGGAGAGAGACCAGTAAGAGATGCAAGAGAGAAACTGGAGAGAGACTAGAGAGAGACTAGAGAGATGAGAGAGAGAGACTAGAGAGATGAGAGAGAGAGACTAGAGAGAGACTAGAGAGATGAGAGAGAGAGACTAGAGAGACCAGAGAGTGACCTGAGAGAGAGACCAAAGAGAGAGACCGGAGAGAGAGACAGGCGTGAGCTTTGTAACTCTCCAAACTCTTTCCCCAGTAGAATCATTCATGGACTTAAAGTAGCAATATGTAAGATTTTCATGTTAAGTCATCATTAAATGGCTAATATCAGTTGTTCAGAGATATTCAAATGTCAAAATTAGTTAACAGCCCCTAAATCTTGTTATTGTTTTCATTTCGATGTCCCGCCCTCCACTGGTTTACCAATCAGAAAGTATGTGATCTGAAACATATCAGAACTAAAAAAGGTTATGATTCTCAAACCTTTGTATAGATTTGTTGTTGGTAAAACTCTTGTCTATTCAGTTATCATAATGGTCCCAGCTGGATTCGTCTGCATATCTGGCAACCTGAGTCAGGGGGAGCGGGAGAGGCTGCAGTACCACGTTTGGCCTGCAGGTTTTTACATATAGCTCCTTTAACATCAGTGGGGATTACCAGCAGACCAGCGGCGCAGTGGTTAGCCCTTGGGTTTGATTCCAGGTCTTACTGTGTAGAGTTTGCATGTTCTCCCCGTGTCTGTGTAGGTTTTTCCTCCAAGTGGTCGTCGCATAAAACCCATAAACAATCAACAGTAGTAAGAGATAGAAGTGAACTTTGAGGACGGTCAAAATAGATCTTAGGAATAAGATCTCTCTGGTCTCTCCCTCTACTCTCTCTCTGCTCTCTCTCTGCTCTCCCTCTGCTCTCTCTCTCTACTCTCTCTGGTCTCTCCCTCTACTCTCTCTCTGCTCTTTCTCTCTGGTATCTCTCTAGTCTCTCTCTCTCTCCTCTCTCTCTGCTCTCTCTCTGCTCTCCCTCTGGTCTCTCTCCTTGCTCTCTCTTCTCTCTCCCTCTGCTCTCTCTCCTCTCTTTCTGCTCTCTCTCTCCTCTCCCTCTCCTCTCTCTCCTTGCTCTCTCTTCTCTCTCCCTCTGCTCTCTCTCTCCTCTCTTTCTGCTCTCTCTCTCTCCTCTCCCTCTCCTCTCCCTCTACTCTCCCTCTACTCTCCCTCTGCTCTCTCTCTACTCTCCCTCTGCTCTCTCTCTACTCTCCCTCTGCTCTCTCTCTGCTCTCTCTCTGCTCTCTATGCAAAAGACTCCCTCACTTACAAACTTTCCGCTCAGTTCCGCTGCTAGCCACTCTGCCGAAACTCTCTCCTTTTGGCTCAAACTTCCAACACTTTACTTTCCACCTGTTCATAACCTCAATGACTTTTTCTAATCACTTTCTCCTCGGGCTACAGACGCCCACAATTACCCACAATTCCTTGGCCTCACTTGAATGGATGGACTTTAAATAAACAGGCAGAGGCTTAAGATGTTGACCAGGCGAGCTTTTTGAGATAACATTTAACATCTGCTGCAGGAGCGAGCCGCCAGCTGCCTCTGTGCCTCCGTGAGTCACTCTGTGCCTCTTTGGGGACCGGCTTTGGCACAGAATGAGGAGGTAAACAGCAGCCAATGCTTAAGCTGCAACGGCTCTAATTTTCCTATTAATTTTTGCTTAAATCTTCAAACTTGTGCTTCACCTGAGGGTTAGCGGTGCACTACTTTCATTTGGCCAAAAAAAAAAAAAAAAACCTGGTTCATGTTGTTTGGAAACTTTACATAAAAGAGATGAACAGAAAGGGAGAGACTAGAGAGAGAGCAGAGCAGAGCAGAGAAAGAGCAGAGAGACACAAGAGAGAGAGAGAGCCCAGATAGACCAGAGGGTAGTGTAGGGTAGAGTAGAGAAGGGTAGGGTAGGGTGGGGTAGGGTAGGGTAGGGTAGAGTAGGGTAGGGTAGGGTAGGGAAGGGTAGGGTCGGGTCGAGTAGAGATGAGTAGAGTAGAGTAGAGTAGAGATGGTGGAAATGGGGCTATAACATGACACCAATGGCTGGCCTTTAGTGGTTTTATATGTGTTTTTGTTTTTGTTGGACATAGATTCGGACTGGTTTGGACTGGTTTGGACTGGTTTGGACTTGTTTGGACTGATTTGGACTTGTTTGGACTGATTTGGACTTGTTCGTACATGTTTCATAACTACTATAACCCTGAAGTACTCTGTTATATAAACCCAATGTATTTTCTGGTGAGGATGAATCGAAGAACTCTCTCTCTCTCTCTCTCTCTTCTGCAGGCCGCACTTGGAAGTCTTTTAAAAATGGGAACTAGAAACAAAACCACAAACAAACGATGCTGAGGCTGAAGGGCTGAGGGTCCAAGACAGATGCAGCAAAATCAATACGTAATTCTTAGAGAGACCCGAAAGCAAGCGAGAAGCACCAACCTCTTCAGACACAGAGTTCTCTCCTTGGACTTTGATCGATGCTGTTTGGATCAGATCGAATCCGGAGCCGGTTACAACAATGTTCCTCCCTCCACTGCAACAACAAACGTGAAAGAAGTGAGGGATAAAACATGATTAGAAAAAGATGATTCTAAATGTGTTTGAGACTTAGACACGGAATATGTCGCTCTGCTTTAGTCCAAGGATCTTTGAAACACAATTGTATGGTTCCATGATTCTCCACATTTTACAGCCTAAGCCAAAAATGATTCGCCTTTTATACTGTCTGGTCTCTGTCTGGTCTCTGTCTGGTCTCTCTCTGGTCTCTCTCTGGTCTCTCTCTGGTCCCTGTCTGGTCTCTGTCTGGTCTCTGTCTGGTCTCTGTCTGGTCTCTGTCTGGTCTCTGTCTGGTCTCTGTCTGGTCTCTCACCACTATCTCTCCATTCTGTCTCCGTCTCTCTCTCGTTTCTCTCACGACTCTTCCTGGTCTCTTCCGCTGGTCTGTCTCCACTCAGTCTCTCTCTTCTTTCTCTCTTGAGTCTTCCTGATCTCTCTCTGGTCTCTCTCTTGTATCTCTCTGGTCTCTCTCTGGTCTCTCTCTGGTCTCTCTCTGGTCTCTCTATTGTCTCTCTCTGGACTCTCTCCGGACTCTCTCTGGACTCTCTCTGGACTCTCTCTGGACTCTCTCTGGACTCTCTCTGGACTCTCTCTGGACTCTCTCTGGATTCTCTCTGGACTCACTCTGGACTCACTCTGGACTCACTCTGGACTCACTCTGGACTCACTCTGGTCTCTCTCTGGTCTCTCTCTGGTCTCTCTCTGGTCTCTATATTATCCCTCTATAGTCTCTCTCTGGTCTCTCTCTGGTCTCTCTCTGGTCTCTCTCTGGTCCCTCCCTGGTCTCTCCCTGGTCTCTCCCTGGTCTCTCCCTGGTCTCTCCCTGGTCCCTCCCTGGTCTCTCCCTGGTCTCTCCCTGGTCTCTCCCTGGTCTCTCCCTGGTCACTCTCTTATCCATTCATCCATCTAATCCAATCTAATCTAGTCCAGGTCTAAAGTCCTTCCTTTCTGCAGGTTTGGTCCTTTCTCAAACCCATCTGCTTGATAACAGGTGGTCATAATCTTTCGCTTGATTGGAGCAAATGAGGCGAACACCAAACAACACAAACATCAAACACATTTCAATCCGAGACAGAATTAGGCGAAACACAGACACCAGTCTCAAATTGGGTAATTTTCGACGGAGATGGAAACAAATTAGTTTTAGCTTTTTCTCTCACTCTCATCAGTGCAGCACTGACAAGTCTGGGCAACAAGGAATCCAGCCAATAGTTTAGAGAGAGTCGAATATAGTAGGGTAGGGTAGAGTAGAATAGAGTAGAGTAGAGTAGGGTAGAGTAGGGTAGAGTAGAATAGAGTAGGGTAGAGTAGAATAGAGTTGGGTAGAGAAGAGTAGAGTAGAGTAGGGTAGAATAGGGTAGGGTAGAGTACGGTTGAGTAGGGTAGAGTACAATAGAGTAGGGTAGAGTAGAGTAGGGTTGGGTAGAGTAGAATAGAGTAGGGTAGAGTAGAATAGAGTAGAGTAGGGTAGAGTAGAGTAGTTTAGAGTACGGTTGAGTAGGGTAGAGTACAATAGAGTAGGGTAGAGTAGAGTAGGGTTGGGTAGAGTAGAATAGAGTAGGGTAGAGTAGAATAGAGTAGAGTAGGGTAGAGTAGGGTAGGGTAGAGGAGTAGAGTAGAGTAGAAAGTATTTAGAGTATAAGGGTATTGTTTAGAGCAGAGTTCCGGAACCATTTTATCTGAAAGAGCCAAAAAAAACATATTTCAGCGAGAGCGATACACCTTTTGACTGTGAATGTGTGATTTTTAAACAGAAACACGGCGCTATGAGCTCGCACTGAATGATTGACGTGTCTAAGTAGCCAATAAAAAGAGCTTTCTATTGATGGGTGGGACTTGTAGGAACTCTTTTAATTTTCACAGTAAAAGCGTGCGTAAAGACGCTGTTACATTGCTGCTCATATTTTATATGCATTTACACTACTAAAAAATTAATTTTGAATAAAAAAAAAAAAATCACACAGATTTGTTACTTATACTGTAAGTACCAAAACTAAAAAATATGCTTTTTATGTTGGTGAAATGTTAGTAAAGCCATTTGTACCAAATTGGTTCCGAATGGCACTACTTAATATCAGTCACTGGATTTCTTCTTCTGCTTTTTGACTTTGTTTTAATGAAGAAATCCAACACATAAAACATTATTTCTATTAATGTCCACTAAGATTTGTCAGAGCCAGACACAAACATCAAAATGTTCCTGACCCTGGTTTACAGAATAGATGAGTAGAGGGAGTATAGGAGTAGTGTTTAGAGTATAGATGAGTATAGTTTAGAGTATATGAGTATTATTTAGTATATGAGTATTATTTAGTATGAGTATTATTTAGAGTATATGAGTATTATTTAGACTCTAAATAATACTCATATACTCTAAATAATACTCATATACTCTAAATAATACTCATATACTCTAAATTTTAGAGTATATGAGTATTATTTAGAGTATATGAGTATTATTTAGAGTATATGAGTATAGTTTAGAGTATATGAGTATTGTGTGTTGTGTTGTATCGTGTAGGTGTTGTGTTGTATCGTGTAGGTGTTGTGTTGTGTCGTGTAGGTGTTGTGTTGTATCGTGTAGGTGTGTTGTATCGTGTAGGTGTTGTGTTGTGTCGTGTAGGTGTTGTGTTGTATCGTGTAGGTGTTGTGTTGTATTGTGTAGGTGTTGTGTTGTATCGTGTAGGTGTTGTGTTGTATCGTGTAAGTGTTGTGTTGTGTTGTGTAGGTGTTGTGTTCCCACAGGTCTCAGAACAATGTTGGAGGATAATCCCAGGTATAATCCGGGCTCAGATCCACAGGATGCAGAGATAAAGACACAGTGAAGGAAAAATGAAACGGAGAAACAGGATTAAGGTGAATTAAAGAGACCAGGAGAGACGCTCCATGGTACCAGTGTTTACTGGTTAATAACCAGGTTTAATGTAGGCATACATGTGGGTGAGGATTTATACATGACAAACTCAGATAGTAGTAGCAGAAACAGTACTGTAGTAGTAATAGTAGTAATAGTAAAAGTAGTAGTAGTAGTAGTAGTAGTAGTAATACAGTAGTAGTAGTAATAGTAAAAGTAGTAGTAGTAGTAGTAGTAATACAGTAGTAGTAGTAATACAGTAGTAGTAGTAGTAGTAGTAATACAGTAATAGTAGTAATAGTAAAAGTAGTAGTAGTAGTAGTAGTAGTAGTAGTAGTAATACAGTAGTAGTAGTAATAGTAAAAGTAGTACTAGTAGTAATAAAGTAGTAGTAGTAGTAGTAGTAGTAGTAGTAATACAGTAGTAGTAGTAATAGTAAAAGTAGTAGTAGTAGTAGTAGTAATACAGTAGTAGTAGTAATAGTAAAAGTAGTAGTAGTAGTAGTAGTAATACAGTAGTAGTAGTAATAGTAAAAGTAGTACTAGTAGTAATAAAGTAGTAGTAGTAATAGTAGTAGTAGTAGTAGTAGCAATACATTAGTAGCAGTAGTAGTAGTAGCAGTAGTAGTAGTAGCAGTAGTAGTAGTAGTAGTAATAGTAGTTAACAGTTCCTTTGTTGTGGTTAATGTAATGTATCAGAGTTTGATAAGGAGAGAATTCAATATAAACAAAAGTCCCTAAACAGAGTTTATTTGGAGCAGAATCAGTCCTGTCTCTGTGTCGCTGCAGATTTAAACATTTCACTGTTAGATTGAAATACAGTGAAACATTAGAGCGTGGAGTAAATGATTCCATAGAGACAAAACATAGTTCTGTAGAAAAATCAGGAAAAAGAGGCAAACACTGAAACATGAAACAGATCCACAAAGAACTCTCTCAGACAAACTAAAGTAATATTTATAGTCTGGGAAGTAAAATACATCCTCTAAGGTTACGCTAGAGTTCCTACGAGAATATATACGCTGCCAGAGAAAGAGAGAGAGAAAGAGTAAAATATTTAAACTGTGATAATAGTTTGTTTCTCAGGCAGAAAGAGAAAGAGGGAGACATGAATGGGTTTGATTTGAGCAACAGCTGAAAGACAGGTTCACACCGGAAGGAAAGAGAGAGAGAGAGACACAAAGAGACAGAGAGAGAGACACACAGAGAGACAGAGAGAGAGACACAAAGAGACAGAGAGAGAGACACACAGAGAGACAGAGAGAGAGACACACAGAGAGACAGAGAGAGAGACACAAAGAGACAGAGAGAGAGACAGAGAGAGAGACACACAGAGAGACAGAGAGAGAGACACACAGAGAGACAGAGAGAGAGACACACAGAGACAGAGAGAGACACACAGAGAGACAGAGAGAGAGACACACAGAGAGACAGAGAGACACACACACACACATACACACACAGAGAGAGACAGTGATTGTGAGAGATAGAGATAGATAGATGGATAGATAGAGAGAGAGATCATTGATTGATATATATATATAGAATTAGACAGATAGAGACAAACTGAGATAGAGATATATATATATATATATATATATATATATATATATATATATATATATAGAGAGAGAGAGAGAGAGAGAGAGAGAGAGAGATAGAGAGAGAGAGAGAGAGAGAGAGGAGATATATATATATATATAGACAGAGATAAAGATAGAGATAGAGAGAGACAGTGAGGGAGAGAGATAGAGAGAGATAGAGAGAGCGAGAGAGAGATATAGAGAGAGAGAGATAAAGATATAGATAGAGAGAGAGCGTGAGAGAGAGAGATAGAGAGATCGAGAGAGAGCGAGAGAGAGAGATATATAGAGAGAGAGAGAGAGAGAGAGAGAGAGATAAAGATAGAGATAGAGAGAGAGAGTAAGGGAGAGAGATAGAGGGATTGAGAGAGAGAGATAGAGGGATAGAGATAGAGAGAGAGAGATAAAATATTATTTAGAGTGAGAGCTCTGACCAGAGGAAGCTGCTCTGCGGCTGGTGGCTGTGGATGGTCGGGTTCTCCATGAACTGGAAAGCGTCAGGGACGACCTTCACGCTGCTCCTGCCGTACTTCACAGACACCGGCAGCAGCTCCGATGGCACTTTGTCAGCGCGGTACTCCCCGGAGCGACAGGTGATCTCCTGCCCAAAGCCCTCCCTGTGTCAAGAGGGAGCAGAGGTCGGAGGTCGTGGGGGGAGGTCACGAGGAGAGAGAGAGAGAGGTCGTGGGAGGAGGTGGGGACGTGACAGACGCCAGACGGACGGGGAGATAATAGGAAAGGAAAGGACCCTGAGCTCGTTATTTTTAGTAACCTCAACCTTGAAATGTCACCATCGACTGGTTTGAGCCGAACAGAGAAATTTCAGCTTCACTACAGTCCTGAAAAGTTTGGACCAATCAGAATGTGTGTGTGTACTCCACCGGCCAATCACAAGACAGGGCAGGTGTTTATATGGACTGCTCCAATGTTAGTGCCATATCCACCAACTGGGACTCTGAGAGCACAGGGACCGACCTCCTGCTGGGACTCGAAGGAGCACAGGGACCGGCCTCCTGCTGGGACTCGGAGGAGTACAGGGACTGGCCTCCTGCTGGGACTCGGAGGAGTACAGGGACTGGCCTCCTGCTGGGACTCGGAGGAGCACAGGGACCGGCCTCCTGCTGGGACTCGGAGGAGCACAGGGACCGGCCTCCTGCTGGGACTCTGAGGAGCACAGGGACTGGCCTTCTGCTGGGACTCGGAGGAGCACAGGGACTGGCCTCCTGCTGGTCCCAGAGTCAGAACTAAACATGAGGAGGCAGTGTTTCAGACAGTTCTGTTTTGTAATTATTTATGACTTTAATGTTTATTTTCTTGTTTCTTTGCCTTGTGTATGAACTGTGCCATATAAATAACCTTGGCCTGCCCGGTTCAAACCCGTTTACTTTGTTAAATTGGACTAAGCTCATTATCAACACTGTCTACAAACACGTACTGGATAAACGACATGACATCCATTTCAGACTTTGATTTTGATTCATTTTCTCGTTTCAGGAACACGTTTCTTTCCCCAATCAACAATTTAAACAAAGTAAATAAACATGTCAGAAATAATACTCAGTTGATTATGTATTGCCTTTTAAGTATTCCTCGTCTCGCCTCCGGACACAAATGTAGAATTTTCACTGCTTTGCTTCTAAGTCAAGGCTTGTTTTCCCTTTTCCCCACGTTTACTTGGTGGAATAGGACTCTCTGTCGCTGCGTAAACACATTTGGACTTGAAAAAACTGACTCCAGTGGAAAAAATAGTTTGAAAATAACATGGTAATGGATCCAGTTGGAATCGCACACAAACCAGTGGATATTCAGGCTCTGACTCCACACCCATTCTCATTAGTGGCTACATCAGTATTTTATCATGACTGTGTTTGGAGTGAATGAATATCGACATGTGAAGAGAATTTGAGAATGTATTCCAATGTAGTTTTTATACTGCACATGGCTAATAAAATGAATCTGAATCTGATCATTATTATTATTAAAATAATCACAGTTCATTAAAAAGAATGAAGATACACTACTTCAGTGTTCGCAGCAAAACAGAATTGTTTATAACTTGGATTTGAACATTGTCAGAGAAGAAGCCTGTCTCACATTTTCAGGAAGAAATGTGAAACACTGCCTTCCCATGTTTAGTCCTGACTCTGGGACCAGCAGGAGTCCAGTCCCTGTGCTCCTCAGAGTCCCAGCAGGAGTCCAGTCCCTGTGCTCCTCAGAGTCCCAGCAGGAGTCCAGTCCCTGTGCTCCTCAGAGTCCCAGCAGGAGGCCAGTCCCTGTGCTCCTCAGAGTCCTAGCAGGAGGCCAGTCCCTGTGCTCCACAGAGTCCCAGCAGGAGACCAGTCCCTGTGCTCCTCAGAGTCCCAGCAGGAGGCCAGTCCCTGTGCTCCTCAGAGTCCCAGCAGGAGGCCAGTCCCTGTGCTTCTCAGAGTCCCAGCAGGAGGCCAGTCCCTGTGCTCCTCAGAGTCCCAGCAGGAGGCCAGTCCCTGTGCTTCTCAGAGTCCCAGCAGGAGGCCAGTCCCTGTGCTCCTCAGAGTCCCAGCAGGAGACCAGTCCCTGTGCTCCTCAGAGTCCCTGCAGGATGGTGTGAGGCCACAGAAAACTGCTTCAGAGTCTAATCTCTAAGTTTAAAAGCTTTAGGTATAAATGTAAAACTACAACCGAGTGAACGATGTGAACATGTGTGGTCCTCAGACACAGCTGTACTCAGTCTTTCGTCCAGTCTTTCTTCTGCGTTTTCTTCCAGTGCAGAATATTGATCGAACTGATTGATTTTTACAGTGCACTTTCTATAACTCTGGCTCCAAATGTCAGTGGCTCTGGGCTCCGAGGGCTGGGGCAGAAATCGTCATTATTTCACCTGATTTAAGGCCAATTCCATTTGAAGTGTGATGGAAGAACTTCAAAGTCTGCTGCTGTGAAATTAGCATAGAACAGGCAGCCGGAATAACAAGAGGCATTATCGGCAGAGACTAAAACAGCGACAGAATGACAATGACAAGCACTGAGCATAAGGGAAACTCCACTTTCAATTACTCATTATCGTCTCGGAGAAGTCTGCGCGGGTTTGGACTCAGACAAACTTAACAAACTTTACTAATGGAAGGTCAGCAGCTGCAGGGACAACGGAGATGTTAGCGGATTTGGTGGAGCGCTTTGATCAATCAGAGAGACCAGAGAGAGAGTGACCAAGAGAGAGAGAGACCAAGAGAGAGGGAGACCAGGGAGAGACCAGAGAGAAACAAGAGGCTCGAAAAGTGTTTGGTTCAAGCCCCTGGTCTTTCCAAGATGGCTGCCCTAGAGCCCAGAGACAGCGAGAGAGAGAGACCAGTGATTGTCCAGGGAGAGACTAGAGAGAGCCTAGAGCGAGACCAGAGAAAGACCAGAGAGAGACCAGAAAGAGACCAGTGAGAGAGAAACCAGAGAGAGGCCATAAAGAGACCAGGGAGAGAGAGAGAAACCAGAGAGAAAGACCAGAGGGAAAGACCAGAGAGAGACCAGAGAGAGGGAGAGTCCAAAGAGAAAGACTAGAAAGAAAAACCAGAGAGAGAGAGACCAGAGAGAGATCAATGAGAGGCCAGAAAGACACCATAGAGAGGGAGAGAGAGAGAGACCAGAGAGAGATAGAGCGAGAGAGAGCAAGAGCGAGAGAGAGCAAGAGCGAGAGAGAGCAAGAGCGAGAGAGAGAGCAAGAGCGAGAGAGAGAGAGAGAGAGCGCGGAGTTGCTTTATCTGGCAATAGATAAAGCAGAAGAAAATGGAATGGAATTAAACTAAAACCTGGGTCAAACTCATATTTGTAAATTCAATCAATAATATTCAAAACAAGAAAATGATATTTGTAAAATGTAAAAGTGTGTTTCTTACACAGAGCAGTCCACTCCTCCGATGGTCACCTGTACGTCTCTCTTGCTCCCGGTCTCCAGGTTCCTCCCCTTTATGGTGATCAGGGTTCCCCCAGCTTTGAGGCCCTGGCTGGGCTTCACCACGTCTGGCATGGGGTCCTGGAGCAGAGAGAGAGAGATCAGTGTGTGTGTGTGTGTGTGTGTGTGTGTGTGTGTGTGTGTGTGTGTGTGCGTATATGTGTGTGCGTGTGTGCGTATGTGTGTGTGTGCGTATGTGTGTGCGTGTGTGTGTGTGTGCGTGTGTACGTGTGTGTGTGCGTATGTGTGTGTGTGCGTATGTGTGTGTGTGTGTGCGTGTGTACGTGTGTGTGTGCGTATGTGTGTGTGCGTGTGTGCGTATGTGTGTGTGTGCGTATGTGTGTGCGTGTGTGTGTGTGTGAGTGTGTACGTGTGTGTGTGCGTATGTGTGTGTGTGCGTATGTGTGTGTGTGTGTGCGTGTGTACGTGTGTGTGTGCGTATGTGTGTGTGTGTGTGCGTATGTGTGTGCGTGTGCGCGTATGTCTGTGTGCGTGTGTGTGTGTGTGTGTCTATCTTTGACTGTGTGTGTGTGTGTGTGTGTGCGTATGTGTGTGTATGTGTGTGTGCGCGTATGTCTGTGTGTGTGTGTGTGTATGTGTGTGTGTATGTGTGTGTGTGTGAGTATGTCTATCTTTGACTGTGCGTATGTGTGTGTGTGTGTGTGTGTGTGCGTGTGTCTATCTTTGACTGTGTGTGTGTGCGTATATGTGTGTGTGTCTGTCTGTGTGTGTGTATGTCTATCTTTGACTGTGTGTGTCTGTGTATGTGTGTTGTTTGTTAAATAGCCATTATTAGCAATTGCAGGCTCCAATGAACATCTGTGAACATCTGAATCGCTTCTGCTTCACCTTCATTTTGATTTTTAAGATAAGAGAACCTTTGTTTGTCCCACAGTGGGGAAATGTCGGTGTTGCAGCGCACTCACAGGACAAGGGGGCGGGATCAGTCAGATGGGGCATAGTCAGTTGGAAGTGGCGTCTACATCTTTCTCTATCTCCTCCATGTAGCCCTCTCTCCCTCTCCTTGTTCAACCCCTCTCTCTATTTCCCCCATCTCTCCATCTCCTCCCCCTCTCCTCAACCCCCCTTTATCCATCTCTCCCTCTCCTCCATCGCTCTCTCCCCCCCTCTCCTCAATCTCCTCCATCCTCCATTCCCTCTCCCCCCCTCTCCTCAATCTCCTCCATCCTCCATTCCCTCTCTCCCCCTCTCCTCAATCTCCTCAACCCCCCACTCTCCATCTCTCCCTCCATCTCCCTCTCTCCCCCTCCTCAATCTCCTCCATACCCCTATCTCCCCCTCTCCTCAATCCCCCCTCCCTCCATCTCCTCCATTTCCCTCTCTCCTTCTCTCCTCAATCTCCTCCATCGTTCTACCCCTATCTGGCTTTTCTTCGTATCCTCCATCTACCCATCTCTCCATCTCTCTCCCTGTCCTCCCTCTCCTTCCTGTCCTCCCTCTCTCTCCCTGTCCTCCCTCTCCTTCCTGTCCTCCCTCTCTCTCCCTGTCCTCCCTCGTCTCCCTATCTCCTGTCATCTGCTGAGTAAACAGTTCAGAGGGCCTTCTCCTGTGGACTCTGGTCTGAATCTCTGATGAAGCAGCTCGGTCTGAGGCTGTAAAGAACTAGAGAATCAGCCTCATCAGACTCATCAGGGAGAGCATCAGGGAGAGCATCAGGGAGAGCATCAGGGAGAACATCAGGGAGAGCATCAGGGTCTGTATTTCTGCTGCGGCTACAACTCTATTCAGCTTTAAATCAACAGCCCACGTTTGTACATCTCCTGTAAATGGCATGTCCTTGGTGTGTTCAGATAAGAGAGAAAATGGAAAAATGTAATGAAACCATAAAACAAGCGAACATTCTGAAAGAGACGTTTAAATAGATCCAGGACTGAAGATGTAGACCCAGGACTGAGGCTGTAGACCCAGGACTGAGGTTGTAGACCCAGGACTAAGGCTGTAGACCCTGGACTGAGGCTGTAGATCCAGGACTGAGACTGTAGATCCAGGACTGAGGCTGTAGACCCAGGACTGAGGCTGTAGATCCAGGACTGAGACTGTAGATCCAGGACTTATGTTTGTACTTGTAAAGAATAATATCTTAATGTGAGGGCTTCTTCTTCATAGGTGGGATTAAACATCATTTTGAATCTCAAAAAACATCACACACAAACATCTCAGAGCAGTTTCTGAGTCTCACCTGGTATCTGAGTCTCACCTGGTATGTGAAGAACATGGAGGACGTCCCTCTCTTCCCGCCCTTCACCTCCACCTCCACCTTCCCCCAGCTCGGCTTCAGAGGCCCGATCTCACACACCACACTGCGGACACAAACACACACACACAGGTTTAGATCAGGGGCATCAAACAGGCTCCACAAAGGCCCGAGAGAATGCAGGTTTTCACTCCAACAGAGCAGGAGTAAACTAGACTCCACCCATCTCCTCAGGTCTTCAGACTTCATCCTGACATACAGCACGCAAACGACGCCCCGACAAAATGTTCCAGACCAATCAAATCATCGAGGGACGTAAACACATTTCCTGGTTGAGGTCTCTGTGGTTTGGGTGTTTGGGGTCTTATACAGTATCATGGGATATTGCTGCACTATGAAAAATAGCTTCTCCTCCTCCATAGCGTGTCAACAGGAAGCAGTGTGTTTCAGCCAATAAGAAGTCTTTAGGGGCGGGACGTTGCTGGGAAAAGTTGTCCAAATAGAGACAAGGCGAGCGTTTTTTTCAAGGGTCTCGTCAACGCTGGACTGTGCGACATCACTCGCTGCATGTCAGGAAAGGCTGATTGAAACATGCCCTTTCTAATCACTTTTTTATCGCACGTGTCCATCTGCATAACAACAATAAAGCTGCAGATTCAAAAGTTGAGCTGATACAAGAAAACACTGGATCTTCAGGTTTACTTCTCCTTTTCTTCTGTGAACACGTTTGTTTAACACATTTGGTGGATCGCCTGAAGTGTCACTGTATCGACTCTGAAATCTATCTCATTGGGACGTCTCACTTGGTTTCAGGCACTTTTACCAACAAACTGCATCAACCATTTTGTAAAGGCCCGTAATTGAAAAAAACCTGGGGGTAAAAACCAATTATTAGTGTCATTATTGTCCTACATCTTAGAAAATCCAAAAAAGAAAGAAATGACATTGCTTTCCTTACGAAGTGAACATTAAAGGGTTATGCAATACATTTGTTTATACATTTTTAACAGAAGCAGCTCACACTCAAACATCTTCAAATTAGGGTTAAACGGGAACCACATGAAATATGACTGGTTCAGATTCATGTTGCCCTAACCCAGGGGTGTCCACACTTGTGAGTAAGAGGGCCACTTTAGTTCACCAGATTTGTCCAGGGGCCGGCGAAGCAAATACTCTGTCGATGGGTGTGGATTGTAGAGCTGTCCAACAAGAATGTCTGTACTGGCTGAAGTTGGCTGGATGACAAAAGTGAGCTTGAGTTTATGATCTCAAAGACTGTTGTGTTAGTGAGACAGAGGGCCGAAACTGGCCCACGGGCCTTAGTTTGGCCATGCCTGCCCTAACCCCAAATGCTAAACCCTACACACTAAACCCTACATCCTACACCCTACACCCTAAACCCTACACCCTACACCCTAAACCCTACACACTACACCCTAAACCCTACACCCTACACACTACACTCTACACCCTAAACCCTACACTCTACACCCCACACCCTACACACTACACTCTACACCCTAAAGCCTACATCCTAAAACCTACACCCTACACCCTAAACCCTACACACTACACCCTAAACCCTACACCCTACACACTACACTCTACACCCTAAACCCTACACTCTACACCCCACACCCTACACACTACACTCTACACCCTAAACCCTACACTCTACACCCCACACCCTACACACTACACTCTACACCCTAAAGCCTACATCCTAAAACCTACACCCTACACCCTAAAACCTACATCCTAACCAGCTTTAGTTTGAACATATGCACAGATCATCCTTAAACCTGAAGCTTCAATGGATTCAACATATTTTGTGTAAACTCTCTCTGTACTCAGTCAAATATTTTCTTTACATTTGAACAAACATTTAGACCTGACTCTGCCACCAGCCGCATGTGACATCACAAATCTCTCACACTCCACTCCTCCATCTCCACCGAGACAAAGGCGGATCTCAAACTTCATTTTCACACAAGAAACATCTTCATTAATTGATGGAGTTTTACAAACGTGAGACAAATGAGACGAGCTGCAGAGAGTTTGACAAAGAAAGTGACAGGTTCAGAGACGTTTAACACACGCATATGTTGACTGTCACAGAGACAGCAGAGGTAAGAGGGGAGAGAGGGAGAGAGAGAAGGGGGAGGAGAGAGCGAGAGCGAGAGGTGTCGACTGTCACAGAGACACCAGAGGTAAGAGGGGAGAGAGGGAGAGAGAGAAGGAGGGGAGAGAGAGAGAGAGAGAGGTGTCGACTGTCACAGAGACAGCAAAGGTAAGAGGGGAGAGAGGGAGAGAGAGAAGGGGGACGAGAGAGAGAGAGAGAGAGAGAGAGAGGTGTGTAAACTGTCACAGAGACACCAAAGGTATGAGGGGAGAGAGGGAGAGAGAGAAAGGGGAGGAGGGAGAGAGAGAGGTGTGTAAACTGTCACAGAGACACTTGAGGTAAGAGGGGAGAGAGGGAGAGAAAGAAGGGGGGGAGAAAGAGAGAGAGGTGTTGACTGTCACAGAGACACAAGAGAAGAATGAAGGAGAAGGAGCCAGAGCTAAGGATCTGAAAGAGAAGGAGAAAGCTACTCTACTCTACTCTACTCTACTCTACTCTACTCTACTCTACTCTACTCTACTCTACTCTACCCTGATTGCAAGCGTTTCCTTTGCTCATGACCAGAACCAGGTCCTTCTTTAGTCCCTCTTGGTCCTGCTTCTATCAAGACCCAGCTGGTATTAAAGTGTTCTAACTGACAGAGTACCCCTGAGTAGAGTAGAGTAGAGTCGAGTTGGTGGAAAATGAAGCTCAAGCGGATGTTCAGACTGAAAGACCGAGTGCCTGCCAATCTCACAGCACTGCCAGCCTCGAGCCTCAGCCAATCAAACAGCTCTGCCAGCCTCGAGCCTCAGCCAATCACACAGCCCGGCCAGCCCCCTGCCAACACCCTGGCACCAAGCGGGCAGTTTAAAAGGCAGCCACTTCCTGACAAACAGCGCTTCCTGAAAGCTCTAAACACCCGCCACCTCCCCAGCAACCCCCTCGGCTCCTGCTTTGGCTCTGGCTCTGGCTCCGGTTCTGGCCCTGGCTTCTGTTCCGGCTCTGCTCCACCTACGCCCCATTTTTACACCATGCTTCTAGCCACCACCAGTGATTGACCCCGGGGGATCTGAGATCATCTCAGCTGCAATCGATCTCATAGCTGCAAGTGTCACTGCCGGGGTCAATGCGCCAAACAAATAAATCATTTTAAATGTATTTATCGTGTCTTTGGTCTCTTCAGATTGAACAGGGCTAAGAGATAATAAAAGTTCTTGTGTTGTGTAATTGTATTTCAAACCCTAAACAATCTCCTTTTCTTTGGTTCATTAAAGCTGTGGGTTCTCAGATCATCTCACAAATATCACATTGATCTTTACCCTTTACGATTAACACATACACTGGGATTCCCTGACTCAGAACACCTCTTGCACACAGCTGCGGATGACCCGCGGGCCGCATGTTGGAGACCCCCCCCCCCCTCTTTCCCAAAGTGCTTGTTTGTGGAGTGTGTGAACGGCCGGAGCAGCGAGGCGTGTGGAGCTGAGCGGCTGGGTGCACCTGATGGATGGCTCTATCTTTGCTCTCGTGTAAAAAGGCTGAGATTCAAAGACCTCTCTGTGAGATCTGTGCAGATGTGGACAGATACACACTCTACGTCCAGCACAACATCTGTCTGCCTCCTCGCGCAACACACACTTTTATACTCACTTATCATGGAGACTTTGAAACATGTTTGTATCTAAATGTATTTATTAGAGGTGTTACTGTTGTAGGCACTTATCACTCCTGTATTACTTAACTGCCACTTCATGTATTCTACCATCTACCATCACATTAGTCCTGGTCTCAGGTCTCTGTCCTGAAGTCTTCTCTCATTAGTCCTGGTCTCAGGTCTCTGTCCTGAAGTCCTCTCACATTAGTCCTGGTCTCAGGTCTCTGTCCTGAAGTCCTCTCACATTAGTCCTGGTCTCTGGTCTCTGTCCTAAGTCCTCTCACATTAGTCCTGGTCTCAGGTCTCTGTCCTGAAGTCCTCTCACATTAGTCCTGGTCTCAGGTATTAGTCCTGAAGTCCTCTCACATTAGTCCTGGTCTCTGATCTCTGTCCTGAAGTCCTCTCACATTAGTCTTGGTCTCAGGTATTAGTCCTGAAGTCCTCTCACATTAGTCCTGGTCTCTGGTCTCTGTCCTGAAGTCCTCTCACATTAGTCCTGGTCTCTGGTCTCTGTCCTGAAGTCCTCTCACATTAGTCCTGGTCTCAGGTATTAGTCCTGAAGTCCTCTCACATTAGTCCTGGTCTCAGGTCTCTGTCCTGAAGTCCTCTCACATTAGTCCTGGTCTCAGGTATTAGTCCTGAAGTCCTCTCACATTAGTCCTGGTCTCTGGTCTCTGTCCTGAAGTCCTCTCACATTAGTCTTGGTCTCAGGTATTAGTCCTGAAGTCCTCTCACATTAGTCCTGGTCTCAGGTCTCTGTCCTGAAGTCCTCTCACATTAGTCCTGGTCTCTGGTCTCTGTCCTGAAGTCCTCTTACATTAGTCTTGGTCTCAGGTATTAGTCCTGAAGTCCTCTCACATTAGTCCTGGTCTCAGGTCTCTGTCCTGAAGTCCTCTCACATTAGTCCTGGTCTCTGGTCTCTGTCCTGAAGTCCTCTCACATTAGTCTTGGTCTCAGGTATTAGTCCTGAAGTCCTCTCACATTAGTCCTGGTCTCTGGTCTCTGTCCTGAAGTCCTCTCACATTAGTCCAGGTCTCAGGTCTCTGTCCTGAAGTCCTCTCACATTAGTCCTGGTCTCTGGTCTCTGTCCTGAAGTCCTCTCACATTAGTCCTGGTCTCTGTCCTGAAGTCCTCTCACATTAGTCCTGGTCTCAGGTCTCTGTCCTGAAGTCCTCTCACATTGGTCCTGGTCTCTGGTCTCTGTCCTGAAGTCCTCACACATTAGTCCTGGTCTCTGGTCTCTGTCCTGAAGTCCTCTCACATTAGTCCTGGTCTCAGGTCTCTGTCCTGAAGTCCTCTCACATTAGTCCTGGTCTCTGGTCTCTGTCCTGAAGTCCTCTCACATTAG